TAACAGTCATTAATCACTCGAAAACGGCTTAAAATCATTAGCTATTGAATGAACTTTAATTTCCAAACTATTGCGTATAAGTTCTATCTAATAATTAATGGGTGGCTGGCTATAATGAAGTAACCGCAGCCCTTACATGGCACGACTTTACAATTGGGGCATACAAATTTTAAATTCAAAAATTGCCATTTGATTTGACTTCTTAATCAGCTTTAATACCTAAAAGAGGCCACCAAGGGTAGTACTTATTCAGTTTTAAATTCTAATTTATAGGGTATAGCTCACTTTTTCTAATTCTAAATCAAAAAACAGGTCTAGTTTAAAATCTATATGAACCTATTATAGTAAGTATGTAGAACTATATATAGAAGAACAGACAGTTAATCAAATTCAAAAGGGACCTAAATTGTTAAAATATCGTCAGTTTGTATGGAAAATTTGAGAGTTCCACAGGCTCCCATTAGCTACAGCTTTTCTTTCATTGCTGGGACGTCAGCCCCTCGGGCTTAAGTGAATGAGGCCTTAGGTGCTTTTGCCGAGGGTGACGTTAAAGTTAATGGCGCTGCTGATCATGTGAGCAACAACAGCAAGAGCAACAACAACAACAGCAGCAGTTACAATGTTACATGTTATTCGATATCGCTCATCTGTGCAACACAAGAGACGCGGCCGTTGGTCGAGCGCGAAACAATTTTTATTACAATTTGGTCATTTAGTGTGGCGAGATTAGCGTTTTCCATGTGCAGCTGTCGCAATCAAAGCCACGTCTCTGTCTCTGTCTCCGTCTCAGACTTTGTCTCAGACTGCGAATATCGTTTGACTGAGTAACTGACTGACTGACTGACTGACATACACACTCGCACACACATAAACACACATGTACTTATGGAGCATTCCGTTCCAGGTCCAGTCAGTCAAGTGTACAAGCAACTGACCAATGCAGCCCACATGTGTGCGCATATTTGTGTTGTTTTTCGTTGTCGTTGCATGGCTTGCCAAATACATATTTATGTTAGATTTATCACAGCCATTATTACCATATTTATAAGTTGTGTGCGTTTGTCGTGTCTGCGGCATTTTGTCCGACTCTAAATGCTACAAATTTGCGTTTTAGGGCAGTTGTTGGCAATTTTGCTGAACTTGAACTCGATGCGAATGCAAGAGATTGGCAGGAAACATATTTTGAATTCTCACGCTGCAGCTGCCGTTGCAGTTTTTCATTCAGCATCAGCAACAGCAATATCGAATTTGCAATTTGCACTTCCTAACCGGACTGGATGGCTGCACAAATTGATGGCCCAGTTAATAATTCAATTACAACAGACAATTGGCAATTGGCAATAGAGTCCCAATTATACAACGTGACGTGCTCTAAGTCGCTAGCGTAGTCCGGTCTAGTTGGCCCAATCTTTTCTGCTGTTGCCTCCGTCCACTCCGTCTGGTCAGCTGCTCGGGCAATCAATAAAATGTGTCCAAGAGCGTGCGCAGCATGAAGCAGTCACTGGCCTGCCATCATTTCCAGCTATTAAACACAATTCAAAGTAATTTGCAGCGGCGGTCGAGCTCTTGCAGCACCTACAACTACAGCTACAAGTACAGCAGCAGCAACAACAACAACAATAACAATAACAACAACAACAACAACAGTAACAGTAACAACAAAGTCGTGTTATTTGAGTTTTGTGTTTGCAGCCGGCAACTTGCTAAAAGGTGCTCTGCTGAGGCTCTGTGGCAGCTTCCGTGTTGAAAGTGTTTTTGGCCCCAAAATGAAAACGAATGTTGCTCAATCTCTCGTCACATTTCCCGCCAAAAAAAATTCAAAATAACAATACAAAATATATGCTGGGTGTGCTGGAGAGCGATTTCAATCATTAACGTAACGATAACAATAATAAACAAAAATTTTTATTTAGTACATAAACTTGAGCGCCGCACTTCAATTTTGCAGTCCAGTTGGAAACCAATCGACATTCACTTTTTATATACATACATACATACTCGTAGACTCGTGTGCAACAAAAATATTTTCATACACAAATTAATTATGCCCGGGCTTAAACGACAATTCATTTAAATAAGATTAATTAGCAAGCCAAGCGACAACGACTGACATTCGTTGTTGCTCTGAAAATTCTTGTTATTGTTGTTGCTGCTGCGGCTGCTGCGGCTGCTGCTGTGACTCATGTGGAAATTGTGGGCCTATGCAAATTTGTTTTCCTTGCCTTGCAGGCCTTTAAACATAAACATAAATTAGCTAAATGGCCACGAGGCCCAAAATTTGGTGCACATGTCAAAAATGCAGCGCGAGGTGTTTGAACAAACCATTGAATGTGAATTTGCCATCAAAGCTGCTCAGGTTACCCAGCAGGCGTCGCAGCCTTTATTGTTGTTGTTGTGTCGTTGTAGTTGTTCTACCATAATAAAAAATTTATTTTTTACTGCCGCACATTTGAGCCAATCAAAATCTAAACGCCAATAAATGTTTCACTGGAAGACAACACACACGCCACTCACACACACATACACAGATTGCAAACAAAAAGAAAACAAATGCAACAAATTGAAAAAAGTTGCTGTCCATGCCAGTGCTAACAAGCGGTTGCTTTGTTGTTGCACTGTGAAAAAATCAGTAGAATCTTCAGGTCGTGTCAGTCACCCAGCCAATCATTCAACTTAAGTAAGCTCTGCTGCACCAATTATTCCTATGGCAGCTATATGACCTTGTGAACCGAACATTCCTATTCCAGCTATTTGTCATAATGCACAAATTTTGATCAAATTTCGGAGCTCAATTCTCCAATATAAAAAACTTTAAAATTCCAAGTTATCCTACTAAAAGGGACTCTTACACCGACCGGACGAATAGGTCGTTTGGGTACATGGTGAAACATTCACTTGCTTCTCAATTTTTAAATGTATTCACCTTTAGAACTTTTCATTTCGTTTTATTACAAATGTTAGTCTGAAATCTAAAACTGAATTTTTTATCATCATATACATTGGCTAATAAATATAGACTTTCCAAATAATATTTTATCATTTAAAAGTTGAAATTCATAAAGCAGATTTTACATTTTCTAAATTTGTGTTGACTTCGAACAATCACAAAATTGAATGAGTTTAAGAACTGATTATCTGTTTTGTAAGCCTTCAACTTCAACTCAAATAGCGTAAAATTGTTATCAGTGTACCTGGTGCTGTTGTCCATGTTATTGGCGTTTACCTTTGCTGTTTGGCTTTTTTCGTTATGTTCAGTTTCTTAGCTTGGCACGCTCACATGTTGCCCATGCACTTAATCATGTTGTGGGTGGGTGGGTTCGCCTGCGCCTCCGCTGGCCAACTTCACCGTTATTGCCGTAGCTGTGGCTATAGGTAAGGGTATACTATATATGTATATAGCTGTGGCTTTTGCTGTCGCTAAATGTCTGCCTGTTTGTACGATAGTCGTCGCATGTCTGGCTACCAAGCGCCACCCGATCGCCGCCCAATTACGAAATCATATCTAAGGTCATTTGTTAGGCTAATTTGTTTTTGTGGCAACAGGCGAGAGTACAACAGCAACAGCAACAACAACAAAACATTCGCAACAATTATACAAATATTCTAAACTCCGTGTCTGGCGTGACGCAAAGTCAAACAAATTAATGCACATTATCGCCAGACTTGGCCACAAATTAGCTAAATAGTGATAGTAATACGTAATTGATTTAATGAGCCAATTCAAGAAACAGAAACCCGCCAAAAAGACCAGCCTCGAGAATTCGTCTAAAGATAGATGCCAAAAATTCCAATACAAACAAGCAGCTGGCAAATTCTACAAGTTTGTTGACAAACAGAATGAGGACAGAAATATTGTATTATAAATTCAGCTCCGACTTTTGATCTGATAAAAAAAGCAATGTTTCAAGCTTTGGCAGGACTGAAATGGAAATGAATAGGAAATTAACTTAATTGTAAAATTTAAAACATGAATAAATCGCTGCTTTCCGATTTTCACATCTGGATGCCATTCGGCACTTTAACAATTGTTTTCAGGATCGTATTAAAACCGTATTGCTAGGGAAGTGTGACATAAAATAGCAAAATTTACAGCCATTTCTAATTTAATATATGTATGTATTTATTATTTATTTTAGCACAAAATCTATCGATAAAGTAACCCTTGAATGAACAAAATATCTTGCCATCTGACTAGAAGCAAGTTGCGGTTAACTTCTAAGCCTCGTACCATGCCAACAATCAGAAACTTGTAGATTTTAGCCACAACAACAACAAAACAAGTTACAAAAAAATAACAACAGCTACACGAATTAATTAAAGCATTTTAAAGCGCGTCGTCACGTCTGTAACATCTGACCGGCTCGTTTGCATATTTTATTTATTTATTTTATTTGATTTTAAAGTCTACCTTTATGCATAATTTTCCTCGTGTCAATCGGCTGAGTGGTTGGGTGGCACCCGGCTGGGTGTTTGTTGTTTTTGTTGCACTAATAGTACTTATGCATGATTTGAACGGCTTAAAAATGGTGGCATGCAAATAATAAACCGAATATTACACATTCGCCCCGTAGTGCAATGCATGTGCGGCCCATTAAACAGTCAATGGAGCAAAAAGCCAACAGGCTTATTATTAATTATAAGCATATATAGCATGTACTCGTACATATAGTAAATAAATTGCACAGGGCTTGCAAAACTCGTTGTCAATTATTGTTTTTTGAACGAACAGCTGATATGGCTAGACATCGCTATAGCCTTAGCTTTAGCTATTAGCAACAAGGCTCGAGAAAATGTAAATGCATGTCTGACCCATTATACAACACCTATATAAGTAAGCAGATTTATGCGCATAGTGCTCACGTTTAGGAAGCCCCGACAAACCTGTTCGATTAGGTAGGTAGCCGGCACTTAATAGCCAATACTTAATGCTCCATGCGCCCTATGATTAGTGTCAGTCGTCAGTCAGGCATTCAGTTTGCCAGCTGGGCAAAGCGGCTCTTAATAAGATATTAGCATTACCGTTCCCCCAACTCACCAACGGATTGTATCCGAACTTGCAAATGCACTCGACTCGGTTGATTTTTCAATAAAAATCATAAATTAAGGCGCCTTGCAGACAGGCGCTGAATTTATAACTGCCAATAGCGAACTCAATTTGCACAGCACGCCATTGGATATACTCGTATTGTATTGGGCCATTGATGAACAGAGCCCCCAGCACCATAACTCCAATCCTCGAACCGTCTAACAAGCACAAGCAACCATTGCTGCGCGGCTTTTCTCAAGCGCGCTTATCGCCACATTTGATTCGCTCTTTTGGACGCTGCGAATTGGGTCACTCGGGAAAATGTGCACCAACAACAAAGCGCTGGTATTCATTCAGCCGAATAGTCCATTTGTGAGTCGGGGCAGACATGGTCAACACGAAGTATAACTATGGCTAATTATACGCGCTCCGCACTGCTCATGAAAAATTGCCATGCGACCAAGAACTGGCCGCATGCCAAGGCGAATTTACCTGGCCACTTTGTTTTCAATGCTCGGCTTAATAGCGACCAGGTCGTGAGCGTAGAAGTCGTGAAATATTGTGGACAATTGTTTTTATAAATAGAGAAAAACCAATAATTGGGAATTATAAGGGAATGCAAAGAAAAAGGCACAAGTTGCTCAAGAGCAGAAGCGTTATTTCTTATATTCTTTATTAATCAAGGCACTAGTGTTTTGATCTTTAATTATGATTATTCAATATTAAACAGATCCTTCGTCAGCTCCCAACTATTATTCTTTTCGTTATCTAGAAATGCCAATAATTTGGTCATAGCAGTCGTGGCCGAGTGGTTAAGGCGTCTGACTCGAAATCAGATTCCCTCTGGGAGCGTAGGTTCGAATCCTACCGGCTGCGTGCCATTGTTACTTATTTTTTCTTTTATTTAATTTAGATAAATTTTTTTGATTGAAAAAACTTTCTAAGTGAATGGCATTAGCATTCGTTGGCTCTACTTCTGTAATTTTAAATTGTTTTATTGACTCTGAATTGCATGGCAACAAGTACTCACGCACTCAGCTCTATCGACAGTATTACCTTAACACATTCTCGTTGTTACCACAAGAAACATAGTGTTTATGGCATTCTTATTATATATTATAAACATATGTAGATATTTGTACATGATATAAAAATTACGTGTGCATGTACATTAATATGTATATTGTGCAAGCTTAATGCTTAATTGTTTATTGAGGCCCAACCAACCAGCTTGGCATTGGCCCACTTCTGACATTATTTAATTGCAATGGCACTCATTCGCTTCTTTCTCTCTATCTCTCTCACTTTCTGTTTCTTGCAGTTAGTCACCATTGCTGCTCTCTGCCTGTGCCTGGCCTTTGCCGCGGGTCAACAGTACTTTATAGAACAATTTCCCTCGCGCGGACGCTTCGCCTATGATCCCCTCTCCTTGGCACAACCCTCAGCAGCGCAGGTGCGCGATCCTCGCCAGAATAGAGGTAATGTAACCATAACCAATGCTTGTTTGTTGACATCCAATGCAATAATCCTATTCTAATATTGTTCTTGCCACTTCTATATTTTTGTTTCATTGCAGGACCTGTTGTGTTCCCACCCTCGCCCCCAGATGCAATTGAGGAGTCGAGCGGTGTAGTTGTGGGCGCCTCCGGCTATGGCTTTGTGCCACCACAGCAAAGTAATACATTCAGACGCACGTATTAATACCTCAGCACCTTAGATCTAGGCCATAGTCAGAAGCACAGTTATCAGAGTTGTCACCAAAAAGCTTTATTAGTGCAATTGTTTTAGTAGTGTTAAATAGTCTTTTGTTAATTTGTATAATGATTTAATAACTCTAATACGTATTTAATTCACAGGAACAATCTTCGGTTAACCGCACACCCACTCCCACACATCCGCCACAATTGAAACCACCAAGTCATTTGTAAATAATTAACACAAAGCTTTGCAAACAAAATCATAAACACACCTAGGCAAACGCACCGCCGGAAACGGAAATGTGCACCACAGCCAATAACAATAATCTAACGCACAAACCAACCAGCCAACCATATAAATAATCAACAGTCCAACCAACCAACCAACCAGCAAACCACCCATCCACCCACACACTAACTATCCAATGCACACTCATGCACTTCGAAAGAAAACCACACACTTTTTAAAAGGCCAAGCTTTGATTTATGGTGCACAAGCTAACGTGACCAACACAAGAGCAATAACAAAACTAAATACTTAATTAAGCATTACCTAGTTTAATTAGCGTAAAGAGCATTTTACAATAATAATTTAATTGTTACCTTAATAGAAAAACACCAATTTTCGATCGCTTTTTATATTATTATTTTATTTTTATCCCAATCTTATTGTTTGCCCTGTTTTGTTTTTATTATTTTCGTGTTATTTTTACAAAATATACCCAAATTTTAAATAAAAATCAATGGTACCCATTATATTTTGTTTTTTATGATTTTTTATTTTTATTTTTAGTAATTGAAATTGAATGGTGCACAAAACTAGCGTCAATTTAACAACGCGGCACTTCAAAGTAGCACACAAATATTCCAAATACTTGGCAGAGCAATCACAAAAATTGCATGTGTTTTGAGACTTTGAAAGTTGGGGAGCAAGCAAAAGATATACTATATACAGGGCGATACGAACTTGTGACAAGGAAATAATGACATGCTTGCAGGTACTATTACTATTTAGTAGGTCAGGGTCAGAAAGTGTTTAGCCAATGTTCTTAGTTGTTCTTGAGCTGGCATTCTGAAAGTTCTACACCAATAGTGATTTACATTAAAAGGGATTATTCGACATAAAAGTGACAGGTTCCGACTTGAACCATTCTGAATAGGCAACATTATAATTGAGCTCAAAGAGGTATTGTATTGGCGTGTTACCAATAACAATGAATATTCATTAAATAATATAAAATATGAATTCATTTCAATATGTTCATGAACTAAAGAATGCAAGTTCGAATAAAATTTTGCTGCAAGGTAAGCTTGTAGCTATAACAATGAAGACTTTACGATTAAACAAAAGACTTGCCTTTCGCTGCATATATTTATGTTTTACCAAAAATCTAAAATCTGATTTCGTCTTTGTAACAAAATTTTGTATTATGCTGACACATTTTTAGTTTGTGTACATTTTCTTTAAGCTCTTTCACTTTTTTATGACGTGTATATATAATTTTGAATCTTTATATAGCTTTCAAAAGAACTTTTAGGCGAATAGCACTCACAATTTTAAATTACCCTTTGGGTACAGGCTATATAAAAAATGTATACTGCTGTCGCTGTTCTACAGGCAAAGCAATTTGGAGCTGAGAAACTTACTCTGATTCCATTCCTGTCACTTAATCAGTTTAAAAATATTTTCCCTATTCACAAATAAAACGCATGGAAAAAATAACAAAAGTTTAAATATATGTTCCATTTGAGGTTCGTGCGTTGTAATGACCCACTTGTATTATGTATATATGTATGTATTCACATGGATAGCTAGGAGAAGGATAGTTGCCAAAATACTAGGATCCCACAGCAAATGAAATTGAAGCCGGCATTGTTAACGACACACAAATGTACCAAAAACAGCTTCGGACAGGTGCGGGAACAGCAACTAAGATTTCAGCCACAAATGGCATTGCCACTCTGTGTCTGTGTCTGTCTCGCCTGCCTTTCGTGCTACCCGGCACCAATCTATACACACATACATATACGAGCATGTATGTATGTATGTACGTTGTACTTTTAAGCACACAGATACGCTCAATAATATGCGGCACTAATGTGACTGCTTTTGCTTTTCTCGCATGCAAAATATGTTTGCAGTTGCTTTTATTTTATTTTAGTTTTGCATATCGATTTTGAGCAGACAAGCCAGAGAAAAAATTGGGAGCAACTTTTTGTTTTCGCTGAGCAGAGCAGAGGCAAAAAGTTGGCAACTAGGCGGGCGGCAGGCAGAGAAATATGCAAAAGTAACTTACAAATGGCAGGCAAATGGCAAGAGGACTTACAAATGAATGGAAAGACATTTCACAATGAACGAACAAACGAACCAACGACGAACGACTGACGCCGAATAGCCAACGAACAACGCTAAGTTGAGATAATTTTTGCAATTTGACAATTTATGCACGATTGCTGCTCGTGTGGACCTCTACCTCTCCAGACTGGCCATTGTGTAATTGATATTTGCGTTGCAGTGACAAAAGTTCTGCAAACGGTAACTGAAGTTACGCAGCGTGCGGCAGCAAAGAGCCAAATGCTTCCTGATGACGACTGCCTGCGGTTAGCCGAAAGCGTAACAATTGCCCAACTCTGGAGTGGAAGATTAATGGCTGGCCATTCGTGCAATGCATGCGAATAGCCAGCCAGCCACCCACCATAAACTAAATTCAGTGTGAATAAACGAGCATTCCTTATGTGCTGGTCACTGATTGGCTCAATGTCTCAATCGTAGTGTTGAGCAAGTGCCAAAGCCTCGCGCCCATCCAATTGTGATACGAGCATTTTGTTATGCCCTTCACTTTAATCAGATAAGTGGTACATTGCTATTCCAATCAAATTTGTAACTTCAGGTACTGCAACTTCAATATATTGAAATTTCTAGTCACCAGAAGACATCAAGCACTTTTGTTCTAAAATCCAAGAGCGACAAGTGTCAATCGCCAATCCTAAAATTAAGTCTGATTTTTCAGTATCCAGATGCTTTATGTTAGACCGTTTAATGTAGGGATTGTTCTCGGGAAAACCCGTGATTGTAACAGGACTGACATGGGTTTGATTTTTGCCAATTATTTGTTAATTTTTCCCTTTTGCTAGCAATTATTCAATAATTATACATACTATAATCGAGTTAAAACTTTGTAAATAACAAAATTTTTATTTGTAAAGTGTAAGTGTAAAGTATACACAAACTCCTTCAGATTATGTTTATTTCCAAATTTGAAATGTCTGCTCTTACATTTTCCACCCGTCTTGTGGGGCTAATAAGTAATATACATATTTAGGTACCTCATAGTCAACGAGCTAATTCTATGTACTTGAATATTGAAAGGGATTCCATTAACCTGGGGTTATAGAGTAAAACAATTTAGAATAATTTTATAAAAAATACCTAATTAAAGATAGTAAAGGGTATATAACTTTGAGGCAAGCAAACATATCTTCATATATATTTTGTTGTTGGTTTTTGTTTTCAAATTTAATTTGATTTGCATCTGACAAATTGGCCAGAGAACACATGGACAATGACAATGACAAGGCAGCGCTTAATTGCACAGCTAACGCTAACGTCGACGTTGACGCCATGATTGACGCGACTTGTGGGTTAACGTTAACCTTCGCCGTCTGTCAGCTTTGAAGTCGTGGTCAGCTAGCTGGTACACATTGACGCCCACGCTTGGAATTTCAACTGAAACGTGCGACTCACAATTTGGCACGTTGCGCACCCAACTAATCTCAAGTGCACCCAACTTTAAAAGCACTCAAATAATACCAAATCAAATATATATACAAATATCCACATACACGTATGCACATAAGTATATCGTATTTATTTGACACGCTTTTGTTGCTTCTGTTCACAGCGACCGTGGACCCCGCGTATTTCAGCACCTCTTTTCAAACGCCCGCCACATCGTACGCAACTTACAACTTCTTTACAAATCCATATAGTACGCGATATAGCTACTTCTAGCCCCGCGCCGATCCAGTCACATAGTCAGTAAATGGAGCGCTTAGGTAAATTCTGTTGTACATACAAAGATAAAATTCAAATTAAACCTTATATTTGTTGTTTATAAATCGGGGGTTCCTTAAGCAAATCGTTGCATGCAAACATTTGTTTGGGATTATTTATATTGTTGTTTTTGTTGATGTATCAACAACAACAACAAATTTTATTTACAGCAAACAAAAAACTTGGGAAACGAACTTGAAAGCACGCAAGCGTAGCCACAAAACAGACAATGATAACAAATCGACTTAAATACAAATATGGTTTGTATGGTAAATTGCGTAAAAATTGCAAAAGAACAAAGTATATAAAGACATACAAGGTACATACTGGTAAGTAGCAAGTATTTGTATATGGGTTTTCAAATGGTTAATTATATAAAGAAACAGCAGACATTGAGAGAAAAAGGAGTGCGCGGCAAGCAACCAGAATTGACAAGCATGCACCATTGAAAATTTGAATTCATTTGTACGCCATTTTTATTTTTTGGAGATTTGATATTTATCAACAGGCAACATAGACGCCAACGCATGGACCAAGCAGCCAGAAGCAAGAAACAGTAGCTGTACAAGAAGTGTGAACGCATGGGCAACGCGTCATCAGGTTTGGAATGCGAATGCCGCCAATGTTGTTAGAGCATGGCACAGTAAATGCCACTTTTAAGGAAAAGATTTACTTGAACAGAGAGTGAAGAGTAAAAAGTTTAATAATAGAGCCTTTACCACAGAAAAACTAATATACATATAGATTATATAGTATTGCAAATAGGGGTTTAGTTTAGTTACGGCTATTATTATTTATTATTATTATTATAGAAATAATTTAAAGAAATATGTGTAGTACAAGTCTTACAGGAACTACAGTTTTTAAATATATATTTAAACGTCGATAAGAGAATACATACGCGAAAGGCAACAGTTAAATGATAATAAGTAGCTTATAAATCGGACAAGCTTTTGAATATCTGATATTGGTAAGTAGAAGCGACTGAGTGGTATACCTCATTTTAAAATTACGTACTAATTTTTGAAAACATATACATTTGGCATTTTCCATTTAAGTTATATAGGCGGGTTTCTTGTTTTTTGTTCATATCCAGAGTTGAATGTATTTCGGTGCTTTTGAATGAAAAATCCGTGCAAATGCAACACAATTGCATTTTACACATGGCATGCCACACAATTGCATGTTGTTCGCTGGACTTGGCCATTGTATGCTAAATTACGTGTACGCCTAGTCCGCTTGCCAGCGGTGTTAATTTTCATTGACACTGGCGATGTTGTCAGTCGTCGTCGCGTTACATTTATTTATGTACTCGCAATTGTCAGATGCTGCAGAAATATGAAAACGCTAGCAATTCTGAAGCTGGCGGCACGTTACACAACAATGGCAGTACCAGCAACCACAGCGGCAACATCATTAGTGGTGGTGCGGTATTGGTAGTGGCATGATTCACAGCAGGCAAGCTGCTGGGTAATTTTAAAATCGGCCAAAAGGTAAAGGGGTGGCCAGACAACAGGTGCCATAGTTATTGCAATCAAGAATTGATTTTGATTACCTTCTTGACCACAATCGATTCCAGCACAACTGAGATAAAGTAACGCACATAAGTGGAACTCATGCCTGGTGACCGCAGGCTATTTGAACACTGAAAAATGCAGTGCAACATAATATAAGTATATGCCTACATATAATAACTTATATACGGTACAAGGCGACAACAAATCAGCCATGCCCGCGGCGATTCAACCAGTTGCGGGTGACTCTCATATGACCGTTTAACGAACTAGTTTTGAAATAACGTTAACGAGAGCACAGAATCCAAAGAACGAATACCAATTCCTGGTCTATTTTTCTCAACTGCTTGACCTTCGCAACACTTCAATTATCAACGATTCCGGTTTGACATGAAACTCGTGAAGTTACACGTTTATACCCTAATGAAAGACCCCTGGAAGATAATTTGTTAATAGTCGAAGCAGCTAATTAATATAATTGTGAACGTACTATCACTTTTTATTATGTTATTTTGCTATACATACATACTTATATGTACGTGCTGATGTTGCTAACAATTAAATCGAAAAGGGGCATTCAAAAAGCAGTTATAAAGTTAAATTACCTGTCGCTTCACAAAAGCCAAGTTCCGTATCACCCAGCTGTGCAAATAAATTCGAAATAATTTTTTTTTTAATATGTTGGTGTTGGCCAACGCTTAAAAACTTTTCTCAAAATGGACTGACCCCACTTACACCGCCAGAAATATCGGTAGACTTATCGATATACTTAATGCACCAAGAAGAATATTCTAGGCTATCACAATTACGTCGATTTTGTATGAGTTGATACAATAATTTGGCACAAAAATGCTGCAATGTTATAACAGAGGCTGCGGCCAGATGTTTGATCCGGCCTTAAACAACGACGGTACGGACCACACAGGTATATGTAATGTTTTTGTAAAGACAAATTTTTACCATCAGATTCTTGCCGGCACCATCCGGGCGCTCCGTTCTTTCACGATGCCTACAAGGGGTGGTCATGTTGCAATAAAAAATCGGTCGACTTCACTGAGTTTCTTAACATCAAGGGATGCACTCTGGCCAAACATTCAAATATAAAACCGCCAGAACCAGAAAAACCAGCGAAAGATGATAAGGACAGCAATAAGGAAGAAGTTATAGAGGTGCGTGCGCCCATAAGAGAGGCAATGGAACGCCCGCCAGTAGATACACCAATGACATTGTTGCATGCAACAGTGGCCCCGGCGTTAAAAAATGCCATTGACACTCTTCAAGTATCCGTTACAAGTTCAAAAACAGAAAATGTCACAAGCGAAAGGTAATGAAATCTGGTAGTATTTGAAGTTTAATATAGAACATAAAATTCTAGCGGTGTTACTATTGGAACTACTTGCAAGAACAATTCTTGCAACTATGTCTACACGGGTACAAATTCCGATTTCGGCGAATGTACGTATCATCCTGGAGTGCCCATTTTTCATGAGGGGATGAAGTTCTGGTCATGCTGCCAAAAGCGTACTTCAGATTTTGCGCAGTTTATGGCGCAGCCAGGCTGTGTTTATGGACAGCACAAATGGGTGAAAGAGGTAGCAGCAGTGCTAACTTGTCAAAAGGATTCATTAACTACAAATTGTATTATACTTTTGCAGGACGAAGATAAAAAAGTTGTAAATTGCCGATATGATTGGCATCAAACTGCGACGAATGTAATTGTATCTATTTATGCCAAGAAATACCATTATGCAGAAAGTCTAATTGAAGTTAATCCTGTGCGCCTACACGTAAACTTAGTTTTCCCCGAGCAGGAAAATGCAAAGTTTGACATAGATCTCGAGTTGCGTGGAGTAAGATAACATATATTTGTATCAGTGTGTAAATACGCCCTTTTTAACTAAATTTCTTCGTGTAGATCATAAATGTGCAGAAGGCGACAGCACAAATGCTTGGCACAAAAGTGGAAATAACGCTACCCAAGCTGGAGCCGGGCTCTTGGCAAAACTTGAATTTCCCACGAGACAAAATGCCAGCCGCGCAAAAACCCACTGCCAGTGGACCTAGTAAACACCAAATTGATTCATCTGATGAGGAATATTTTGATTTGGATGATATTCAACCTGTGCAGAGCTATGGCCTTAAGTTGTCCGAGTTGAGCCTAAACAAAGATAATAAACTGGAGCTGGATTGACGCCATAAATATAATATGGATCATTGTTTGCTTATGAATAACTTTAAGTTCGTTTGGTAATGTGCTATTCTCACTCAATCTTCATCATTATGGACTTTTAGTCCACATATTTATTAATTTTTATATAAATGCAATTTTTATATGAACCCGTGGAAAGCTATGACCTAAAAATGCTTAAGTTCAGCCAAAAAAGAAATTTAATAAATTGCAGCTGAATTGATGCCATAATCATAATCATTGTATGATTGTTAAAATGTAATTATGAAGGTTATTATATTTTTTATTGACATAGTTTGTTTCTATTAATATTGTTCATTGCAAATTTAGAATATAGGCATATCTCAGTCATTGCTCAACTAGCTAGAGTGCCACAATATTAGTTTCTTCCAGAGTAGGCTCTTGCTCGAATCTCGACTATCATCGCATTAGCATGCATGAAGTTACGAATAAAATACTTGCAATAATAAAATAATCAATCTTATAAAAGTTGCAGATTTCCCCAACGCCTAATGAAAATTTTTACAACCAGACTACTTGTGCCCAACTTCCAGCTATATCACCTGTGTATGGGTCAGTTTTAGTTTTTCGTTTTTGTTGTTGTAATTTTTATGAAGATACTTTTATGAAAGTGAATAACAATTTTAAGCACAGCACGACCCTAATCGGCACCGGGAACCCAGTCTTCATCATCATCGTCGTCATCATCCAAATCCAAGTCGCCAATGTCCTGAAACAGCTTTTCATCAATTTTAACATTTTCAATTGAGTCACCAGCCTCCAGCAGAAATTTGATGTCAGAATCGTTCAAAGTGTTGTCACACATGAATAATTCTCGGCCTGTTAGCTTTTTGGAATCGTTGTTCTTTTCTCGTTTTGCTGAAATACCCATGCTTTCCTCGAATTCCAACTTCCACTTCATGAATGTCTCAACAGTAACACGTGTACCTTTAATAAAATAAATGTTTTTAAGTGCGCTATGAATTTGTTGAATTCAGTAGTGTACCTTCAAATTTCTTTCGCTCTTCTTCCTCTGTTTCGAGGACCTTGCGGACGCGCTCTTCTTCGGCGTTCTTTTTATGATCATCCCAACGGACGTTTAGCCATTCTTGGGCACTGCTTACTAACGAAAATATCATTTCTATTCCAATGTTTTCCTCAATTGTTTCACACAGATGCTCCAAAAGCCCTGCCACAAAATTCTCTTCAAAATTCACAGTATCCTCGATTTCCACAAGAGGTGCTTCATCTGGATATGTAGGTGTAAAAGTGAACAGAAGTTTGCATGCCAACCCATTGTCGCCCTCCTCGACGTTGTATTCCTCAGTCGCTATGGGAATTTTAAATTTGTGTGGTTCGGTTTCAACGACTAACAAGGGAGCAACCAAATAAAAACATTAAAATATGTTCTAAAAAAAAGCACGCACAACAGCAATAGTTGCGACGTGTCAAAATATTAATTTCTTCACCTTCCATATCTCCGCAGTAAATTGAATCGAGCGCTTCAATCTCATTATTCTGGTCTTCTTGGTAATTTCGGCTCATGTTGTGAGGGTTGAGCTAAATATAACTATTAAAATTTTATATTTACAGGCACATTTGAGGTTACTTGCAGTTAGAGCTGACAAACTCTTGATGTCGCTCTGAGCAGTGTCATCGATTATTTTGGGGCCTATCGATGTATAGGCGGGAAAACTTTAACTTAATATCAATTACCTCGAATCACAAAAACGTTACCTACTTCAAATACTCACCTTACAAAATGTAAATAGGAGAAACTTATCTGTAATTGTGATTAGATTACTTAAATTTCGTTCGAGATGAGGTAAGAACTGCGTAATCAGTTGTACATTTATTGTGCAGTGGCGGCAAGAAGTACAGAATGGTTTAGCATAAGATGAATTGTCGGATGTAAGAAAAACATTTCTTTCCCAATATTTAAATCCTTAGGCCCCCACCCAATTATGAAAAACCAAAATAAGGACCACATTTGGTAGCAAATTTTCAACCCAGTTTATAATCCTTCCCATCGAAACACAAAAAGTATCAAAATTTCTATCTCCAATTGCGCGTCGTTTTGAAAAGATAAAGAACAAACAGTTTAGATATACATATTTTTAAAAAAAACCAATTAAATGATTAATACAACAATTTTCATCTTAAAATGAATATTTTACATGCTAAGATTTGGACTTTAGGTGCTGAGCAGGATTCTCGAAAAACAGCTTCAAAAAATTCGTTCCTTTTGGGAGATACTGAATGTCTTCATTATATAAATACAAGTGAGGACGCAGAATATCCTTGAATGATACTTCATCGATATTGGCGATTTGAACAACAAATTCTTTGGAATCAACCCGTATGTAATCATTCGCTTCGACGGTATTTCGCAAATATTTTCGAGCAACTGTAATATTCCCCTCCCTTAAAAGAAAATATAAATATTCATGAGTACATTTTTGTTATTGTGGCATATATGCATCTACCTTAGGAGTCTGGCCTGAGTCGAAATCAATACCCGATTCATATCCCTGCATTTCGTACGAACGTTACAGCAAATCTGGTCTACACGGCTCAAGAACTGAAGAAATGCCTGCTCATCATTACCCTCGAGCATTTCCATTAGGTTTAGGGGCAATTTCAACTTTAGCTGGAAATCATGCAGATGCTCGTGCACATTGAAACTTGCTGAAAAATACATTATTTATATCTCACTGAAAAAGTAACAATGGTGCCACTTTCTTACCAACATGTTCCTTTCTAGAGTCCACTTCAATGGAGCACACGTGAACAGCTGTTTCCAAGAGATCAATCGGTTCATAATTAACAAATATACGAAGTGTTGGTATCAAGCGATTTGTAAAAATGTACTTTTTGGAGAATTGCAGCTGATAGTCAAATATCCAATTTGCCGATTGGCTTTGCAGCAAATTTTCCAGGCGTTGACAAAAAGGCGCCTTGCCAATTGGAAATTTCATTGGTGTCGGCTTGCTCAAAATTCTAACAAACAATATAAATTATTGTATTTGAACGCGGTGTTTAGTATGACTTTTACCTTTCTAATGATTTGTGAAACCAATCGAACACCTCTTCTAAGGCCGCTATATCTTTATCAGTCCCGTTCTCGTTGGTTGAATCGTCTTGAACATTAGAGAACCTTTGCAATTCCTTTAGGTCCCAAAATTTATGTACATCAGTAATGCTAGGTTTCTGACGTAAGCGACGCAATTCTTCCATTCCCAGATCGGGGAACACACTTTCTTGGGGCAAAGCGAAAGAACTGTCCGTGCCGGGAAGAGACCTCCTGCAATGTTTGCATTTCTTGCAGGCAACAGCGCTTACACCCATGGACTGTTCACAAGCATTTGGATCTCCTATTTCAGGAATATCATCCTCATTTGCGGTGTCTTTATTGTCTTTATGACCGTCGCTATTTTCTAGTGAAGAGACGAGGCTTATTCGCTCATTTTCAATATCACTCAAGTCTTCGTTTCTTTTAGCATCAAAAAGAGTCACATCTATGGTGAGGTTCGTATTGATTTGTGTCATTTTTTGGAACCTAAGCTCATTTGAGTTCCGGCGACTCCGGTCTGTGGAATTGTCCTTTAAAGCCTCGACTATAGGTGGGTTTTTAGAAAACTTTCGCTGCGGCAGAAAATATTCTGAAACGTCTGAAATAGTTATTGGATTTTCATCTAATATAATTGCCTCCTCTTCTGGCGTTAGCTTAAAATCCATAAACTTTGTTTCATCCATATTTTTAAAATCGTCCGGCTGAGGCTCCTCAGATTGAAAAACGCTACGATTCCTTTGAGCAATGCAGTGTCTGGGCACTTGCACGGAATAGTCTTCTTCATTGATATCTTTTGCCAGCATCAACGATTCTTCCAACGGCGAATTCATGTTGGATTTATTGACCAAAACTGGAATCCGGGATTTGCTTTTGTTGTTCGGCGTAAGCGGATGCATCGTTCGACTGGATAAATTAAACTCCAGCGTATCGCTGCTAGAAAGAAGTGCCTTTTAAATAATGCCAATTAAAAATTCGAATAAACTTACCAATTTTCGTTTCTGTGTGGTAATGCAACTGGACTTTCCTTTGTTGACGCATCGCTTATATAATTGTCTGCAAAAATAAGTGTGTGCCGTTTTTTGGCTATCGGTAAATGGGGTGTCAAATGTATAGGCAACCTTTTGGTATTTCCTAAGGCCGGTAAATCTTTTATAGAGGAATCCATATCGATGTCCATATCCACTGGTTGACAGAGTTGGTTGATGGAGTTTTTTCTTGCAACTAAAGGCGATGGAGATGGGATTCTAGATATATTTGTTTTCCTTATTTGATTGCCAATATGGTTCACAGCATCATCGAATTCTATGTCTTTTACTTCAAACAACGTAGAGCGGTGTTTATTTGGCGCAGCAGTTGATAAATCGAGGTCGGCAATGCCGCTAATACTGGTATTCATGCATTGCTCTTCAATGTCTTCAAACTCGAGGATCGAACGAGCTGGCGTATAAGGAGTAAGTTGTCCAATTTTCCGCTTTGGATTTGTATAGGGTGTGACTTCAAGAATTGTTTTGTGAGCTGTGCTAAGAAGTGCATTTGAATTAACATTCGGAGGACTCAAAAACGAATCTTCTATTGTTTCAATGAGGTTCAATGTTTGCCTGGATTTTAATCGACTCTCTGTTGCTTTTGTGATATTGTCCTTTGGTTTGGGACTAATGGTTTCTTCATCCATCGCTTCAATTGTATATATAGTGTGTCTGAGTTTGACTCCTGTTTCTGCCTTTCCGACTGCTATATGATTAACAATCGAAAGTTTTTCATCCGAATTTTCTTCATTTATTGGTTCAGCTGCATGTAAGGTCTGTCTACATTTAGTGCTCTTTTCTTTTACTGCCTCAGAAACATTATGAGAAACACTTAATAATGATTCCTCCATTTCTTCAGTTGTGTACACTGTTTGTCTATGTTTTTTTTCACCTGTTGAACTGGTTGCCTGTATTAAATTATCATTCATTTGAGAATAGCTCGTATATGTCCCAATATATTCTTCGTTAATCGGCTGTGATTCAATATCGTTACAAGGACTCTGTAATGTTTCTTCCATGGCTTTAGTAATGTGCAAACTTTGCCTCGATTTTAAGCGATTTTCAGTTTTGGGGCTTGCAGTTTGTATAAAATCCACATCAATATCTTTACTTTGATCAGGATCCTGCAGAGTTTCCTCCATGGCTTCATTTACATGAATTGTCTGCCTGGGTTTCGAATGATTCTCATTTGCGTGTGTAGAAGGTTGTGTAGAATCACCATTAATACTCTCACAAATAATGTGTTCATTTGGATCGGGATCTAATAGAGTTTCCTCCATTGCCTCGTTTACGTGCATGGTTTGCCTAGGCTTCGATATGTTCCGTAGTTCTCTGGAAGGTGGTGTCTGGGTGGAAATCACATCAGTTACTTCATCCATTGCTTCAGCTATATTCAATGTCTGTCTGGGCTGGACGAGCTTTTCTATTACATCATTTGCTGGCATTTCAGTGCCATTTATGATGGGTTCCAAGGCCTCTTCATCCATTGTCTGATTGATGTGCATTGTATGTCTTAGTTTCAAAGCATCCTGGGCGGAAGTGTGTACCGGTATAGAGGGCTTTATAGTTCCTATATTATCCGTCGGTGGGACTAGTACTCCTTCTTCCATTGCCTGAGTGAGGTGCGATGTCTTTCTCGGCTTTGAAATAGTTTCTATTGTAGAAACTTCTTCCTGCTGTTTAGATAAGTCATCCAATTCCAATGAGGTGTTATAATATGTTGTTTCACGGCGGGACGGGAATTTTGAGCTGTCTTGAGACACAGTCTCATCACCTAATTTTGCATGAATGAGGAAGCTTGTATTGTTTAGCATTCGTTCATCTGCTTGTGATACGCGATATTTGTTTTTTTGGTTTTCTTTCTCTGCAATTGTCACTTTTTCGATTGCCAGCTCAGGGGCTATTTTTGAATCTTCTTTTCGTTCGGGTGACATTTTCATATCTTCTCCTAAACTAAAGTTTAATGTGCAACGCTTTTTTATAAAGTCTACTGTCTGTGAATCGTTATCAATGTAATTGACACGGCTCCAAGTGCTTAAAAGGTTATTTTTACGATCAGTTGACGGTGTTTTTGGTCCTTTTGGAAAGATTTTTATACGACCAGACTCTATATCATCATTCATCTGCTGCATATTCAGTTTCTTGCTAACACCAGGCTCCAGTGCTATTACTGACGTAGACATTAATGAATCGTCCATTAAAGAATTCGGGTTACTTATATCTCTCAAAGCAAAAGATGCATCATTAATTAATGAAGCATTGTTATATTTTGGTGGCTCTGGATACATTGTTCTTGCTACAAGAAATATTTGTTAGACTGTTATGAATGATAAAACGAATGCTCAATTGCTTTTCTATAACTTACCCTTATATGGAGAATCAAATGAAATATCAAGATCGGCCTCTTCAAATATTCTCGTCTTTTGCTTTTCTTTTTCTTGGTTCCTCGTTATGGCTATTTGCTTTACAATTACCTTCTGATGTCCCTCTGTAGATTTCAGTTCTTGTTTATCAGTCGTAGACACATCAGGTACCTGAAGTTTAGTGTCCAGCACCATACCTAAGGGCGTCACATCCATAAACGAATCTGAAGCGGCATGTTGTTCTCTTCTTTCTTTCGGGGGGCTGGGCTCAGCAACATTAGAAGTTTGGGGCCCAGAAGCCCCCACGTGTGGCAAAAGAGTAATATCCATTAACGAATCTGAAGAGCCTGCTACGTTGTTGGCACTTGCACAAGTGTTCTCTTCCTTAGATATAGTGTTAGAAGTAGAAAGTGGCACATTTGCAGTCATGCACTCCTCACGACAATCCTTGGAAGCCATAAAAATACCCGCTTTGCTCGGATCTACACGAAACTGTCAAAAATATTCTAATTATAATATTAATTGGAATTGAACATTTTGGACCCTGTACTTACTACAGTATTGTCCACTAGGTCTAAAGTAGTTTCCTGGTAGCTGTACGTAGCATTATGCAGATTAGCCAATCCAACTTCGGACTGGCTAAAACTTTGGAAACGAGAATCAACTTCTACAGCGGAAAACGGTCTTCGAGCTTTAAGCAATTCTTCGGGCAACAGGGTAAAACTCGTGCTCCTCTGTAAGCGTAATGACATATCTTTTTGGGCCACGCTATCGCTGGATAAAGGAATATTCTCCTTATCGAAAACCGATAAGAGTGATCTCTGTGCGCTTTTTGGAACTTCAGCGTCTGCAATTATTGATGAATTCGAAATACTTGAACTTCTCTGCCCAGTCGAATCACTGACATGATCCGAAAGTTCATATGATGTCTGCCAGCGCTCAGTCTCTGTGTCATGAAATTCCCTGCAAAATAGATTTATTTAGCCAGATATATATGTATAGTTATAGATATAAAATAGGTTCTCCTGACTGACTGCCTGATAAGTAATCAACACACCACCTAATTAGAGCTAGAGCGCTGAAATTTGGATACGAGTTTTCTATCATTGCGTGAGTGAACACTGAAAATCGAACTCCGAAGGGCCCCTTAAGGCTCAAAATTTTGGTTTCCATAATGTACTTCAAGCTTGATTTGTGTACTGTTTTTTTTAAATTGGCCAATAATACAGCACTCTTTAACTGGTGATTTACTAAAAATACATCGAAATAAAGTAAACAACAATCTGCAGAAGGAGTAAGGGTTGGTCAATCTATACCAGTTCTGCTCTATTCAAATCTACGCCTAGTGCATTACATTTAATATATGAAATGTATTGTACATACCTTACGAATTTCTTTCCACTGAAACTTACTCTACGTTTTAGCGCTGTAATGCGCGTCTCTTCATCGTCTTGCTGGGGCAATTTACGTAGCTAGAAGAACACATATCTCGATCATTAGGTATAGGTGGTATAAAGTATATTTCAACAACTACAACTCACTGAGCTTCTCTTTTTTTTTAAATCCATATTTTTTCATGTATTTGCCAAGGTTCAAAACAATTTTTTTAAAACTCAAAGTGACGCTAACACACTTGAACTGCCAACTTATTTGAATACGCAGTGTTGTAGATTTTTGCAATCACGCAATCGACACAGGCAGTAGTATCGATATATGTATGTACTTCTATCGGTATATCTAATTATTTAGCAAACATGCTCGTTGTTTTGTTTTGAAATAGTTTGGAGCATAATGGGCAAGACGAACAAGGACAAACGTGATATTTATTACCGTCAAGCGAAGGAGGAAGGATGGCGAGCAAGGAGCGCCTTTAAGCTTATGCACATTGATGAGACTTATCACATATTTGATGGTACAAGACACCGAAACTAATCAATACACACCTGAACCTACATTAAAGCACATGTATGTACATGCCTTTATTTTTTAGGTGTACGACGGGCCGTTGACTTATGCGCAGCACCCGGCAGTTGGTCCCAAGTGCTCTCCCGCAAACTAACTGGCGACGATGTTAAAATAATTGCCGTCGATCTTCAGGCGATGGCTCCAATTCGTGGCGTTGTTCAATTACAAGGCGACATTACAAAGGAGTCCACTGCAGAAGCGATCATTCAACACTTTAACACCGGCGAGAATCAAAAGGCACAGCTCCTAGTATGCGATGGCGCACCTGACGTAACCGGCGTCCATGAGATGGACATATACATGCAACATCAACTTTTGGTGTCAGCGCTGAGCATAGCGACCTTTGTGTTGGAACCTGGCGGTAAATTTGTTGCGAAAATATTCAAAGGCAATGCAACTAGGTTACTGGACTCCCAAATGCGTACTTTTTTCAAAAAATTCGACATATATAAGCCGCCAAGCTCACGACCCTCCAGTTGCGAGGCCTTCGTTGTGTGTAGTGAATTCAGATTGCCAAGTGGATATATACCACAGGTGATCAATCCGGCTCGGGATGATATAGGTGCGTTGGCCCGAAAGACTGGTTCTAGAGTCAACCGCCGAATAGTTCCATTTATAGCTTGTGGGGACCTAAATGGTCAGGTCGAAGATGAGTCGGATGCAAAAACAATGGGCAATGATGTAAGTATATACAATCTATTTAAATTGACAACTTGCCTAAGTGTATGTATTGCAGGATATTGAATGGGGATACAACTTTATCATGTCTGATACCGAGTATCCTCAAGATTTCAAGGACTTTTTAGACAGCATAATTGAACTGGAAAAAACATTGAATTCATCTAATACGGCCTAATAGTATATCAAATGTGTATCGTAATTTTTGTATTAAAAGATAAAAACGAAAAGCTGTTGTCAATTTACTAGTGTTAAACAGTGTTCGACTGCCCTAAAACAAATACATGTATGTTATCGGATATCGATAGCACATCGATACTATTCGATGATGTGATGACTACCCGATAGTACTACAGTTTAAGTCGTTTGTTTACGAAGTGTTGCGGTTGCAACAGCCAGGATTTGTTAAGAATAAAAATATATAAACTGAATTAGATACAAATATACAACAAGAAAAAGCGAACATACTAAGCATGGGGCCTAAGGAGGGGGATAAGCACACTTTTTTGGGATTCGATCTGAGCACCCAAAAGGTAAAACTAAAGCCATAGATTAGGCCTAAAGAGAAATCGGTAGATGTTCTTGAAAAAGGTCAACAATGAGGTGGTAGCTAAGAAAACTACTGCCTGCTTATCATCATACGATGACCTTCACATCACCCGGTTATTTACTTTGATAATAGCTGGTGATGTGTAGGCGTTGCGAACTAATACCCACGTGTGTCATTGAATTTAGTATTTAAAACATATCCCTTTTATATTCCTTATGATGCTACGCAATTTTTCATAATATGTAACTTTTATAAAACAGCAATGAGGTCAGATATGACGCAAGCACCCTTAAGTACTTTGTTATTTAAAGGTGTGTCTGCCATTTATGGTCATGATTAGACAGCATTATATTTTACATACCAATGTGGGTAGAATTGTATGCAGACTATTTCTTCAGTTAACTGTCGTTTATTTATTTGTAGCTCAAGGCTATATTGCTTAACGCAAAACTCGATGTGATCGCATCTGCTGAAGTTAAATTTGACACCGATTTGCCTGAGTTTCGAACCACGGGCGGCGCCAATCCAGGTCTCAATAAGTTTGAGTAAGTACCTTATCTCTAGAGAGCTATTTACATATTGACGAAATATATGGATATCCCTAAATATGTACACTTTAGATTCTTTGTTCAGCCTGTGATGTGGATCAAAGCAATGGACATTATATTGGACCGTTTAGTGATTTCGGAGGCCGATTTGAGTACTGTGGCTGCTATAAGCGGATCAGCGCAACAACATGGTTCATTGTACTGGTCAAAACATGGTATTACAGCGCTAGAAAATTTGGATCCGACAAAATTCTTGCACACCCAAATTGACGATTCGGCTTTTGTGGTGAACCGTACGCCCATCTGGATGGATGCATCCACTGTGAAACAGTGCATTGAAATGGAAACTGCTATCGGCGGACACACAGAAATGCTCAAAATATCAGGATCAAAGTGCTACCCTCGGTTCACAGGACCCCAAATTCGCAAGATTTACCAGCAGCGCACACATGCCTACGAAGATGCGCAACGTATCTCGCTAGTTAGCAGTTTTCTAGCCACTTTATTTCTAGGAAAAGTTGCATCAATTGATTACTCTGACGCGTCCGGCATGAATTTGTTGGACATACGGGAGAAGACCTGGTCAAAGGCTTGCTTAAATGCATGTGCCCCTGATTTGGAACAGCGTTTGGGGACCCCTGTTTCATCAACAGCAGTGTTAGGAAATGTAGCGGACTACTTTGTTCAGCGGTTTTGTTTCCCTGCAACATGCAAGATCGTTGCATGTACAGGCGACAATCCGTCGGCATTGGCCGGAATGCTGGTTGACAAAAACTGGCTAAGTTTATCGCTCGGAACAAGTGACACGTTAATGATGAGTCTCGAAGAACCTCCGAATTTAGAGGAAGGTCATGTACTATGTCATCCAACTGAACAAGATACCTTTATGGGATTGTTATGGTAATAATGTAGATGCTGAAATCTTCGCATAAACCACACGCCTTATTTTAGTTTTAGAAATGGCTCTCTTGTACGCGAATCCATCAACAAATCTGAAGTTGGGGGAAACTGGCAAATGTTCAATGAGCTGCTTGAGTCTACACCTCGCGGTAACTTTGGAAATCTTGCAGTGCACTTCAACGAAATGGAAATCATACCCAAGGCGAAAGGCACACTTCGTTGGAATAAGGACATGCAACCGAACTCACCAGATGCTGCCAAAGGAATAATTAAGTATGCAATAACTAATTCTTGTAAAAAAAAAACTTAACTAAGATTCTCGTTTGTGATGAACCAGATTTCGCTCGCCACAAATTGAGATCCGTGCTTTAATCGAGGGTCAAATGCTGCACCATCGCGCAATAGCCGAGGACATGGGTTTTCATTTTATTACTGAAACGAAAATTCTGGCCACTGGCGGGGCGTCGGTCAATAAGTCTATTTTACAAGTTATTTCTGATGTGTTTAATGCACCCGTTTATATTCAGGTAAGTGCTGTACGTTTAGTAAGTTAAGTAACACTTCATTGCTAACCGATTGCTATATTCAACTTATAGATGGGAAGTGAAGCCGCCCTTATGGGTGCTGCTTATCGGGCTGCATATGGCTATTTTATTCATGAAAACCAAGCGCAGCACCCAGATGCACCACGCATCAGTTATAGAGATTACATTTTGAGCTTAACACCGAACCATTTGCAACTCGTATGCGAACCAAATAAGGACAGCGAACAAATTTATGGGCCCCTACTGCAGCGTTATCGCGATATGGCTATAACTCTGGAGGCTAACCAGGCAACCTAACATTCCCTCCTTACATTCTTTACTCATTGCGTATAATTTTTGATATTCCAATTTACTATTTGTACGGCGCCTCCATAGTTAAGACTAAAGTGCAATTTAAAAAATTCAACTGTGATTCACAATTTATTGGAATAAAAACTACCGACTTTCTGAAATATCTCCTTCTTGTGTTTTTCAATATAGCTGTTTAAAGTGTCTATTTTTTGCGACCGCCACGTTCCTTGACTTGCAGATGTACGGTGGTGCCGTTAAGCAAATTGTAGAAGCCCATTGTATTGTTATCCTTGAAGAACATGCCCTGAAAACATGGGTGTTAAATTATTTTGAATGCAAACAAAATATTTTTCCATACCTCATAGAAAATTTTCTGTTTGGCTGGTGGCATGCCAGTTTCGTCCTGCAACTTGGCCTTTAGATTGGCAATTGGGTCCGTAAGCGCCAAGGTGACAGCAATCATCTGCCCATTGAGTTTCCATTCTGATTTGTCAGCATTGGGCACTTGGACTTGTATGGTAACCGGACTCTGAAAAATTATATTCATTTATAATCGCGCTTTTTATACCGCCTTTTAAAACACGAACCTTATGTGTGGCTATAAACTCCGCCTCAGGCATCAAATTATCCTCAGAGCGCATTTTCTTTGTCGGTGGCTCATCCTCCATCATCATATCAGCAACAGGTGGCGCTGGTGCTATTTGTGGTGGACCGCCACCTGGCGGCATAGACATGTAACCGCCGCCATAAGGAGGTTCTATAATACAAAAAGCACGAATTATGGACAATACTTTTACAAGCGTAGTTCACTTACGCATCATTGGTGGGCGCATTTGCATCATCATGACGGGATTAGGTGGTTGCATATTGTGCTGCTGATGTGGATGCGGCTGATGCTGTTGGTGCTGGTGTTGTGGTGGCGGAGGCTGTTGTGGTGGCTGATGATGGTGGTGAGGATGATGTTGGTTGCCCTGATGGTGCTGTTGCTGTCCATGATGGGATTTCGAAGACGGCTGCGGTGGCGCCGATAGTGTTGCTTTGTTGCCCACTGGTTTAGGTCCAATTTTTTCCTTTTCCTCATCGGGCAGCAGCCCCTTGACCTTGTGTATTTGGTGAATTTGATCTTCAAGGGTGATGTTAGCGCGCGCAGCTCGTGTTGCAGCCTCTACACTGGATGTGTGACCGTCCCAGGTGACGCGGTCGTCTTTTTTGGTCTCTTCCTCGCCCAATTTTTTACCGATCACCGTTTCCTCATCGCCCACACCGAAAATATCGGTACGACGCTCGGCCAGCTGCTTGAGACTAGCTTCAATCGCTGTGCCAGCAGCAAATACGTTGTCCTGGTTAATTTTCTCAACCGTGTGCTTGTCACGCTGTTCCACCCAGCGCGGATCCAAAAGTCCAATGCGCATGTGTTCGGACACCTTCGATGCGGGGATTTTCTCGCCAGTGATCGGGGATATAAGAAACTCGTCTGCTGCTACTGGAGCCGGCTTTGGTTGGGCGGCCTTTGGATCGTACTTTTTAACTACCACCTTATCGTGGGTAGGTGGCAGCATTGGCGCGACAGTTGGCTGCATTTTCGCGGCTGGTGTCTCTTCGTCGCTAGAAGCCTCGTCCATGTCCTGTACTTGAGTGTTGTCGCGTTTGGCATTTGTAGGCTGGCTGTATGCCGTCGCGTTCTTCATTTGAATGCCAACGCGGTTCTCCATTTGCGAAAGTTTTACAGCACTATCAGCATGAGGCTGCGTTACATCCTCATCGTCAGACTCAATTTGCATTTCAATGTCACCCTCTTCGTCATTCAAGCGCTCCTCCATGAGAACCCGAGCGCCCACCTCATCAGGGTTAGTGGGTGGAGGAAAGTTCCCGGATTCAAATGGTTGGTAGTCCACAGTTTCTACTACAACAAAATCGTGCCAGTCTATTTGAGCGTATGCAACACGCTCTCGCTCGATCTTTTCCTCTTCGCGGCGGCGCTGCGCCTCCTGATGACGCTGCCAATTGGCTCGATATTTCACCTGTTCCAGCACATGATTCATGCTGGCACGTCCAGGTGCGCTCTCTGTACGAAGCTTACCCAAAAGGTCCTTCGGCGGAATCAGCACTTTTGTATACTGTTCTAGGAGTTTAGTGAAGTACTGGAAAAGCGAATGCTGTGGGCGTAGAAAATCAAATTGAAAGTTGCGCTGTTCCCGACTCATTAAGTTTGTGAGAAACTGGCGTCCATTACGAGCTACAAATTGAGCTGTTAACTTGACAATATCCCTGTAAATTATATAAAAGCATTAATACTATGTGAGAGTACTATCTATAGGTCATATCATACAGATCTAGTGCCGAAATCGAGGGCGGATCGGCAATAAATTCGAATTCCGGTGGCGGCTCTTTAGGGACAAACTGCTGCTCAACCACCTGCTTTAAAAGTTCCTGTTGCCGCTGCTGGGCCGCGCTCGTTACTGACAACTGCTTGATACCTGAAACGACATTATTACCGGCTTCCCCTATACAATTTAAAGGTTAGATCAGCACAGCATTAAATAAGTAGTAACTTGACTTGCCATTTCCATCACGAAAATCGTTGACCTTATGCCTGTAGTAGGCGTGGTAAGGATCCCCTCCGTTCAAAAAGTTAAATTTTGGATTTCCTAGTTCGTTCTGCCGAATGCGGGCTTCAAATTCAGGACCATTGCGGGCCACAAAGCTGGCGGTCTTGTCCACGATATCTAATTTAGTTTAAAAAAGGCAACTGAGCTATGGAAAACTTAAAATCGAATATGATTTTCATTATATTTATTTTGTTTTCGTATTTTTGTAAAAAGGATGCTTCTAACTTCCGGCGGCGGATAAATAATTCCAATAATTGGCCCAGACATGGGCTTGGATGGAAACTGATCATTGTTGAAGTTATCCTCTACGTCCAAGGATGGCATTTTAGTTAATATTATTTTAATGATCTATTTTGAACCGTTTTCAAACAAATTTTCAGGCAATGTTAAAACACAAAACGTTTATCATATATGTATGTACGTATGTCAAAAGGCAAAATGGCCAATGGCTTGATACAGCTGGTCGAGATGCCACTCAGCTATGTGGCAACGCTGCGAAAAACAAAAACTATATGGCATTATATATATGAGACTGATAGTTTTGAATACTGGGCGAATGAAACCAAAATAAAAGTTCAATATATAGTAATTGTGATTGGTAAATAAATTAAATATAATTATGAGAATACATTGCTAATTAGGCAATTTGGCGCGCCAATAAAAAGCTCAATAACAAAATACAATATGTGTAATTACACAAGATCGTAATTGAATGTGAAACTTCTCTAATATAAACATCTGGAAACTCTATATATGTAACTTGTTTTCAAGATTAGCTGCTGCTGTTATCAATAAATATGTAGAAAAACCCAAAAAAAAAACATCACATCATTAAATTCTTTAGAAATATTTATAAATAATAATAATTTCGATTAAATTATGTATTGAAAAAAACCCCGTCTTAATACTCTTAAAAAATCAATTTTTAAATACGTACAAGTATTCACATACATATGTCAATTATATTTTAATGATGTACTAGAAATGTACTAGGTATGTTAATTATCTGGTGATATTGCTGCGTTGCTTTGTGCTCAATATAATTAATAGAAAAAAATTTTTTCGAGCATTTTTGGTAATCCATTACAATAAAAAAATTTATGAGCGTTGTTTTTTAAATTGAAATGTTTGTTTTACCCAAGCTCAGGCAAGAAGATTGGAATCCGTTGCTTGGAATATGATTTATAACTCTCGTGTTTTAAGAGTATACAAATAAACAAATCATGTAAGCGAAGCTTCGATTGTTTGCGTGCCTTTGTTTGTGTCTCAAAACTCACCTCCACTTGGCTTTTGTTGTTTATTGCTGTGTTGATAATGACGAAGCGAAGCGCGAACCCAAGTTTGCATGTAGATCGCGTTTCGTAGCAAATATATACATACATACATATATATAATAAATACGTACACATGCATATATATGAGAATATGCGCCGCCCAACCGGTGATAACGCTTCATCGAATTGAATCAGAGGCGACTCAGTTTAAAGTCAGCATTGATTGAAGCACATTTCAGAGCGGCGTGACGGGAATTTCATACTTTGAAAATAGCAGAATTTCAATTAAACATAACAAAGAACTCTGGAATGTGGCGAAATTTGATTGTTTTTATCGTAATAGTGACATTAACAAATGCTCTACACGATTTTCCACAATGTAAGTCGAAATTCTGAAGACAAACTTATAGTTCAGAGCCAATACGGTTAATTGAATAATAAAAAAACATAATAAAGTTTTAATAAAATATGGTGTATCGACAATATTTTCAGCCTCTCTTGTTCTAAGTAAAGATGTGAAATCCTATTTAAATGGGATTTCAGCTACGGAATGGAAAGAATTTGCTGACTCTGGAATCGATGCTGTAGACAGACAAAAAAGGTTATGTTTATTGTGCCATAACTTAACTACTCTGTCGTTTATTTATTTAAGGAGTGTTAACATTTTATGAATTCGTATTTGTGCAGGCTAGAAAAGAGTCTCTTGAGCTCCGGCATTACGGTTCAAAATGGCAGTCTATCTCATATTCAGTTGCTAGATTCTTTGCCAAGCCAAGATTCTAAGCGAGACAGCGAGATTGCCCTGAAGATTCTGAGGTCGAGTCTTTTCGTGTACAATGCTAAATGTGTTCCAAATGGAATTGAAAATGACGAGTGTCGCACATTTTTGGAGATAAAGTCAGTACCCTCGAGCAGTGAGCTGTGGTCTGAGTGCCAACGAATCGTAAAAGGTCAACGTGATGGTCACCGCCCCTTTCGACGTTTGATGGCTCCCCACTATAAGAATGGCTTACAGGAGGTGACCGATGCTAAGGCGTTTGGAAAGCTTTGTTGATTGCTGACACAATTTAAACAATTTCTTTAGATGTTTCCTGAAGATCGACTTCCAGAACCCTGGCCCGTCAGTATGGCCCTTTATGATCGTGAAACAAGAGGCACTAAGAGCAAACAGTCCAGTGAGGAGGACACCCAAAATCTTTCGCTAGTGCAATGGGCGCAGTTCGTGGAGCATGATCTCAGCAAGCCAGTTGTGACATCAATGAGTAAAGTCAACTTAAAATTGTCCTTATTTCCTATCTAAAGATTCTTACCATTTCTCCTTAGACGACGGGTGGCCCATCGAGTGCTGCAATCCTAACCAAAAGAACTTACTACCCCGTCATCATCATCCAGCATGTGCACCTATTCTCTCTAAAATCGCTAATCCCAAGTATGGCTGGCGTACCTGTCTAAACTATGTTCGAAGTGCTCTGGCAGTGGGTGAGAACTGCAATTTTGGGGCCGCACAGCAGGTAAGCCTCATTCTATTTCTCCCGAGCCTAAAACTGATATGCCCATCTTCGTAGCTGAATCAGGCAACAGGTTGTTTGGATCTCTCCCAATTGTATGGATTTACGACTGCAGCGCAAGAGAAAATGCGCACATTTAGTCACGGAAAACTCAAATCCACAACTACAATGGGAACGCATTTGAATGATCTGCTTCCCATGTCCACAGATGCCAATGAACACACCTTCTGCACCACTTCTAATGCATCTACATGCTTCATGGCGGGCGATTCGCGGGTGAACAGAAGTCCATACTCGATTTTAGCATATACACTCTTTATGCGCAATCACAATCGTGTTGCTGCAGAGCTAGGGTCCAATAATCCCAGCTGGAGCGATGAGCAACTCTTTCAAGCAGCTAAGTCGGTTAATGTGGATACTTACCGTCACATCATTACGAATGAGTGGCTACCAGTAGTCCTGGGCACACAATTGGCTGCAGAGGTCCAATCCAAAACAGAAAGCCCGACTCCACAAGAGCATCTTTCCGAAGTATACAATGAGTTTGGTGTGGCTGCCATTCGTTTCTATTTCTCAATGTTACCAAATGTTCTACACAACAATGTCAATGCCGATGCAGACTTTAATTTCGTCAGAACGTAAGTTTGTCTCAAGATTCTCATTAAAGATCAACTTCAAACGATATGTTTGCAGCGATATTCTCCAAATCCTATTTGCCCTCAAAGAGGAAATCTACAAGCCACGCTTGCAATACACAGCTGGTAAACTCAACGACATCCTACAAAGTCTACTCCATCAACGGGCCATGAAAATGGACGCCTCTTATGTGAGCGATGTAAGTAATTGCCTAGTTTTGTAGTGAATCCATCTCTAATCTTGTGATATATTCCTTGCAGCTTGTGTGGCACGAAGCTATCGGTACTAAGCCCACTCATGCAGATGTTCTTGCCTTTGATATACAGCGTGGACGCGATCATGGACTTCAACCCTATTTCAAGTATCTGGAAGTATGCAAGAACATAAAAATCAACAACTGGAAAGATTTCGAAAGATTTATTCCCAAAGACGTAAGTGTAATTGGTAAAATTGAGTAAAATAAAATAGATCGTGAATAACAATATGTTAATATGATCTATCATTGTCAGCATGTGGATAAACTGAAAGATATCTATGAAAGTTGGGAAGATGTGGATCTTATAGTTGGTGGTATTTCTGAGCGGACAAATGATGGAACAGTCGGTCCCACTTTCAGTTGTATTTTAGGTATGCAAATATTCCTTCCAAGCTCTAGATCAATCCTGCAAATTAACACTTTCCCATTCTAGCTGAACAGTTTTCGAAAACTTTGCAATGTCAAAAACACCAGCACCAACAGGAGAACCCAATTTTGCAACAATCTTACGGCAAGATAAATGGCAGCCGATTCTTGTGTTTAAACTCAATGCTTACGGCGGTTCCACAGAATATCTTCCGATTGCCATCCGAAAGGTAAGTATCATAGGGCGATTGACTCGATGACGTGTGACTGCAATCTAGTAGTTGATTGTAAATAACGAATCGAAAGTCATTATCAAAGCGCATTGTCGCCCTGAGTCATGTGGCAGCGAAAGATTTGATTTTATTTGAAAATTAACCAAAGCAGACATACCAACTTGAAGCATTTGACATAATATTGTTTTAATGATAAGCACCCAAACAGCAATTAAGTGTATGTACTCGTACATACATACATTCTTGTACATATGTATATATGTATGTACAAAAATAAAAATAAAATCACTTGCCTCTTTGCTTTCAACGCAGCCGAGGCTTTAGGTTTTACAACTATAAGCAAATGGGAATGATATGATACGTATACATATATGAAAATACTATAAAAGCAATTACCAGTTGTTCACGATGCAATAAGTCATTAGACCCATGATTATTAGTAATAGTATTTTAAAATACGCATTCGCCTTAAACTCTTTCTTTCCTACTCTCACTAGAATGAACTGTGACGACAAATTAATAACGATTAATGGCTGTTTTCTATATCCTTTATTTGCAGAAATCCCCTAATTGATTGTGACGATCAAGTCTAAAATATTTACAATGTGTAATGCAAATGGAGAAACGTATGGACCACAAGAGTCGAATTTAGATTAAGTTCCTAAGCCTTAAAAGGCGACAAATTGTCTGAACAACCTGTACGTTTGCAGAGTTCGTATACAAAATAAAATAATCTATGAAAATGCCAGTTTATAAACAATACATAAATGTAATTATTAGCGTTTATATACATGTATATTATTCTTGCTAGAAATTCTCTTACAATCATTTCAAATAGAAACTATCCATAGTAGGGGGAAGAAAATTTGTACGGCTTTTAAGTTGCAAGTCGTTCTAGCTATTTCTTTTCGAATCAATAAGAAGCAGCTGGTCATAAAAGTAAAAATTGCTTTTTTCTTTCGATTTTGTTTTTGTACGATTATCTGAAACTTTATTAATTGGTTAAAGAATGTTATAATATTATCCTAAGGGCAAGGTTGTCACTAGTTTTTAAGTTGTACAACATTCTTTCAAGCATCCATTTAATATTACACATTTAAGAAACTATTATTTAAGAAAATATTCCTTATTTTGAGAATGCTGTTCTTCCAATTGTTTGCTTGGTCTTGAAATTATGAATTTCTTTAATCAAGAAATAGTAATATTTCAAATTTTATAGGACTTTCTTAGAGGTGTATTTAAAATGATAAGGGCTTGCAACCAATCGAACCAATTGAAACCAATTTTTGTGACCACTGCGAATTAAAGTTGGACAGGAATTAAATTGGAAGAGGTTCTTGTGACACCTCTGTACTTCAGAGATACTTTTTGCATACCACATTATCTATTTGTAGTGCTAACAATTCTTGATAAAATGGTTGGCCGCTTTAAATGGGTTGCTGATTGCCACTGCCAATGAGCAATGCACCAACACCAACGACCAACAATAATCATAACGATGACAACAGGGCCGCAGTCTATACGCACTTACTATACATTCATAGATGGATGACTAGCGGCGAGCCGAATTTCATTATACACTTTACAATCGATCAATGTCATAGAGTTTCTTTTTTTCATTCTTGGAGTTAGCGGTTATTTATTTTCTTGACCTTTGCACGATGGCGGTGGTTAATTCCCCGCATTATATCACTTTATTAATATTTGTCAATTGGAGTTCAATGTTTACGTCTCTCAGTCAATTTATGCGGAATGAATACAAAGGACAAAATCACTCGGTGTCAGGTTTGACAGGCAGCCCAGGATTTCATAAAATGTGAAGATACTGGGTTCATTTTAGTTCGTTCGTGTTAGTTGTTTTCTATTTCTTCCCCATTTCCCCAATTGCGGTAAAAGTCATTGCGGCAGGCATGAATCTTATTGGATGTTCGCATGCGTCTTTAGAAATCCTGTCAATCCTGATTTTCTCAAAGTGTAGAAGTTCGTGTTAGGGATGTATCGCGGCCCTAAGGCCATGAAGATGTCTTCAAGTGATCTTTTTATATCCGTTGCCGCGTACGTTCCTGCCAAAGCTGATTCGTCCCCCTTGGCGTTGTCGCCTCCCATACTGCAAGCTGGGCTATTTGCTGAATAGAAAACGTTGTAAGGTGCATTGGAGGCCCATGCGACTGTTTTTCAAGGGTAAATACAAATAGTATAGATAAAAGCTTTTGTTTTTATTGTATTTGGACTCTTTTTTGAGCACTGATAACGTACGACTGAAACAATCAATTAATAAGCACCGTTCGCTCTGCCGTCATTTCCATTGGCAGTTAGTTCGAATTTGATTCGCGGCGGGTTGAGAGTCGAGGTTTTCGTTAGAGCAGAACTGCAGCGTTTGGCTAGTCACCACGAGGTAAAATCAGATCATATAGAGTATAAATAGCCATTTGTACAAGTGAGCTTCATGACAAGAGCCTAGCTATATAAATCAAGATCGTGATGATAAAAAGAAGAGTACACGAAAACATATGTACTATACGTGATATCATGCCACCAATAAATTGTTTGAAGTTTCGAGGCGGGTCGCCAAAAAAGTAACTGGTGTGTGTAATCATTGACTAAAAATATTTTCATTTACTTAATTCTTTATGTAACGAGGCAAGGGTAATGCGATTTTATAAAAGATTGCTTCATTAGCAAAGAATTTGCCCCTCAATTGCGATAAGTGAAAAGTGGAAATAGTAACGATGGCAAAGGGGCGCAAAAGCAGTGCTTAATTTCGTTTATCTAATCAGAAAGGTACGCAGGCAGGTGGACGGGCAGGTATATACAGACTATTGCATACAAAATACGCCGTATATATGTACGTACCCACATGCCAAATAAATAATACATATCGGTAGGTATATGTAAGTCAGTACATATATCTCCTCATATATTTCTCTTGCGACTGTGCTTTGATTTTTGTCATACCTGTCTTAAAATCATTCACAAAGGAGACCCGCAATCGCTTGTTACCCTTGAAGATGGTTAAACCGAGCCAACGGACGTTAAAATACTTTCGAGCCATAAAGGTCATGAGTAGGTGAATTCGTGTATTTCATTGAACTCTTTCTCCCTTTCCTGTTTTTTTATATATGTATATATATATATTACTCGGATGAAACCAATGAGCTGTTTCACTGAAAAAAAAAAAACAGATAAATGAATTCATTACTGAAATTTGTGATATACTTTAACCGATATGAATTTGGGTGACTGATAGCATTTCCCACAATTTTGTTCAATGCAGCATGCCCCACAACGGCTTTGAGAATGGAGGAGGAGTCTTCTCCAACGGCCAGTCAAATGGAGGTTATGGCCAAGAGGATATAAAGCCGACATATGCACTGGAACACTTGGCCACGTTCAAATTGAAAAATGAGTCGGAAATGAAACAGCCAAAGGAAAAAATGAAACTGCTCGTGGAACTGGACAAAACTGGTGGCATTTGGCCCCACAAGATGTATATGTGCTTCAATGGTCAGTGGCTTCTGATGCTGGACGGTGAAATGAGAGAAATAGAAAACTTTCCGGGCAGCGTCATATCTGAGCCCACTGCCTTTATCAGCGATGACCCGTTGGAAACTTACAACAACATTCTGATATTCTCCGTTCCGGGAATTTCATTGGGCAATACGGAAATGCACATTTTCCAGGTGAGAACTCCATTCGAGAGTAGAAAAAAACGATGGATATTGAACCAATTGTGTTAGGTCGCGGATGTGAACTCTGTGCACTTGGTGGAGGATTTACGTCAGCTTAGCAGTGGTAAGCCCGTCACAGTCGACCGCAACAAGACTCCCATACGCTTGCCCAAGCCGGATCGGTCCCATCAGCAGGCTAAGGATCAATATGGGTTCGCAGCAGCAGCAGAAAAGCATTCACAAGATCGCGAGCAGACAGAGCGTGACATACAGGTAAGCAATAGCTAAAAAAAATAAATAAATACTTAAAAGAGGATTCTTATATATGTATGTATAATAGAAAAGTATTCTAAAAAGTTAAAGTTCTTAATTAACTATTAAAAGGTGTTGAACCACTGTTTCGAGGATATTGAACGTTTTATTGCACGGCTGACATATGCAGCGGCAGCCCTTAAGGAGCTTGAGTCGCGCAAGGACGAACATAACCCTCATGGTGAGGGACTTCTGTACCTGCGATCACGCCCGCCAATCGAGAGTGAATTCAATGATATTTTTGCGAAGATAAAACTGGCTCTCAACTATGTGGTCAAGCTGCAAAACTATCTACCCAAAGGCATCGTCCCGATCCACAACATTTTCATTTCACTGAACACTATAGTGAATGTGAGCAACGATGTGTACGCGGGCACCAAACTGCCAGAGAACGTGGTCAACCCTTTGTTGCGCAGGGAGACGGTTGGATTCTTGAATGGGTGCTTGGATCCCCAGGAGAAGGAGTTGTGGTATAGCCTAGGCCCTAACTGGTCGGTTCCAAAAGATCAGTTCAAGGATCACAAGGGCTCATATCATCCCATATTCTATGATGATTGGTCACCTGACTGGGTTGTCGATGAAGAAGTTAAATACTTGCCACCAGCTATCAAAAAAGCCCAGTCACCCCTACCCATTCCCCCCAGTCCAAGCCCTAACGTTAATCGTACATGGCTCAGTCGATTGGAGAGTCGTAATGTAGATATCGCAGAGGTTATTTACAATAAATCTGCTACTAACGACAAGGAGCTAAACGTTACAACAGGCGAATATTTAGAGGTGAGTCGATATTTTTCTGTAACAAATTTCACTGGCTACAAATTAATTTGAATTCCAACCAAAGATCATTGACGACTCCCGAAATTGGTGGAAGGCGCGCAATTCCAAGGGCAATATTGGCTATGTCCCGAACACAGTCCTCAAGCCTTACAACTTTGAACATGTTCCCCACCGTAATGGCCGCGATACGGACTCTCTGGCCTCAGTCTCGTCTGGAATAGAGAACGGAAATGGTGACATTCATAATCCCTTGTATCGCAATGCGATGACCATGTACGTTCCACCTGAACCTGTGGAACCTCAGCAACAGGTAGCTGCCAACAAGGGTATGCCACGCTCGTTCTCCATGCCAAATGTTCCTGTGCCACCCCCAATGCCGCCACCAACTGACAGCAACTTGCCAACACCTAGCGGTACATTGAAGCGAAACATGGCCGCAGCTGGGGCTCTAGCAGGTAGACTTCTTTCGAAGAGATTGTGGTGGCAACGTATTTACGATATTTATCTCTCCTGTAGCAATGCGCGCTCGCAATGAGTGCGATGCCGATGACGAGGCCTATCAAATGCAGGGGGATGTTAACGATGAGTTGCGCATTATGTTGCAGCAGCGGCAGCGCCGAAAGGACCTTGAAATTCTTAAGACTCCTGAAATATACATCAATCAAAACTCAAAACCTAAGGAGGTGGAGGAGTGGCTGCGCGGTAAGGGCTTCTCCGACATTATTATAAAGCGTCTACACACGCTCAACGGGGAGGAGATTTTTGCACTCAAGCCCCACACCATCGAAAGCTATTTTGGCCAAAAGGAAAGTCGTCGTCTCATTTCCCAGATCGTACTGCAAAAGAATTTCTGCGAGGTATGAAGCTAAATATTTTTTTCGTTCTCCAATAATTACAGTCCCTCTTCTCCGCAGTACAAAACTATCCGATCATCGGAGCTATCAGCCAAATTGGCGCGGGCAAGGCAAAAGGCCGACCAACCAACCGCTGATCCGAATGAGGTTTTTTAATTTTTTAAATTACCAACTAGTTGTTGCACAGGCGAAACCATCTTTCAATGTTGTGCTGATTTAGAGGTGCTCTTCGTGTATAACATTTCATTGAACCCCCTGCGAATCGCATCTCTGTTAACCGCATACATTTTCACAATAATACTTTATATACATATGTACATATATCTAATCAAGTAGGTAAGCGCCAACAATTAACATTTACAATAAAATTCCCACTCTTAGCTGCCTATTCTGAGTATTGTTCATTTCATTGATGTTTTAATATTTGGATGTATACATATCAGTAGGTGTTTGAAAAAACTCTTCTTAAAAATGCTCAATAGAAACCACCTACCTCCACAACATGATATTGTTTTCTTGGTTAGATAAGTTACTCGACGTCTGCTATTTTCTGAAAGGAGAGGGCATCATGGGCGTAGCCAGGATTTGGTTTACGTGGAAGGGGGTGTGGTTAGTATTTTCTTGAGCCGATATGTATAGAATAATTCTAACGAAAATTTTTACTCTCCTTGCTGCCCTAAAGAACATGAACAGAAAAAAATACAATTGCCCTTTACTTACCTTTTTTAATATAACAAATAATAAATACTCTGTACTCTGTTGCTACTTATAGAATCTCTATATACATATATAAAGCAATGTGTCCTGACTGAATGATTGGAGATCAACACAAAGCCCAATTTAATTCCTATTTTGCCAGCGCTTAGGTACTTGGTATGAGAATCGCAGAGGAGGGCACCCACAATATTTTAACTTAATTTATCAGAAATTTCACAATTTAAATCCACAAATTTACTATTTAATTTGATAGAAATTTCACAATTTAATTCTTATTTTGCCAGCGCTTAGGTACTTGGTATGAGAATCGCAGAGGAGGGCGCCCATAATATTTTAACTTAATTTATCAGAAATTTCACAATTTAATTCCCACAATATTATTATTCAATTTATCAGAAATTTCACAATTTAATTCCCATTTTGCCAGCGCTTAGGTACTTGGTATGAGAATCGCAGAGAAAGGCGGCCACAATATTTTAATTTAATTTATCAGATATTTCTCAATTAAAATCCACAAATTTATTATTTAATTTTTTAAAAATTTCACAATTTAAATTTATCAGAAATTTCACAATTTCTGTAAAATAAAAATTATAATATTTTGAAATTAAAATGTGAAATGTTTGATAAATTTAATAAAATATTGTGTGCGCATTCCTCTGCGATTCTCAAACCAAGTACCTAAGCGCTGGCGAAATGAGAATTAAATTGTGAAATTTATAAAAAAAATTTAATAATAATATTGTGGGAATTTTTCATGTTGTAAATAAATTTATAATTAAAGCGAAAATACTGAGCCCATCAAAGACGGGCAAGACCTGCTAGTCATTTTATAAATGCGACTCTAGCATTCCTTTCTTGTTTTTTCTAAGTTTAAGCTAAAACGCTGCCATTAATTAAAGGGTATATTGAATAAATGTATTTTCGTTTATTTATGACTCTAAGTCCAAAGCTAGTGTGTCAAAATTGGTAATTAATGACAACAAGTACCGTCACGCCGTCGAAGCTGCAAATGTTGTAACATTTTCGAAAGAAAAACTTTCTAGGTCACACAGCTGATGTTTCAATATTATACATACATACATAGTTGTCGCATTACAAAAGGCCCACTCGAAAAAGGTCAACACGTGAGCTGTACATATGTACATGCCATGATGTACATGTGTACAAATCTTTGTGGGTGTGTGAGCTTGTGGGTCGTCTGTTCACGTTGTATGAGCAAAGAAAATGGACAATTGAAACAATTAAACAAAGTTATCTTTAGCTACGGATTTTTATATACCCTACAGTGTGTTTTTCTTAGGAAAAAGTTAAGCTTTTTACGTAAGAGTAAGGCCACAGGATCCCGGTCTAGACCTGTAAATCAAGATGTTTGATGCTTTGTTACATGATTTCGCTACTTTTGGGTACACCTTTAGGGCTTCCCATACTCCTTCTTAGTATAATTCTGCAATAATCTACAGTACAATTAATTATATATCCAGTTTAATTAATCAAAAGCATAAATTTCAAATATCGACTGAAGGCACGTATCATTCAAAAATGTACTCTTTTTAAATGTTTTGCTGTGGAAGACGCACGCGATCTAATAATAACAATATTTTATTATATGGCTAAGACGCGTGGCCGAGATTTCTCAATCACATTTGTGTTGCTTATATTAGTTTTAACCTAAAACTGTAAATTGAACAATTGTTACCAAAATGTGATTGGCTGATGGCACACTTATCACTGATCTACCCCACCAGCAGATTCGCAAATGAAAAGCAATGTGGTTCCTACAAGAGTACGAAACGTGCTGAATCCAAAAATGATATGAAGCAATGCCATAGCCAGCGCCAAATTCTTTGGGCACACATTTAACACACACACAAACACACACACACACACACACACACACACACACACATGTGGGCCTACAGAATTATACAAGTTACTTTTTTTCCTTGACTAGCAGGCCCCCCACCGCTAGCTGGATGTGTAAGTACAAGCTGGTGCAAATAAAAACAAAGTTAACTTCTTTGATTTACGCTCGCAGTCGAGCCGAGCCGATTCACAACAACAACAACAACAATTGCAACTCGGCCGGTACGCCGGCGCAAGCCTCAAGACAAAGTCGCGACGTTGCAAGCTGAGCAGCCAGCGTCTACGCTTAACTTGCTCAGCCGCAAAGCTGCTCGAACAAAATCGTTATAAAAGCGCCAAATTCGCGCCAACACAGTCAGTACGCCGCCGTCACTACCTTGGGCCTTGCCACAGTTAATACAAATATTTAAAAACCGACAAACAACTAAGAAATCAACCAATAAGGCTCTAATAAACCAATAGATTGTTTTTGAGTGAGTGGGCTAATTAAATTGTGAATTGTTTTAGTAATCGAAACAAAACCAAAACGCAAATTGAAATAATAAATTCCACTCCGAGGTGTTGAATTCACGATTACATGTTCGGTGGATTGTAACTAGTATTTTTACTAGTATTTGTTGGAAGGAAGCAAAGCGTTGCTTCTATAAGCCCTCCTTCTCACAAGGGGGTGTGCGTTATGTGTTTTTAACAGTAATAGTGAAAGTAATATTTAATATTAACATCTAAATACAAATAATTAGCGTACATTTCGAAAAGTACAAGGATATTCTGGAAATGTAAGTAGTGAAAAAATTCATATAATATAAAATATACTAAAGTAATACAAATCTTAATAAATAGTTTCGGGAATGGTTTCCAATAACAACAACGAAAATGGAGAAATTTTCAACGTAAATTAAAATTGAAAAATGTCTAGAGTTCTGCAAAACTATGGTTTTATTTGATTGTTGTTAAAGTTTAATCACAAGGTTTTATATCCTTAAGAGTAAGTTCAATTAAAGTTGAATGAAGTCCAGTGCAGAATAATATAATATAATCAAAATTCGTTCTATAATCCACTTCTGCGGTCGGATTCCTTTTAAATGTCTTTGAAAATTGGAGCAGGGCTGAGTTTTTATAATCAGCTATTTAAAAATCATTAACATAAAGCATATACTTAACGACAGTTTGAGTGACCGCGCCATTTAAAAACTACAGAAAATGTAACGAAATTTTGGATTAAGATGATTTGTTAATGTCTTGCCTTTGGTTAGTAAGCTGTACAATAAAATATATCATTTAGCCATCTCCAAGTGAGGTAATTATGTAAAGCACAACATTATTTACTTAAAAACAGCTTTAACTGTAAAACTGCTTGTATATGGCGCTATACTCGTAATTGTGTTGAAAATGAAAAATGTTTTTATTATAGGGCAATTATATTTGGACAGACAGCAAGCGAGAGACCTTGATAGTTGAACTCGCTTTTGCCTTCATCCATGGGGCGCTGGTCATTATGGCTGAGCTCCGTATGCCGAGCTCGTAGAAAAGTTTTTAAGACAAATAAAACCCCCAACACTTATCACCTTCTCACCCACTCCCCCTGCAGTTCAATGAATGCCTTGTAATAATTTCGAGCCGCACGTAGCTCGGTAATTTGCTTCATTAAATTGAGTACGCCTCTTATGCCTATTCAATCAGCTGCAAACTGCCATTGTTTCCAGCTCATAATACCAAAAGATAGGGCCAACTTCGTTTGCCGAAACAAATAACAAAATCAGCAGCAACGTTTCGCGTGGCGCTGCCACCATAAATTGTACATTAGACAGATTAAATCGGGTCAATACACATAGTTGCCTCGTGGCCAATTACTGGTTCGCCAGGTTCAATGCATATTATTCATTTAGTACATTTGAATAGCAGCCAGTTTGACAACGCGCTGCGCTGGCCACATTGCATTTTAGGTTTTGTATTGAAATTCATGCTTGCGTCGTTTCTTATTTGTATAGATATTTTTCTCATGAGCTTTTGTACTTACTTTCACTTTGGGATCTTAAGCCAGTTACGTAAGCTAATTAAAATAACGTAAAATTAAAAATAACTATAACAGAAAAACATGCCAATCTTACCATTCACCCACAAATAAGTTGTTTCAGTGCAGATTCAAAATCAATTCCTAGAAGTCATTAATCTTTAAGCATGTTAGCACATGTGTAGATATAAGCGGAATAAAGAGATTTGTAACAAAATGGCTCTTATAAGCTCAAAAAATTGAAAAATATGTAGCTACAAATTCACAAAAGCATAGCATATTCATCAATTGCAACATTGGATTCTGATACTCGTACATGGAGTGCCTGTGCAATACCATGTTTTCGTTGATGTCTTTGTTGCCATCAACTCAAAAGGCATGTGTGCTCTTATATGGGTTACAATTGCAATTCCTGTATAATTTGTGAAATTTGAATATTTCTCTCTTGATTTCGAACATGGCATAGAAGTTATGGGAATTATGGCAATCATACAATGGATGCGAGACAGTGCTCGTACATAGACTGGTTTTGTAATATTTAGTCAACAAACTCGAATATATGTACATATATATATATATATGCTCGTCTTTAAATTAATTACTCTTTTTATGCTCTGTACTCTATGATTATAATGAAATTTTTAAGTATTTTTTAACAGACTGTCCCTAAGTTTCTCTGTCTGTTGGGGTTATCAGTGTCTGTACATTAGATTATCTGTCAATGCGTCTCTCGTTGGAAAGGATTTGTAATAGTCTGGCAATTCCTCGAACTTATAATTTTAATTTGTTTGATTTGGAACGGTGGAATAAATTGCGGAATATTTTTAACATAATAAAATAAATGACTCACAAATAATGTTCCAAAAACATGAAGGATATTAAGTCGTAATTTAAATGTATTTTAGTTTTTATAACAATTTGAAGGTCTAGCCCGCAAAGAGTCGAATCTTTTAATGTTAAAACAAATCTAATTAAATACCTAATTGCATTTTTCGATTGTAGGACTACAACAAATAACGACCTTCAAAACAAGGCGGCCATCGATCAAATCTGCAAACTCATTTATATTATTACTATAAAGGCAATGATGCATAGTCGTTACCAAGTTGTAATCGCGATATTTACCAATCGTATTTAATTGACATAATTTACATCAAAGAAAGCACACAACAAGTCCAACCTGTTTAAGCATTTCGTTTTCACTGCCGGCATCTCTGATGCAACCGACATTTTCAAAGTCAAGGTCCACTAACATAAGTGCGGCAATCGTCATGCAATAGCCAGTGGGGGCCGACAACAGCGATCAGCATCTGACAGCCACATCGTCTGACCATATCGTGCCAATTACAACTCCATTCAGCAAAAATTCACACGATTGCATTTTTCTTTCGACGATTTCTTTCGCCTATTTGCTGCAATTGCTCCGTGGTAGACTTTCCGCTTTATTTACAACTATTTGGCATAGCAATGTATTTATAACTTCCTCAGCTTAACAGCTGAACAGGCGTTGATGCACATACGGGTATACTTGCATACATATGTACATATGTATGTATGTATGTATATTTGGGACTTTAGTTGTCATTGTTAAAGCGCTATACGGAAAACTATTAAAAATCTGCTCATGAAAACAGGCTGACGACGTATTATGCATAAATCTCTCTCTTTGGCCGTAACCCTGTCGGAAAACTTGCAATTCCTCAGCTGATTAAGTACTAATTAAAGGCGCAGCAAAAGTAATGAAAACATGGGACAAGTTGCTGGGAGCTAATAAAGCTGTCATAACGTGGAGCCACACTCTTGTAAACCACAGCAAGTGCGACCGAATTCCTCAATCTCGTTGCGTATCCGACGCGTGCCGTGGGCACTGAATCCGAACGGTGACGAAGGCTTTTAATGAATTTCCACAAACACACACACACACATACATATGTACATATATTTCAAATTTGTAACCGTCCATTGGCGTGTCTTTGTTTCGCGCACTACGGCTAACAGCTTATTGTGTGCCACCAGAGCAGTCACTTTCTTTGCTCACTTCCGTTATATAATTTGTATTGCTCTGCTCTGGTTGGCATTGTCTTTGTCGCCTGCTCTGTGGCCGGACGTGGCAGTCGCGCCTAGAGCATCATAATTGCATAAAACTTAATTAATTGCTAAAACGTTATTTTTTTTTGGAAACAGTCACTGAAAATTAAATTAGCAAATAAATTTATTTATTGCCACCAAATTGGCTCTTACGTAATATTTGTGGGGCTATGCACACATATATAACAATGTTATTATAGATAATTTGTTGTTGCTTATTGTTTTAAACTTGTAATTTCTTCAAAGAATATTTTATGTTCTACATAAATAGACTACTCATGGATTTGGCATGCCTAGAAATTTTGTACTTTTTATTAGCTGGTATTAGTTAGTTCAGTTTTTGTGAGTAGCATTGAAACTCTGAAAATATTATATTTTGATTCATTTCTTTCGAAAAACAAAGACGCCCTTTCAGCATAAGCGATTATGTAATAATTGTTTTATGAATTTTCATCATTAATCATCGTTCAAACTAAATACGCCCAGTAATTTCTAAAGCACCTCGCTTTTCATATTTTACTTCAAAGCCTAATCAATTAATCAAATAATACTACTACATAAATAGTATTTAGCTCTTTTGATTAAAAGTCAGAGCTGGAGGCTGTTCAGTCGCTGCAGTTTAGGAGCTCGAGGCAGAACATGTTAATGGCTTGTGTGTTTTGCCTAAGACCGGACTAATTGTAAGGTACTACGTTTTTATTTAAATTAGGGAAATAGGTATTCACATAAGAATGTATTTAATTACACATAATTGTGTGTCAGCTGCGGCAAAAAACTTGAAATAACATAGATATTGCAAATGTTTTTTAATGTACCTACATACATGCATACGAATGTACATATGTATTACGTTATTAAAATAACAAAAAGGCAACTCGAGCACAAACAAGTCAATCACGTCATAAATGAATGTATGGTGGTCGTTCAAAAGTGGTGCACACGAGTCCGAGTCGCGGTTGCCTTTTGACTAGCCATAACCGAAATATAGTTATGTATGTATGTATAAATACACACACACATACCTTTTGTACACACATATTTTCAATTTATGTAATACAAACAACGACCAACGCAAAAAGTTCTCGTTTGAAAAGTGAGTGGAAAAATGCAAAAACAAAATACCAAGTCAATAAATAAAGCCAACATTAAAAAGCGTAAATGGCCTTAGCTTCACAGAGCTGTGGTCTCTTATGCTGGTATGATTGTAGGTATGTGTGTTATGTGTTGTCCAACGATCGGTGAATACGAAGCAACTCGTCGGCTTGTTGCTGTCAGCTTACTAACTATTGTAGCGCCGACAATTTACAATCCTCTAGATGGTCATGGCCCCTCTAAATGCACTCAAAAAAAGTTAATTTAAAGGTTTTAGGATTCCTACTTTCGAGGCAAGTAAAAAAGTAAAAGCTCGTTAGTGTTATACTGAAACTTTATATAATTTATAATTGATGTTAAGTTTGAACACAGTAATCTAAATTGTACAATAAACTTTTATTTTTTAAATTTAATTGTACAAGTATTTATTTCTGTCAATAAAGTAAACTATGTTACTTTTAAAAAAGGAAATTTTGCACTACAGCTATCACTTTCCGATTTTGTTTTCCATGGCCAGGACAAATTTGAGGAATTGGAATGACTGATTTTTCTAGGATTATTATTGAATACAAAATATATTTGATTTTTTAATTTTTCTATCTCTAATCGGACTCCGGTTTCAATGCTGATCAATATTGCAACAAATAAAGATTAGGAGGTGCATTTTCTTCCTTTTGTGCTTCACCTAAATTGAAACAAACATTTAAACCCATTTATATTTTAGTTCTGGGCAAAATTATGTTGTTTTTTGTTATTTAAATGGCATAATTTTCTCAGTGCAAGCACGTATTGTTCGCAATTAAAACTAAAGCAAATGGCGTTTTCTTCAGTATACAAGTATATTGGATCAATGGGCATGGGTGCTGGCTGTAGTCTACGACACACAACAACAGCATTGAAGTCGTGATATGTCATACTGTTCAGCCGGAATTGGCGAAAGGCAATTCATTTAATGTCTTGAACTAAGAACGACAATGTTGTTGACTTTTCTGGCTACTAATTGTGCTTGGCTACTACATACATATTTATGTACCTAGTAAGCTTGGCGAGAAACCCTGTTTTCAACGTCAACAACAAACACAATCGAAACGCGACGGGGGTTGGGGTCTCGACCTATTTCATGACGCGATAACAACAAACGTTGCAATTGAAAAACAACGACTGTTGATGCAATGTGAGAGCAAGGTAAGCGGGTGGAGCAGGACAGGGAAATGATTCTGTATGTTAATGACGATTGACGCAATGTAGTAATATATTTTCAAAATTTATGTATACATTTATAATTATGCATAAACGATTTCAAGTAAACGAACTAAATAAGCAGTTGCACTGATTTAACATTTTTTAAGGAGTCGCTATAACGCGCCAGTACTGGTTCTACTTCTTCGGCTATGAACTCGACTACCTGATCACTTGCACGTCCGGTAAACGTTCGGGGATTTAGTATTTCATCCAAATGACCCAGGATTGGTGCAAAATAAGCATCGTTTCGCACTCGTTCGACCAGATCATTATCCTTTCCGAACTGCTTTACTTGAGCACCAGCTTCCTGGGAAAGAACGCGAATCTTCTCATGACATTCCTGTCTATCTCCGCCGGCCTTGACCATGGCCATAATTATATTTTCAGTGGACATAAATGGCAGCTCTTGTGCAATGTGACGCTCGATTACCTTATTATAGACAACCATGCCCTGGGAAATGTTTAGTAGAGTCAGCAATGCTGCATCCGCCGAGAGGAAAGCCTCTGACAATGTCAAACGTCGATTGGCCGAATCGTCTAATGTTCGCTCCAACCATTGTGTGGCATGCGTGTTGGCAGCGTTATTGAAAAGTGTAATGAGATGTCGGGCTAATGCGCAACAGCGTTCCGAACGCATCGGATTCCTTTTATAAGCCATTGCCGAAGAGCCAATCTGCGTGGACTCAAAGGGCTCCTCCATTTCTTTGCGGGATGCAAGAATGCGTAGGTCAGAGCACATCTTATGTATGGTGGTGCCGAGGCTCGAGAGCGTAGCCACAATCTCGACATCTACTTTTCGGGAATACGTTTGCCCAGTCACGCCATATGGCTTACTAAATCCAGCCAACTTCGTCACTAGCAAGTCCAATTCCTTTACTTTCCCGCCGTCGCCATTAAAGAGCTGCAAGAAGGACGCTTGCGTGCCAGTTGTACCCTTGACTCCGCGGAAACGTAAATCCTCCAGACAGCGCCTCAGAGCACGCTCATCCATAAGTAAGTCTTGAATCCATAGGCAAGCACGCTTACCCACTGTAGTCAGCTGTGCCGGTTGTAGATGCGTAAAGCCAAGAGTCGGTAGCGATTTGTACGTCTCTGCGAACTGTTTTAAGCACAGTATGACAGAGGCTACACGAGGTAGCAATAGCTGCAGTGCATCGCGTAGTACTATAAGGTCCGTATTATCCCCCACATAGCAGGATGTGGCTCCCAAATGTATGACCGGTGCAGCTTTTGGGCATTGCTTTGCAAAAACGTGAACATGTGCCATAACATCGTGCCTAGTTAACCGCTCTTCTGCAGCCGCCGCTTCAAAATCTATGTTCTTAATCTGTTGCTCCATTTCTGTTATTTGCGCCTCACTAATTTCCAACCCCAAAGTACGTTCCGCCTTCGCCAACCAGACCCACAGTTGTCGCCATGTGGAAAACTTGTTTTGGTCGCTAAACAGAAACTGCATCTCCTTGCTAGCATAGCGGGTACTCAAAGGTGATTTGTATCCCTCGTAATCGCTTGTGCCGGCCATTTTTCACTCGCACTATTCGACTTTTCCTCCAGCAGAAAAACTTTTGCAATGAAATAAACACAACTTGTTGCGGCTATCACATTGAAGTGTTACCCCACTCTGAAAAGCAGAATTTGTTTACCTACACAGCTGTGGCGATAATTGCACCGTCGAGATGCTCGATTGACTCGATAATTTGAATGCCGATTTTATGATAACGGCTGCCTTTATTTAAAATAAAAATCGCTAAAGCAAACTTGTTTGAGGCTTCTTGCCAACGATATCCAATTCAATTTTTGCAGTTTTTGAAAATTTATTGGAAACAAGATGTGTTTCGAAACAACAAAAATGCATATCTTCTCGATTTTATGAGTAACAAAAACCTTAATTAAAAATTAGGATCAATTAAATAAGCGACACTAATTTGACAACTCGATTTAACGACTAGTGTAAGCAACAAAAAACACTCAACGTTCATTGCTCGGACTTACAGATAGAACAGGTTCCACAAATACGAACCAAAACAGTTAAGAATCAATTAGTGCGGCTCATCTAAAAACGCGACCGGTAAGGCGATTGCAAATTGCATTTGGTGCCCAATCGCATGTGTGAAAATATCCAAATCACTGCTAAATTTGCAACAAAAATGTCACAGTTGCGTAGCAACGGATGTCAAGACGTGACAGCTGCCAGACACGGACCACTTGAAGCCGCCAACAAGTTCATGAGTGTGTTGCTGGTGCTTGGGCGTAGTAATGATTGCGTTTGTACTAGCATGTTTATTTTTATTTCTTAGTCATGTGACTTATAACTGGGTTTTCACATAGTAAATGCACCAACATTTTGCGCAAGTCATGTGACTTTTTTGGCCAAAAAAAAAATGATTGCTCTAAAGCAATAGCTTTATATTTTTATTGAAATCAATTAAACAAAAAACTGCCATTGTATAACATAGATTTTATGTTTGGTCTTAATGACAAAAAGTAAAAATATTTTGTAATTAATGCGCCATATTATGTGCAAGAAATTGCCGAACAGGCTGCTAGCAATAAGTGGCATTATACACAAGATTTGGAGTAGGCCCAAATACCAGAGCACCGAACAACAACGCTAGCGCCAGCCCCAGCAACAGCGTCACATCGTCAGCTTCTGATGAACACTTTAAAGGTGCACTTTCATTTAAAAAGGCGATTTCAATTAGTGCTTGTTGCTCTATCGGTCAAACAAATCGGAATGTGTTCGATTTGTGTGCACACCACGTCGCCGGGTTGGTGCAGTCTTGTCATGCCACCGTCCATCGTCCAGCGGTCCTAGTCCGTCTGAGTCAGATTGCAATACAAAGTATCTCGTTATGGTGCCCGCCAGGTGGGCGCCGCAATGGTTTCGCTTGCGCCTATATGCTTAAGCCTCAATCAAACAATCCATCAATCAATCAATAACTTTTTCATGAATTTCCCTGTCAGGCTGCTTTGAACTATTTTACACTTAAATGATCACCAAAAGTTTTTGACTATGAATTCGATTTTAATTAGAAGTTGTTAAAGTCGTTAAATTTGCTAGTAATTTCCCAGTTTGGCAATTACTCTTGTTTTGCCCTAATTAGGAGGATTGTTGTGTTTTTTTTTTTTTTTGCTCTGGTTCCACTTCAGGTCTCCACATTGCACCACTTTAATGCTGTTACATATTAATGCAGCCTTCTCAACTAACTAAACTCAGTATAAATATTTATTATTCTGTTTTATTTCGTATGGCTCTGTGCCAGTTAAAATTATTTGCTGCTAGTCTTAATTGAATTAAAACGATTTTTATTATTTGATTTGAAGATAAATAGTTGAACATTACAGTAAATGTTTGCGTACTTGAATAAATAAATTCAAAGCTGGATTATCTATTGTTGTCTAGCATACTAGTAGAATTAGCCTTGGTCAACGGTTACGGTTAAACTCAATTTAAGCTCGAGCTTTCATATTTTGAACGGCGTGCTGGTTGACTTCAGTGTTCGTTAAGATAGCCGCGAACTCGTTACTATTCTGTTTGATCTTGGCTTGATTCAGATTGCAAAATGCAGTTAATCAACCAAAAGACTCTTAGTAAAATTTTCAATTGGTGTAGCCTAACCACCCGTCAATTTTTAATTGATATGAAAAATATTGCTGGAACAAACCGAGGAACAAATGACACATATATGTATCTGCTCCTGTATAAATAAGGTAAAGAGAACATAGTTTATTTAATTGCTTACATATTGGTACGGACAGCATACAAACACAAGCACACAACCATAGATATTTCCATAGACACAAGGTCGGTCCATTGTTCTTCGTGCCAAATATCGACACCGACATCGACACAGCTTGTATTTGTTATATAATAACGTGACAAAGACTATAGATTTCTCTATTACCATGCAGCAATGCAGGCAACTGGCATTTTGCACAAAGGTCTGAAACTCTACTTTGGGAATCGTGGCGTGGCCCACTGGTGTTAAGCTAAAGCGTGTGAGATAGTTGCTTGCACAACCCGCCTAATGAATCCATTATTTAAAAACCACTAATTACTGTCGATTCAGTCATGAGCTTATGCAGTATGCTTGCAAATAAATGCCTTCCCCTCCCCTCCCCCACATAATATTTATGTAATATAAAGCCTTGACTAAAAGAATGGTATTTATACACATATTTAAATATAAGCGGAATCAAGCTCGTTTCATTATTTTATTTCATTGTTGATGAAGTAACTTAGATTTGCAGCACACAAATGTGTTTTCCAGCTTTGATAGGCCCTTGAATTGCCTCTAACGTATTTGTTAAAAGCAGAACTTTTTCACTCTTCAAACATCTTCACTGTTAGCTTGTTTCTTTGACCATTGAACAACTTTTGATTTTTGAAAAATTATAGTTTAAATGAAAGCCTAAAACTGCTAGCTGTGCTCTTTGTATATTAAATAATCATTATTAATCCAAATATGATAACAAAGTTACACAACTTTGGGATCGCAAGGATAAACTTAATAAGTGGAAATGGGATGCTAGTTCATAACTAGTACAAAAATCTCCCGAAAAATGTGCCAAATGTCAATTAAAATAAATGTCTTATGTCTTTACACAATAAGTTTAAATAAATACTTACAATATAAAAGCGACTTTAAACAAATTAACTTATACATACACATATGTATATGTAACAATAATAACTTAATTGAATTGATTATTGTTAGCATAAAATGCTTAATGTTAAAATTGATATGGCTTAAATTTAGTATATACATATATGCAAGACGCAACATATATAGCCACATTAGATAGAATTGAGCTCATACCCTAAATGTTACTCATTCATTTATTTGCTGTTGCAGTACTCTCGTTACAGCATACAACACTTTTATTAGTCCATTTAGCCAAATAGTTGCTACAATAAAATTTTCAGCGCATTGCATGTGCATGGAGTCTGGCATGTTTTTGTTTCGTATTTACCGATATGTCGCAATAAATAATAAATGCACACCGATGAGGTGATGAAACCAGTTGTGACCATAACTTGTTGCTTTGCTTACGCTAGCTCACTATTCGTAAAATGTCGTTGATCGCAGGAGTCACAGGCGATCGTTCATTGCCTCTATGCAAAGGTCTTAACTGGTTCGCATACCCATACTGTTCCACTTGTAGTCTGGTTGGCAGCCAGCTAAGAAAACTCAACACTAGCAGCAGCAGCAAGAGGCACCGCTAAAACTAATGAAAGGCTCGCGGCGAGACACTTCTTGATTGTCTGTCGACACTATGTACATATGTTTGTCCATTTTGAGGGAATCTAGACCATTGGAGTATTTGACCATGACTGCATTTCATTTCCAATTGAAATTCTATTGAAACGTCTGTTTTGATTCATGTTAACCTATGTGTGCTTTTTAGATGGCCTGTAGACGAGGAATTGTGCTTATAGCGGGCCTTAGTCTCATTTGCCATGCTCTAAGCTTAAAAGTATCAACTGGCTATCACATCGTACATAACGAGCAACTACAACCACAGCACAACTACGGTAGCTTCAAATACCTACAAGGAATTCCTCCATACTTAATTGGGTAAGCTTAACAAATCAGCGTGAGATCTGAAACCAACCTAATATCACGTTGTTGATTTTTTTTTCCAGAAATGCACTGCCCACATCGTCTGCTCCACAAAATCCGTTCTCTCTGGCCCCGAACCCCCAATCTCCCTATGGGTACAGCTTCCCAATGCCCGGTCAAGCAAACTGCGGTAGACCACCAGCCTTCTGCGAGAAGACCTCATATCGTTCGTTAGACGGATCCTGTAATAACCTGCAACGCCCGGAATTGGGAGAGGCTAATAGCCGGTACAGTAAATTATACTACTTTGTAATAATGCAGATCAATTAAACATTTAACCGACACTTCAATGCAAAGAAAAACAAGAAAGGAATATGCTAGAGTCGAGCGGGCTCAACTTTTAAATACCATGCACCTACTTCCACAAAAGCAAAATTAAACTTATTAAATTAAATTAGTATATTAAATTTAATTCATTCAGTAAATTAATTAAATAAAATAAAAATTATTCATTAGATACAAACATAAGTGACGACATACATATTTGCATGTACAGTTTCAACAGCATCCATTTACATCAGAATCTTGTCTTTGCGTGTTTATGTACGTGTATGTGTGCAGTACAGAATTAATTTAAATTAGCAAGATTACATACGGACACATAATCACTAACTGGATGTAATAACCAAATTTGAAATTCCAAGAACTACAAGAGCTATGAAAAACCACTAATAGCAGGGAAGAGGGAGCGTATAAGAATAAAAAACTTACTCTGGTTTGGGGTTAAGGGATCCTTGACTCCAAGTTTGGTTATCTTAGCTTTTCTTCTTGCTGGGATCTTTGCGCTCATACAGACGGACGAAGAGATGTACGGACAGGGCTATATCGACTATTCTTGACATACTAATTACTAGTATTTATACTTTGTGGGGTCTCCGATATTCTTAATTCTGGGTATTACATACATTCGCACTAAACTAGTATACTCTTTTACCCCTTGGGAACAGGATACATATAAAAATATGTAAATGTAGATTGCTTCACTATGATTAGAAGACTTATTGCTGACATTAATGCTCTTTAGGTATGGTCGCCTCTTGACGCCAAAGTATGCGGATGGTATCTCAGCCCCGCCCCGCTCAATCACCGGCAATGAGTTGCCTAGTGCCCGTTTGGTTTCCGTAGTTGCGTTCGGCGAAGAAGACGTCCCAGATCCCCAGTTTACCCTTCACAACATGCAATGGGGACAGATAATGACACACGATATGAGTATGCAGGCTGGAGGCACCCAATCCAGTAAGTACCTGCACATTCAGGATACGTACAATTTGAAAAAGTATACACATCTTTTGTTTCACCAAACCCTTGCAGAAAAGCATCCAACACAATGTTGTACCGACGATGGCCGACTTGTGGGTTTGGATACGGCCCATAAGACCTGCTTTGCCATCATTGTACCTCCACATGACCCAGCGTACTCTCAAGTGGGTACGGAATGTCTCAACTTTGTACGCACCCTCACAGATCGAGATGCCAATTGCCAATATACCGGTGGACCAGCAGAGCAACTGACAGTGGTGACGTCGTATCTGGATCTTTCGCTTGTTTACGGCAATTCTATAGAGCAGAACAGAGATATACGAGAATTCCAGGGTGGACGTATGATAGTGGAGGAGAGAAATGGAGCCAAATGGTTGCCATTGTCGCGCAATATTACCGGTGATTGCGATGCTGTCGATCCAAACGAAGTCTGCTATAGATCGGGTGATGTGCGCGTCAATCAGAATCCAGGCCTAGCTCTTCTGCAAACTGTACTCTTGCGTGAACATAATCGCATTGCTGACCATCTTGCGGCTCTCAATCCCCACTACGACGATCGTACTCTTTTCCAGGAGGCTCGCAAAATAAACATTGCGCAATATCAGCATATTAATTACTACGAATGGTTACCCATTTTCTTGGGAGCTGAGAATATGTTAAAGAACCGTTTGATATACAAGGCGCCCGGTGGTAGCTATGTTAACGATTACGATCCCAGCATAGACCCCTCTGTGTTGAACGAACATGCAACGGCTGCGTTCCGATACTTTCATTCCCAAATCGAAGGCAGACTCGAGTAAGTAAAGCCACACAGCTATTGAGAACAACACAAGATCTTTTAAACAAAACCCATCTGTTTGTTTTAGTCTTTTGTCTGAACTGCGCAGCGTGCTTGGATCCCTGACCCTCAGTGACTGGTTCAATCGTCCGGGCATTCTTGAGGTCGGCGATAACTTTGATTCGCTTAGCAGAGGACATGCCACACAGCCTGAAGAGTTGACAGACATTAACTTTGATAGACAAGTATGTACCTACTTCGAAGCTTTATTTAAGAAAGGAAAACGATATAAATACTACAAACATTCTCCCTCTCTTAGATCAAACACTTCTTATTTAGACGAAATGCACCATTCGGATCAGATCTGCGTTCCCTGGATATACAGCGTAATCGCGATCATGGCCTTGCTTCCTATAATGATATGCGAGAATTCTGTGGATTCGCGAGAGCTCACAGCTGGGAGGACTTCGCCGATCTTATCAGTCCACAAATAATCCAAAATCTGAAGTCGCTATATGACAGTCACGAAGATGTGGACTTAACTGTCGGCGGCTCTTTAGAGGCACATGTGGCCGGAGCACTAGCTGGTCCCACATTCCTTTGCATTCTAACCGAACAATTTTACAGAACTCGAGTTGGTGATCGATTTTTCTTCGAAAACGGCGATAAAAACACCGGCTTTACCACAGGTATGTAACACAGACTTCGCGTATGTTTATAATTCTCAAGCTGAATATTTTAATAAATATTTCAATTTTTCCTTAAAGATCAACTGGCAGAGCTTAGAAAAGCAAGTATGGCACGTTTGCTGTGCGATAACGGTAACAACATAGCTTCTATGCAGCCGCAGGCCTTCAAAACGGTGTCGGGATCGTAAGTCGATTTTTGAAATTTATGAAATAAGTATGTTAGTGACTAAAGGATTTACGATCCTTACAGAAATCCCATTGTGCCATGCTCGAATATTCCAGCTGTCGATCTAACAAAATGGATTGACCAAAAGCCATACACTGCCGCAGAGCATTCTGTTCATTTCGGGAAGAAGTGATAACATCTTGTATGCCCCAATGGAATATATTATTCAATATTGTAGTTAAATCCTTATAAATTTGTAAATTTCCATTCAATTTATTAATAGTGTTCTAAGCAATTATGTACCTTAAAAACAATGTAAATAAATAAATCCTTAACAATACATACGTCCATTTTTGTATTAAATATTAGGGATTAACTATGCCAGATGCGTTCCAAGTTTCAACTGGAGTTTTTGAAAATAGGAACCTAACAAATATCCTGTGAAATGGGTGAAATGGTAAATGTATACATAGCGTAAACGAAAAGTACAAGAGGTAAGCTTGGTTGAAACTAATCCCTCATAACTATTTTTTAAGAACAACAAAACGAAAATTTCAACTTGATTTTCAGTCAGATTTAAGATTTGTGTGTTGTCGGTCAGCTTGTGCTGTACAAACCAAATTTACACATATCATAAGTATAAGTTGATACGGGAGAAGCAGCTGATCAATAAAACGTTTCGGGAGAAGTTATGCTAAGCCTTAATCTAAGCTCAATCTTTTTTCGGTGCCTATTTTTGTACTGTTCACATAAAGATAACATTACTATAAATACATAAACTCCGCTTACTTAATTTTAATAGAAAATTGGGCAATGCCCTTGGTCTTATATAGTAAATACATACTTGTATGTGCCCCGCTAGTATAAAATGAACTATTCGAAAAGCGTTTTGTTCTTCTAACAGCTCATTATGTAGGCATAATTTGTTTGATATACCAGTGGATGCCTATTTTATAGTTATGCGACGAATTTTAAATATTTTATTACTACGTCTATGTAGGCTAAGCAACGGTAAAGGGAAAGGTACATTGCTGAGGGCGCACAGAGACAATAAAGTTATTTCCTGCGAACTAACTCTTGCGTAATAATGGAATTAATATACGACGACCTTAAAATGTTAGCCCTGACCTTGTGCGCCTTTGTTGTAACATATAGTTCTATAAACTTTGACGTTTTGTTCCTATTGCCCTCGACACATTATATCGGTCAATCATATTCCAAAGCTCCTCATTGAATCATTATCTGGTAATAAAAATTTCCAACAGAAGTGAAACGACCATCAAATCTACCTGAAGAATGAACGGAACCAGTTTGGATCTTTGTTTTCTTTCCATTCATAACTATTATAAATTCTTACTATTGTTAGGCGTAGTCAAAACGAAACATGACGTATACTTCAAGAAATCGTCACCTGGCTTTTGAATACAGGCGCGCGCCAGACATGTCAGTTATATTGTTTTTGTGGCTATTATGATGCAAAGCCAATGGAACTTTGATTTGATTTGGCATATATTTCCATAAATATTAAAGCAACTAATAAAAAGTTAAAGTATCAGTTTAGCCGACTTTGTATTTAATAATGTTCTTCTTTTCATAGCAACGATCTTTTAATGGCTTGGACGCATAACGGTTTTAGTGAATCTAGATTAATGAAAGTGATTTCTATCAGACATTTTGCAAAAATCTGCAAATATTGTGAGTGTTCGTTTGGTATAAAAATGATCGATCTTTCGAAGAGAAGTTGCATAGAATCTTCAACCATGAAGCTTGGCATAGCTTTGGTTTGTCTAGGTAAGTCGTCGGAGGGAAAACAAACAAAAGAGCATTTATTTAATCTTAATCTTATTTTATCTTAATTATATATGATAGCTGTGGTCATAGCCCAGAAAGGATACGTGTGCGGGAAAAATGTTGAAAAAGAAACTGCCAGATTTGTCACGATTCAGTCGCCGGCGCCAGCACCACCGCCACCGCCACCACCACCACCACCACCGCAAATAATCTACAAGCAGATCCCGCCACCTTACTACCCACCTCACCCACCACCACATCCACCAGTGCACCACTGCAACTGTCCGCCCGGACCGCCAGGTACATACTATATAATAATTTTGCATTTCCATGTATTAATAATTTCCTAATATTCGTTTTTGAACAGGACCTCCTGGACCCCCTGGAAATCCAGGAGTACCAGGCCGCAAAGGCGAAAAAGGAGATAAAGGAGACACAGGCGCCCAAGGACCAAAAGGCGACAGAGGTAAAATATACTCGCTACCTAAAACTTTGGCTTGAAGCCATGTTTTTTGTGCACTAATGTGAACAAAAATAATTTGAGTTAAACATTGATCAATATGTGATTCGCAAATCCTAACAATACACTGTTCAAAATACCATTCCCATACACCCAACAGTCAAAGAATAGGTTGAAGAATAACAAAGCCCAGCAGAGTTGATTATTCTGATTAAAAGGCAGCAGAGTACTTGTATTTACCTAAAAGCTATACCGACAATGCTGGTAAATAAAACACAGTAATTACCCAATGGATTGATATACAAACAAAATTATGGAAGATCATTTTACAACATAGCCATCCAACTTCTCATATAATGAAGCTGTTTTAATAAATATGTTTTATATTCTTACAGGTTCTCCTGGTTTTCCTGGGCTTATTGGTCCACCTGGACCACCCGGACCTGCCGGACCTATCGGACCACCCGGTATTCCAGGACAAGTCCTAAAAAGCCACTCACATCATCATCCGCCTTTACCACCGCCGCCACCGCCGCCGCCAATAATAGTGCCCTTCCCTCCACCGATACCACCACATACCGGCCATCACCATCACAAAGGTGGTGGAGGACCTCCAGGACCTCCGGGTATTCCTGGTGTGCCTGGAACTCCGGGCGCGCCTGCGCCGGCACCTGCACCAGCACCTCCGCCACCCCCGCCACGTCCCCGACCACCCTATCCTCCTCCTCAATATCCGCCACCTTATTATCCACCTCCACAATATCCACCACCTCCACAATATCCCCCACCTTCACCATACCCCCCACCTCCACCTCCCATTCCATATCCACCTCCACCACAATGGATCCCTGTGCCAGTACCTTGGCCTTCAAAAGGAGATAAGGGGCATCACAATGGAAACCACAAAGGAAACAACAAAGGCAACAATAAAGGCAACGACAAAGGAAATCATAAAGGCAATAAAGGTGGAGACAGCCACCATCACCATTATTATCCTCCACATCCATACCCACCACCACACCATCACAAACCAAAACCTCATCATCCTCCCCATCACCATCATCACCACAACCACCACAACCACCATCACGATAAGTGGCCGGGACATGGACACGATGGGTTTTACCATCACGGACATGATGGATCACACCATCCCGGACACGGTTGGCCAGACTATCCTGGACATGGTTGGCTACATCGTCCTGGTTACAATCACACCCATGGTTGGCCACATCGTCCTGGACACAATCACAGCCACGGATATCATAATCACACTCGTGGCTGGCCACACCCCTCCCTTGATGTGTTCGACATGGAAGCTCAGGTCTTTGCTATTCGAGCTGATCAAAACATGCTAGACGATATCAACTCCGACGAAGTAGTTATTTTTGAGCCTTTGGAAACTTTAACAGGCTCACCTATTGAAACAAACAGCTATTTGGAAAATGAGTCAGAACAGAATGAGGAAAATGTGGATAATGAGGAAAATACGAGTATTGAAGAAAATGCCGAAGAGAACGTTCCTGAGGAAGAAGAACTTGAAGCCGGTGTAGAAGATCAGGAAAACACCGAAGACTTGGAAGAGGATAATGTCCAGGATTTAAATGAGGAAAATGTTGAGGACTTAAATGAGGGCAATAATCAGGACTTCAATGAGGACAATATTCAGGACTTAAATGAGAACAATATTTCAAACTTAAGTGAGGACAACATTCAGTACTTCAATGAAGATAATAATATGGAGATGAATGAGGAAAACCAATTGGATGATTTTGAGGATGAAGAAGATAAAAAGCAATTGCCAATTATATTGGCTTACGACACACCTCGACATCCATTCCACATATTTTCCTTAAATGACAATTTGCGATAAAAATAAAACTCCCTTTTTGAAAATAAAATGTAGCAAGTAAAAAGTTGAATATTTAACTCAGTTCTGCATTTCGGTTTCAATAGGTTGGTCATTAATTGAAACCGATATGTACAATTAGTATGCTCTATTTCAAGCAATTGAATTTGGTGTTTTGGTATGTATGTTTGAAACACCCAAATGGACGAGTGGTACCAATGTTATACGTAATGGTACATAGTAAATGATCGTAATTACGAGACGAATCCATACAAATCTATACAGAGAAGAATAAAATGTTTTACGCCAAAGTTCGTTATACAAAGTTCGCCAAAGTTCCTATGACAGATTTCAGATCTAATTGAATTAATTTAAGATGTGCGAATATTGAATTGATGAATACATACATATATTAAAGTCCAACAAAAGGCTACCTTTTGGAATTCTGCTTTATCTTGTGTTCCTTTGATAGATCAAAGTTCAATAAAGCATCAAGTTGGCAAAAGTGAAATCACAAAGAGATGTGTGTATTAAAGAAAAAAATATATAAAAGGCACAAAGGTGTTTGATTAGGTATTGATTGATATTGATCGAAATCAATTCTAAAATCAATTCAGCATCTAAATTTCTTTACAAAACAAGTGGAAAAGGTGAAGTCGGGTGCCGCGATTGTAAAATACTCTGAACCAATGTCTATACGTGCCTGTGTGTGAGCATGTGCGCCAAATAGAGTTGAGCCAAAGCAGCAACAACAAAAACATTTCCGGGCAGAGCTTGGACATTACATTACATTATTGGTTTTAACTTCCTCAAAAATCGACCTATCACGAAGAATAGTGATTATGTTTCTTCGTGAACAGGCTAGATCGATGCTTGTAATGCCGATCAAGAAATTAAATACTTTTTGGGGCCTGCCATGCCTCCTTCTGCGTGTTACATTTTCCCTTTCCGCAAAACCAATATACTTTTGTACGTTTAAGTACAGATTATAAAAGCCAGAACATATCATTATTGATTCGAGTTTACACTATCAGCCCAATTAACAATTAAAATCAAATTTTCAAAGTGAACCACTTCTTAAGCATGCAGATTCTGGTCCAGTGTGGTGAAATTTTGTGTGAGGTCATATACCTGCCATTTGCTATTTGAATTTTAAGTGCTTTTAATTAACCCACAAAAAAGCTTATAAACAGTTATCACAGCCCTCATCGATCTCGAACTTTACGGCTGGCTATATAAGAACCTTCTCATTTCTCTTTAGGCCACATTCGCCATTTGTAAGACGTTAGAATGAAACTGCTGGCGTTTTTGCTTGTAGCAGGTTAGACATACACATTCAGAGAAATAAATTGAAAATTTATGAACTTTATTTCTTTGTAGGGCTGTCATCGGAGATACAGTGCGCGCTGCTTTGGGTAGTACACCCTGCCCTAGTTCGGAGCCCACAAAAGGCACAGAACCGGAAAGTAAGCCCAGAATTACGAGTATACAAGGAACCTAGTCCATTCTTCTACAGGTCACCATCAGCATCGGCTGTTCTTGTTTATGGTGCCGTTAAAGGTGGTGAAAGGGCACCTTTAGGCCAAGTTTCAGCAAAGCCAACACTTCTAATTAACCGGCGCAAGTTTTTGCTACAAAGGCAGCAACCCCAAGTCTTTATACTTCCATGGCCCATGACTGGGTTATTGGACAGCCCCCAAATAGGTCGGCCTGGCATGTCTATCGACAGCCATGGATCTCCTCACACACGGACACGGGTACCTATCACTCCATTAACTAAGCCCACCTCGCCAGCAAAAGAGCTGGACAACATTTCTGCTCAACATTACACAAACGAAGAGAATAAACTGGCGAATATGAAGGAATTTACTGAAGAGAAATACAAAACAAAAACACCAATCAGTGAAGCAATCTCTGAAAATACAAAAAGAAAACCAACAACAGTCACGACAATCAAGTCGATTTTGAATTCATCATATAATGGATCAACAAAAGCGCCAATAGCGACAACCAGTTCTACAAACTTCCAGCCAGCAAGAGACAGCAGTAACAAGCCAGTTACTCCGCCAACACCAACCTCAACAACGAAATTAGATGAAGCACCGGAGATAACCGAGTCAATGCCGCTCAACACAGAAGTGTCGGCTGTAGCTTTAATAGAAACAACAACTTCAAAGGTAGATCTGATTGCGACGACGACAGAGGCAATGGCCGAAAGTACGCCCACAATAGCTAATGATGCGACAGATTCTACAGAGCTTTCAGTTGGTACAGAAATCACGGAGAGTTCGGTAATGAAAAATTCAGATCCAATTGAGAGCGATCAATATGATACCGCAAATATGAAGACCACCGAAGCAAGCAATAAAGAAACAAGCTCCGAAAATGTTAGCCCTAGCGAGAGTAATTTCATTCACATCACCCTGCTAGGACAAACAAAAAACGAAGAACCACACAAGAATTAGGTGGTACAAAAATTGCAGGTAATAATCTTATATGTAGATATACAAACTCTTAATAACAAAGACCCTAAGCAATATGAAATATTACCATTTATTACTTTTGTACCTATGAGTGAATAAACAACTGGCTAACTATTAACGATAGAAATATCTATTTCACCTATAAAGTTAGAATGCATGCAACATGTACATCTGTCTTCTCGTCTATATGAACGTAACAACCTGGAAAAGTATAAGAGAGTAGAAAACCATAGTTGGACATCTTATTTTGTGCGAATGTATGTAACACACAGAAGGAGGCGTGGCAGACCCCATAAGTATATATATTATTGATCAGGATGACAAGACAAGTCGATGTAGCTATGTCCGTCCGTCTGTCTGTATGAGCGCAACGATCTCAGCAAGTACAATAGCTAGGATAACCAAACTTGGCATTGAGGTTCCCCTTAAGCCCTAGGCAGATCGAGTTTGTGTTTTTATTCTGATACACCCTCCACTCCCCCGCAATTCGTATTTTCGTATAACTTCCGTATTTTGAAATCAATTTTGGTAGTTTCATCCTGTTAGTGCTTATATGTCCGTGTGCCAAGTTTCATCATGATAGGTCAATTCTGAAGAAAGTTATAGCCATAAGTAACATCGCTGCCTGCAGCTCCGCCGGCAGCGCTGCCCCCAGCTGTTGTTGTTGTTACTGCTTTGGTTCAACTTTGTGCTGCATACATACACGCATAGGCACGTGATGTAAATGTATACTGTTAAACTAAAATTTTTTTTATTTTTCTTTTTTGTGGAGAGTACAGTCTATTTTACTGTCGGGCTTGCTCGACTGTAGCGTTCTCTCTTGTTATAACTCTGCTGCTTTGGTTCAAGTATGTACATATGTATGTACTGCACAGCACTGTATAAGCATAGATACAAATGGAACTTTGCCACATCTCATATGTAGACTAATAAATAATAATTATAATTAGATATACAAATATGTATGTCCGTTCATTAGAATGGCTTTAATAGGTAAACTGTAACTGTGAGATAACGTTGCTTGCTATCACAGCAAGCATTGGGTGGGTCCCTATTCTGTAATACAGTATTTTATAAAGATATTCGGCAAAGATTTTAAAGTGCATTCATGATGCATTAATTCACATTTTTATTGATACAATTTTTAATTTCATCAACATTTAGAATCATAAGCTTTAACATTTTTAATAAAATACATTTTTTAAAGACATGTAAATTATTTAAAATATTAGCTCACCCAGCATAGTTTTGTCAGAATCAAAAGTAATTCGTTGATAACCATGAAAATATACTCAGATGTGAATATACTACGATTGTATCTTATAAACTAGTATAAACAAACATACATAATTATACGGTAATAGAAATATGTCTTACTACTGAGATTATTTCAATTTAGTAGCAAGCTAGGGCTTATTATATTTTCTCCGATCCTGCTCTAAGCGTTTTCTCTTCAATTCGTTTTTCTCAGATTTTAACTGTTCCATGGCCAAATGGTGTCTCTTATCCTCTAATATTTTTTCTTCATAAAGTGCGCAAAATTTATTGAGCGCCAATTGGGTTCTAGTTGTAGCATCATTAATCAAGTTAATTTTTTTACTTATTTTTACCAGCGAATCCTCTAACTGGCTGGATCGTCGTTTTGGTATAGGCCGTTCATATGCCTGCAGGAAAATAGGATCCACATCAGGTTCTACTTTGGGAACTTCGGGCTCAAAAGATGATCCCATGAAATTATCAATATCATAATCATCGTGTGCATCCGTGTCCTGGGTCATGTTAACATCAACATCCTCTTCATTATATGTACTGCTATCTTGCTGATCGTCCTCAAATGTCGTACTCGTTTTAGTTTCTGCAACGTTATCATATAATCCCCATAGGCTGGCCAATGTCTCCTCATGCGACGTCAATGGAACTTGTGCACTGCTGTCTGCAAACCCGTTTTGGTTCCGCTCGAGTTTCAGTCGAATGGACTTCTTCAAATCGGCTAAAGTCTATAATAAAAATGTGTTCAAATTGGCAAAAGCCGTAAATAAATATTCCTTCTTCTTGCCTTTTTCCAAGCCGGCACATCTTTCTTGGGCGGGCCGTGAGTGTTTAATTCCGAAGCTAACCGTTGCCACAGTAAATCAGATGCCTTACGTTTTTCCCTAGGTGGCACACGCAATAAAAGGGGGAATTTTTTTAAAAAATCAGCTATAAGCTTATCCTGTATCCCATTCCTGTGTTTGCGCACTGACATTTCGTTAAATATATATACAAATATAGCTCATCAACAAAGCAAAAAAGTAATTATTATACGAGGGCTACAATCACACACTGATTCGGACGTGTGATGCTAATACACAAGTGTTGTAAATACTTAAAAATGCAAATCGATTGCCTTCATAAATATATCGATAGGACTTGCTCAATTGGCCAGCAGAGGCTTAAATAAAATGACAGACTGGTTGTCAAAATTAAATGAAAATGTATTTATTAGAAATATGTAATATTTATACCGGTGCTTTATGAACAAAGTAAGGTACATCAAACAAAAATTGGTTACTCTTTGCCTAAATAAGTTTTTATCTTAATAACAGCTTTTGTTGCTCGATTTCCAAGAGTTTTTGTTTTAATTCGTTTTTTTCTGTTAATATTTTCTCCATTGCTAAATGATGGCGTTTGTCCTCGAGCAGCTTTTCCTTGTAAAGACCACAAAATTCCTTAAGAGCCAGTTGTGTTTTATTCGTTGCATCATTTACCGCGCTAATTTTTTGGTTAATTTTTTCAATAACGTCATCTGCAGGAAGATCCAATGCGACTTTATTATTCAATTTCCGAGCTTTCTCGGATAATGGATCAATGCATATAGTTATTTTCGAGTCTTCCTGCTCACACGGTGAGTCCAGTTGTACATCCTCGTAATAGTCCTCGATCACCATATCGTCTATATCTATATCAAATGAATTATGACCGTCATTTGATGTTTCTATGTAATCATCCTCAGAAGATGCTTCTTTAACTATGTGCGATATATCTTCGTTAAGGCGCCACAGCCGTACTAACGTTTGCTCAGCTGCATTCAGTGGTCTACCTTCACTTTTGAATGGACTTTTTTGCAATTTCCTGGTTAAAATAATCTTCCAATCTTTTAAGGCCTAAAATGGTATCGCCGCTTATTAGTCTCTATTCAATTTTAGCAAATTTTATCGAGCATATTACCCTCTTCCATGAAGAAACGTCCTTCTCTGGCGGTCCGAGATTATTTAATTCTGCTGACAGTTGATCCCAAAGTAGTTCAAATTCTTTTCTATTTTCCCTTGTTGGCTTTAGTAATGTGAGTGGATGTGCTTTCACGAATTCGGCTATACGTTTCTCTTGTGCTGGGTTTCTATGTTTGCCCCTGTAAAATACGAATTAGAATCATTCATTTACTCTTTTTGTGTTTCATAATATGCATGTCTCATACCTTTGATTATAACTTTTATTTGGTATAAAGGAGTATCGCGAGTGGTTATTTGGCAAATCGCATGTCGGGTGCATTCGTTGAAGGTGTTTGCTCAAATTTGTTGTTGTAGTTCTGTATGAGAGTTTTGCTTTACATATGCTGCAGACTGCAAATGTATCATCCACTGGCCGAAATAGCGACCATATTTCGCTGGTTTTTCTCTTCATGCTTGCATTACTATCGAATCTGTTAAAACTAGATGTATTCTTTTCGTTCATGTCCAAGTAAAATGCCGATAGGCGTACGGTCCAAATTCAAAACAAAGAAATGGTCTATATAATTTCTGCAAATTATGTATGTGTTAATATGCATTAAAATTGAATTTTACTATGCCATGCGTTTACGGACTCTAACAAATTCCTTGCACCATAAGCTGTACATCCACCCCATCTTAAAGGCGCAAAAATGCAGACCCAAGCACATGTACTTAAGAAACTAGAGTCCAAGCAATACTACTCACTTACTTTTATTAGATAAGCAGGCGAAGCAGGAGTTCTAAAATACTTCACTATTATTACAAAACTTATGACTTGCTTAAAACGGAGATAAATGATAGGAAACTATTGTAGGATACGATTTTACAAACAAAACAATTCGACTAATACTCTTCTTCTTTCTTCTCCACAGTCACTGCTTGCGACATTATTTATATCGAACTAGATAGTGAGAATTTGTTTTTATCGGTTATACACATTTCAAAATTCGATAAGTCTTACCGAGTCAAGAATTTATGAATTATAATCAGAACTTATAGATTTATATATATATTTTGAATATTAACCAATTGAAATGTACTCTTTGACTGCTGCTTCCAACCATAGTTAATACATCTACATTGATATGAGCGTAATTGTCATCTCTAACTCTTAGCCAACGATTGGTAAACGCGAGTTGGCGATTCGCTTATATATGTCGAAAAGCATCTCTGAAGTGAGGTGACTAGTCATGATATTTTTTTTATAAATGGACGACTCGTTTTTCGGATTTGATACAACTATACCGGTAAGCAAGTACTTTTGCAATCATCACGAAAGCCCAGGAATGTCAAAAGCCCGCAAAAATGGGACTTTCCGGCAGTCCCAGCTCATTTTCATGAAGCACTGTTTGTCATGAAAGCCCCCCAATCATACGCAGCACCAAGCCTGCCACACACAAATGAAATTGAAAGGCATTACAGATACGCTAAACTTTCAATATAAATTTGTTGTTTGTTGCAGGATGACGATGGCGGAGGAGGGCGTATTGCAGAACCACCGGAAGAGGAATATGACGCCCTTAATGATGAAACATTTGGCTCAGCGATTAATGGTGATTGGGAAGAGGCCCATGAAACGCTGGTGCGGCTCGGCGGAAAGGGGGAACAAGCTCGCAAAAAAGGCGGCAGCACTGTCGGTGCCGATTCAACTGATTATAGTTGCAACAGCGCTTTCAAACATCCGCTTTCTTCGGCCCCCTCGTCAAGTGGCTCAACCCCAGCACCATTCAAGAATCAATTTCGTGTACAACGCAATATAAGCGAGTCCGATTTTGAGTTAAATCTCTCGTCCATGAAACTAGACGATGTTGATGTATCGTTCTTTGGTGAATCTGAAAACATTGGTGGAGGTAATGCCAGCAATCGGATTAATCTCGATTCGACTGTGTGGTCATCACAGCCGTTTGGACATAATCAGCAAATTTTGAGAGAAACTTTTCCGAACATGTTCCAAGGGCACGTACCGTTAAAACAGGTTCAAGAGACCAATGCCAATTTTGGAGTACCGCCCATACCATCATCAGCTCAGGCACCCAAAATCTCTACTCTTGAGGATATTGAACGTAACCTGATCATACAACAAGCAATACCCAAGCAGCCTCAACAATTGCAACAAAAGCAGCAACAGCAACCATTAACAGAGCAAGAAATCTTTGATGTTTTCAATCTTGCTAATCGACAACATGCGGTAGGTACACCTACACCGCAGCAATTGCAAAAATCCCAGCAGCAGCAACTGATTCAAAAATCCCAACCGCTGCAGCACAAGGGTATGGCATGATCCTTCAACTTCTCGACGTTGTTTAACAAAATCTTTCTATTGCAGCACCTCCTGGCTTCTTGCCCGCACCACAAACATCGCCACCCAGGGCAAATTTAGGTTTTCATGGTGCTCATCAGCTTCCTGGTCTAATGCCCACGCCCACACAACAGCAGTTAAATGGCATGGCTGGGAATCGTGTGCCACCTGGATTCATCTATCCCCCCGGTCTCGCACCAAACATGCCGCAACATCCTTTGCTGAATCAGCATGGTAACTTGCCGCCCAATTTCCCACTTGCCGGCAATCAGAGACCACTGCCAAATCCACACCTACCCACAGCCCTGAACAATTTCGCCATGCATCCGAGCTTCAATGCAATGCGAGCCGCTGGCATGCACCCTGCGGCATTTATGCAGCCCGTTCAACAGGCACGACTGCCTCCACATCCACTTCAAGCAGCAAATAATTTGCTTATTCAACAACAGCAACCCAATGCCATGCACAATATGTTCAGCATGCGGCTTGTACAGGAAATACAACAAAATCATCCTCTGCTGCAGAATGCAGCGGCTGTTGCACGCCAACAACAGCACCAGCAACAGCAAATGCGCTCCGGATCCATATCCGGCGATCGTTCTAGACAACAGCACAATCGTCGTGCCGAGGGCGGTGGTGGCATCGGAGCGAATGGCAATTTACCGCAAGATGAATACGATGAATATGCAAATCTAATGAGCACGCGGGACAAACATTGGTTGATCGGCATTCAGTTATCACAGTTGAACACTGATACGCCCTACATTGACGACTACTACTATACGGTGTACAGAGAGCGCAAGGCCATGAAGAACGGACAATTACGTCACAGTCAGGCGCATAAGGACAACCAATTGAACCATCCATTGACTCAACCACGAGGTCATGCACAGCTAATTCTTGTGCAATTGGGCAACAAGAATGGTGCACGCAATGGTCAGCATCGTGAGCGACGTAACTCTGAGAATACTACCAACAGCACTACGTCAAACAATACCAGCTCTACGCCATTGCCCAACTATATGTTTTCCCCATTGAAATTTGAAAACTCTCTAGGTAAACTTCAATACGGCAGTGTAACAGCTCCACGCAAGATAATTGATGCCGATATCATGGGCAGCGAAACGAGCACAATAGACTCGTCATCTGGATCTGCGTCTGCAGGACTTAATACCGACAAAAGGCCCACGGCTAGCACTCCTCTGCTACCAGTTGTCAATGAAGTAACACCGACCAATTTCCGGAAGTCGCGTCACATTTTACTTCATATCGAAACCCTTTATCGCTATCTACTGAAACTGGAAGACTTGGAAAATCCGCAAGTAATGGCCACGATAGTTCTAAAGAAGAAGAAGGAAAGCGAACGTATAGCTGCACTAGAACAGCTTGAGATGGCCCACAAAACCCCCGAGGAACGTGCAGCCGAAAGTGCAAACCCACAAACGATGAATCCGGCGCTTAAAAATAAATTCAACTATGAGATTGAGCCTCGGACAGTGCTGGTGAACAAACTGAAAGCAGGTCTAACTTTTGAAAAAGTCGTTTCAATGATGAACGTTCGAAAGGGCAAGGTACGTAGAAGTTCAGAGGAATATTTATTAATTTTTAATGGTGTGGTCCTTACTTCGAATGTTGTTCGATTGTTTTACAGGGACATTTTGCATGAGAAATCCAAAATACTGCACGGGATCAATTACCGTTTTTTTAATTTTTAAAAAAAGTCATTAAAGTCATTTTTTTTAAACCTAACTTTCCATAAATTACTAATAGGACTGTTTTCTTCTTTCCCCCACACAATATAGATCTTATTACGTCGCGTCATGCCCTTCATTTCCGATCAGAGCTTGCGATGGACTGTTTGGGCAGGAGTATTCTGCTCACTACAGAATGTTGTGAAGAAAGATCGCGATGACATTGAAGGTTGTCTATACGCTCTGTATCCCGAATTCAAGAAGCACATACATGAGTCAGACTTCGAGACAATTGTTAATATTTCGGCTGCAATCACACTGAATGACAAGAAGTTGACAGGCATATTCTGCACCCGGGTATGTTAAGCCTAATGCACTAACTGATTGAGTAACACAAAGCTAACTCACCTCTCATTATTATAGTTTGGCATCTTATCGCTTATTTGCTTGATTTTGCGCTCAGAGGCGATTTACGTGGCCTGCGATGACAAGTCATTAAGTGACGAGAGCAGAGAGAAGTGGCGGGAGTTTCTCGCACAGGTGGCAACCTGTCTCAATAGAACCATTCAAACTCAGACCATTTCAGCAGCTATTGAGTCAGATGCAATTCAGCCTCTTATAAACCACTGTGCACGTTTTAAGGATCTAAAGTTGGATGGCCTTTTGGCTCTGATTACGGAGGCGAAACAGCAGATTGATTAAGTTCGCATTGAAATTTTAAACTTTCTCGTTATTGAAGTGGTAATATTTTCATCATTTTCCCTCACATGCAGGAGCTGCTTGTATCTATAAATTATATGTAACTCTCTCAGTTATGCAAAGGTCATACAAATATGGCTATTGATTAGGCTCACATTCATATTTAACTATATTTTTGTTTAGAAAAAGTTTGTGAAAGTTTAAAAGTGAATAGCGTTAGATTAAGTTCAAAATGTCGGCAGCACTAAATTATGTGCGTACACACATACACCTACATAACCGTATCTATATGCACTCACACGTACACACCCTCAAATATATATGTATGTACACTTATTTGCTTACTTGAATTATAAGTTAGTTTTGGTGTTTGTAAATATCGACCAAATGAAGTTTTCATTAGTTTGGGTTAAATGAAATTAAATTTGTGTGAAACCCAATAATCATGAACTTAACATTCAGCATATATGTTTTAACACTTAATTTAAATCTTAAAAAAAAGTGCATCTAAAAATGTGTTTAATGCAAATATTCAAAATTGTGATAAACATTTTGTCTATTTAAAAACTAGAAACATACTTCAAAATAATGAAAAAACATCAACTAACTTCATAAAAAAATTTTAATTTTGTACCTATTATTTGGATAAAAATACCTATGAATTTAATACAAAAGAAGAAAAACGATGGATAAATATTTGTTGTAATGTTCCGTCGCCAGCTGTTTGTATAGTTGTGGAGCTTTTACTTAAGGCCTACTCCCAATTGAGTTAATTGCGTAAAAATCGCTAATTGTAACATTTACGTATCGATATATTTGTTTTTTGAGATTGAATTAGTTTTGATTTGGCAAATTTTTAAACTGATTTAACGACTAAAATTGTATCTCCATTATGACCGCTTAAGCTCGACTTAGGTTAGCTTGGCATTTTAAAACTTCAAGTTTTGAATTTTATTAATTATATCAAAACTTTTTATACAACAAATTAGCAGTCAAACTACGTATACATGTAGATAATTAAGAACAAACAACACGAATGCATATACATACATACCATACTATAGCCGTATATGTGTTTAAACAATTCGATATTTTCTTTGATAACTAATATCTGTTTGTCTAAAAATAGAAACCATAGAAAACATGATTTCAAAGTGTTCAATAAATAAAGCATACCATTTCAAAAACAATGCCTATGACATTTTATTTTATTTAATAGTAATAAACAAATATATGGATATTAATACATGCAAAATCATATTGTATAAAAGATTGCAATTTATTTTTTCAGGCGGAGGCCATGGCCTTTTCAATTTCCTCTATAGTGCGCGGCACAATCGCAAAATTCTCCGTACCGTCCTTTGTTATTAAGACATCGTCTTCAATTCGAACACCGCCAAATCCACGGAAACGTTCAAACACCTCGATATTAATAAATTTACTCAGTTGGGGGTCGGCCAGAGCTTGATCCATTAGGCGTTTAATGAAATAACAGCCTGGCTCTATAGTTACATACATGCCCGCTCTCAAAATACGAGCAAAACGCAGCTTGCTGATCCAAGCCTCTTTGGGACGAGCCGGTTCCTTGGGTAAATACCCGCCCACATCATGCACATCCAAACCAATCAAATGACCCAAGCCATGCGGTTGAAAGACGCCAGAAAGTCCAGCTGCTAGCATTTCATCTACATCACCCTTCAGCATCCCACCGTCCTTAAGGCGTTGCATTAAGACTTTGCCCGCCAACTTGTGCATATCAACCCAAGAGATACCATCACGTGCGCTTTGCATCACAGCGTTTCGTGCATCCAGAACAGCATTGTAGATGAACTTTTGGTCTTCTGTAAACTTGCCATTTGCCGGAAAACTACATGTGATATCAGCAGCGTAGCCGCAGTAGTTTGCTCCCATGTCAAACAAGCACATATCACCACTTTGAATTGGTCGATTGTTGGGTGCCCCAGCATGGCCATAGTGCAGAATTGCCGAATTTGTGCCACTTCCACAAATGCATGTATATGATGCATGTCGGCAGCCGCCCACAGCATATGCATGGTGCAGAAATACCGCCTCTGCCTCATATTCCATGTGACCGGGGCGCACAAATTTCATTACCTTTATGTGCGCATCCGAAGAAACTTTTGCAACGTACCGCAAGACTTCAATCTCCTCGGCCGATTTGATGACGCGGCATTCCGATAGAATGGGGTATAGTATGTCGCAGTTGGTTACATATTTATCTTTTCCCTCAAACTCAGGAGGTTGCATAGTAAGTCCGCTATCACTATTTGTACCGCTTAGCGTCAGTATCAAGTCCGGCTGAACTTTTCCCAGGAAGGTAGTCAGCTCATCAACGAAATGTACTTCATCGACTTCGTACATCGTTTTAAAATGCTCCAACGTGAGCAGGGGTCCCATCCAAGTCTCGTATTCCTCCGGCAATCTAGGTACAAAGAGTATAGCACGCGACTTCTTTATGTCCAGCAAACCATAACAGCCTGGCTCTTTGACTCCAAAAAGATATTGGAAGTATGATTCCTGTCGGAACACGTACTCCACATCCGTGTTATATAGACTTAAGTCCTTGCCACCCTCAAGAAGAGCATATGGGGATTTCAAGCATTTGTCCAGGTTCTCTAGAAGCGCAGTGCACGATCTCTCCCTATTATGCTTAAATAAAGACATCGGCACTGCATAAGTTTGGGGACCCATTTTATAAGAAGCCATTGTGTTCAATATGTTTCAAGTACTTTACAATGACACAACTTCTCGCAATAGTTGTCAAGTTCGAAATAATCTAGAAACAACGCCCCGTGCCCGATTAAGAGCGGTTTATCGCGTTGTTCGAAGGTAGCTATAAATCACAATAAGAGCGTAGCGCTAGCTGTTAATTTTATTAGTGCTCAGTGTTGAAAGGCGTTATATGATGCACTTTGACCAAATGCATTCATATTCAAAAAAAATATCGATAGTTTGTACATCGAAGGTTTGCCATATCTAGATCTAGTAACCAATTCATTGTTTCTATCGTTTGCAACAAATATGAAAGTATATAAACAACGATTGCGTGATGTTTGGTTACAAATGCCAGAATTTAAAGGATGGCTACGCAGAGACCCCCAAGATCCTTATAGAGCATACTGCAGCTCTTGCAATTGCGGTTTAAAAACAAAAATATCCGACTTGCGCGCCCATGCCATTACACAGAAGCATCTAAAAAGCAGACGTGGTGGCGCACCTCGCTTTGAAGTCGACCAAAAACCTTTTGATTTAGCGCCTGTACAAATGAAAACAAGCGATCTAGTAAGCTCGTACTAATATGTATGTACTCCAATAACGATTCATCTTTGATTGCAGACCAGCTCCGACGAGGACACTTACAGCAGCATAAGTCACCTCCTAATAAAAAAACCACCTAAACAGGAAAAGGAGCAATCAGTTCTCTACGAAGACGAACAATCAGATCCATTTTTTTGTCCAGTCAATGAGGAACAGATTAGCATCTGCAATCAAGATATTTTTACCAAGGCTATATCCATTATAAGCCGAAAATCTGATCCTGCGCAAGTTTTCGGCGATTTTGTAGCAGATCGACTGCGTCAGATAAATAGTGAAAAAGTTGAAATTATTAAGGACAAAATAACGCAGGTGCTTTTAGAAGCAACCACACAAAACAGAAAAATTAATAATAGTAAAGAAAATGAAGAATAAATGAAATACATTAACCACAAAAACAAATATTTACGTACGTAATGTATGTATAGTCTAAGAATAGGCAAAAAATGCGCTTAAGTGAATTTTATTGTAAAAACAGGTAGTTAACATAATATTAAATAAATACAAGGAATTATCAATGAATTGACACCAATTATATGGAAACTAATATATGGATACTATTTATGTATATTTATACAAACATACGTAATACATAAACATTTCATGATATGTATATTTTAGACTCGGATGTACGTATAAACATGTATGTATGTATGTACATTTTTCTTCATTACTTCTAGACAAGGGAATTCGGTTGGTACATCTTTCTTAAACAAATATTTTGGTAAGAGCAAATAAAATACAGCGTTTCTAAAGAGGCAACCATGATCGAAATTTACAACATCAAAATAATGCCAGCGCCATGTTAATCAAACAAATGCATTTCATACATATAAATAGTGTAGGAAAACGCAAAAATGCGGTTAAGCAGTGCTGCACTGCATTTTTTGTTTTGTTGTGAAATAGAAGACTGAAATTCGTAGTTTTGAAATTAAACTACATACATACATATTCGTTGGATATTTTGGGCTCCCAATAGTACAAGTTTATGTTCAATATTTGTGTGGGTAAAGCCAAAAAAGCATGGACCATGTAAATGAAAGTGAAAATGAAAGCATCTCCAACGAAGCGAAGGCAGCCGGATCTGAAGGAAGTGTTAAAAGGAAAATATCTGCCGACATCGACAACGATGCTGAAAATGAAATTAATACTACAGAACAAAGTTGCTGCAAGCGGTTAAGATCGGGATTAAACAACGATGAAACAAATCTGATTGCTATCAAAACAGAACCGCAAGACGAGAATGAATGTTTGCCTGAAACTGCAACTATTAGTTCCAACATCGAACCAAGCGAGATGGGCACAGCAGCTGTAATTAAGCAAGAGAAAACTGATGAGTCGGACAGCAACATGCCTGCAGACGGCCCAAGCAACAGCACCGCGACTGGTGTGTCCAGCGATCTCCCAGTCAGTGTGAAAACAGAACCTACGGTGGGGAGTGTCGACGTCAAAGCTGAACCAGTTGCCAATAATACACAGCTGCCTGCAGATTCCACCGTGACGTCCACTTCGACAAACCTTCGGCAATCGTGTCGTTTTGGCGTACGTTGCTACAGGTAAGATATAACTAAATAAGTTTTTCCTACCACCTCAATTATACATGTTTTCAGGCGTAATCCTGCGCATCGCTCTGCGGAAGCCCATCCCGGCGACTCTGATTATCGGCGTCCAAGTTTTCCGGCACCGCCTTTAGGCACACCGCCCTGTTCTTTTGGTAACTCGTGTTACCGTCGCAATCCAGTGCATTTTCAACAGTATTCCCATCCGCCAGATTGTAAGTAAGCGGATTAAGTTTAATGTACAGCGCTTAAAGGACATTATAGTTGATTCTGCGCAGAATATCCGTAACCGTTTGCGACAGCGTCGTCGTCAACAGCCATGTAGCACCAACGATATTAACACCTCCGACTCCGAAGGGTCAGAGGATCCCTTTGATGCTGACACTGATGAGGAGTATAATCCCAAGGCAGATAATGACAATGATGATGTAGATGAAGAAGAGCTGGAGTTTGATAGCCAGCGTATAAACTCAGACGAATTTGATTAGTTGTTATATTACATATTTTTAATGAGAGTATGAAGCTATTAATATGAATATTGTTACAAGTTACAAAGTTTATTTTTAATAAAATCCCTCATCAACGTCTTCAGCGGGCTTTTGATCGAAAACAGATCCCCATTTGGCGGCCTCACCACCACGTACCTTTACATTATAGCATACGTTTTCGGCCTTAAGAAGGCTCTGCTTCATAACTGCAATCTTGCGCCAGAGTTCCCGAGCACGTTGACAATTCAGGCTAATATAACTAGAAATATAAATATGTTAAGAATATTCTACAGAGCAATCTCCACATACCCTGTATAGAACTGTTGCAGGACGCGGCATGTCACCATGCAAGTGTCAGTGTCGCCGCTGCCAAGTGAATTTATACAACGACGCATTAACTCTCCCGTCAGGTCGGAAACACCCAATATGTATTCATTGGGATCGACAAAAAAATGGAACTTTTGAGTCCCATCAGCCTTCGCAGCCGGCTGCTCGTTCACAGTTCCCTCTACAGTCTGCTCTACACGCTGATCATCTTTAGTACTAGGATCTTCATACTGCATTATGGTCTGCAGTGCTTCCCAGTCAGATATTGTCTTGACCGTCTCGCTACCGTCCTCGCTGTGCAAGTACTCCATATAGGTATAGGCCTCGATGAACTCTTGCAGTCCTGGTGAGTAGGCTGCTCGAAATTGGTATACATCTTGACCACGCAGTTCATTAGCCACAGCACGAAAGTTTACATTAATCAGTTTTGTTAGGCGCTCTTTTGCTTCTTCTAGCACCTTCTCCTTGTTCTGCTTACGCGGATCGATAGAATGCAATAAAAAAATAATGCGCTTCGACTCAATGGTAATGTCTCGGCTTAGCTTTAATAGAATTGTAAAAAAAAAAAAATTTAAGAACTTGAAATAGTGTCTTTTCCATAAACAAATTTCCACCTTTAAAATGCGTTCGTGGCGATCATGTTTGCTGTCTAACTCGCTGGCATAGCTACGAAATGCCTGCACCACAGGATTCTGCTCATCCAGCTGATAGTTGCGCTTGCGCTGAGGATTGTTATTGCGATTGCCGCCACCAGAATTCTTCGGCATTTTGAAAAGTTTGTATAAATCACGCGAATTGTTAAACAACAGACGCGATAAAAATCAACTGTTTGCCGGCACCAGGGCTGTCACAACCTATCGGATATCGTAAACAGCTGAGATACACCCTTAAATATCTTCGTGGCAATAGTTATTTTCGGGAATATAATTTATTTATTTTAAGTGGCAGACTCACTAATGAGCTCACAATGCATGAGCCCGTGAAAAAGCCCCAGCAATCGGGTTTGTCCAGTGGCTCGAGCAGCACAGCGGAGAAGCTCTGTTTTGACAAAAATGAGTTTATGAAAGTGGGTTCAAATTTTTGGTATTTTCAACAATATATAATATTTGTATGTTTTTATTGCACAGCCCAACTTTTCGGTGGATGAGTTTCTTCACAAAAATCGCAATGCACCCAGTCTGGAACTGTTACGGGACAACCTTGGCCTTTATTTAAAGGGGCTACGTGCGTCCATGATTGATCTGATCAATGAAGACTATGCGGATTTTGTCAGTCTCAGCGCTAATTTGGTGGGGCTGGATCAGTCAATTGAAACAATACAGCATCCGCTGGAACAATTTCGAAATGAGATTGAAAGTATTCATAGCCTTATCGCGGATAATGTTAGCGAACTGCGGCTGCAACTTGAACAGAAGCGGCAAATACGCGAATGCAAACGTAATCTACAGAGTTTGAAGAGGGTCTATGAAACCATAGCAAAGATTCAGGATTTGCTGGCGCGCAAGCTGAATGGTGAACATCCAGTTCAGGCTGTAGACTTGGAACGCGCTGCCTTAGATTTGATACAGTTACGTTTTCATGAGAAATATTGTGTATCGTATCTAAATGCCGACCATCAAGCGCAAATCCAACAATTGGACGAGCAGCTGCATCAACAGCTGCGTCGTTTTTTTATCGATGCACTGCAACAAGCCAGCAGTACATCCTCAGAGCATTTGGAGCGATCTTTGCGTATATACATAACATTGGATGCATGCGAGGCAGCCGAACGCGCTTTTCGCGAGGATGTGGTGGCGCCCTATATGAGTGGCATTATTTGTGAACAGCAGCTTCAGAACTCCCCTCAGGGCTTAGCTGGCATATATAGCAAGATTTTAAACTTTATATCGCTACATATGACCGATCTTTTGCGTTTAACATTGTACTCAGACAAGCTGTGCGGGTTTGATTTCGTTGTAAATAGTTTTTGGGCAGATGTAGAAATGCGTTTGGAGCTACACATGAACTCGATCTTTGCGCCCGGAAATTCTGAGGTTTTCTATGTTAAATACAAATGCACAAGGGATTTTCTGGCTAAGATCGAGGAGCTGCTCACTAGTAGTGGTGAGCAGGCGGTACAGGCTTATCGTCAGCATAAGCAAACTAAAAGTTTTGAAGCTCGCTGGAATCTTCCAGTGTACTTTCAAATCTGCTTTCAGGTAACGGTTCTTTGTGAAAAATAATCCCAAAACGATATTATAATTATACATCTATTTTCCATAGGAAATAGCCGGAGAATTCGAATCGAAACTGGAACCGTTGCTGACCAATGACACACTTAGCTCCCAATCTGATACCGAAAATGGTGACTATCAATTATCCACTTTTACTGCTACTCGCACGGCGCTGGCACATTGTTGGGCTGAAGGAGTATATTTGCCGGAAGTCTTTCCCAAGTTCTACAAGCTCAGCGTGCAAATAGTTTTGCGTCTTTCTCGTTGGATCACAGATGCCATTGAAGCATCAAAAAGCAGCACATTCAAAGCTACATTTACACGTAATCAGCTGCTTATTGCTTTGCACTCGGACATTCGCCGATTAGACGCTTACTTGCCTCAGTTGCAACAGATCATCGTGCAGTCAGTGGCCACAAAACAGCGCGTGGCGCTCTTTATGGATATGCTCTCAAAATCTATGGCCACGTTATCGGACACGCTTAGCGCTCATTTGGCTTCCATACAACAGACATTGGTGCATCTGCTTATTACTGAGTGTGGCACTGAGAATGTGCGCCAGGTTAACGATTTGCCGCGTTTGTATCGTAAAACCAACCGTGAGGTACCCACACGCTGCTCCAGTTATGTGGATCAAATGTTAAGGCCGCTGAAGTCGTTCGTAGCACAGCATGAGAAGCAACTGGGCACACTTGTCATGGAGCAGGTCTTGGGCGAAGTGTGCAGCAACATAACCAGAGCGTGAGTCAACCTAAAAATCATTTGAATTTCTAAATAATATAAACAATGTTGCAGCTATTACAATGTTGTGGGCGAAGTTTTGACTTCCGTGCAAAAAACGGAAGAATCTCTACGACGTTTGCGAAATCTGAAAAGCGGTGCAAATCAAATGACCACCAGTGGCACAGCTTCCACTTCCGATGACGATAAAATACGTTTACAATTGCGTGTTGATGCGGCCGCTTGGACATTGGAGTTGTCCAAGCTGAACTTTCAGCCCACACAAATTGACAAGCTTGTTGAGCTCAACAACATGATCGAGGAAAGCATAAAATTAAAGGAAAGCACTCCTTAATCCTGTTAATGAACAGTATACTAATTAATCCACTTTATTCACTCTTAATTCGAAACGTTGCTTGATTTCGTTAGGCACAATTATTTAGTATTGTATATTGATTGTAAAAACTACGAATTGTATATAAAAATATATGTATATCATATAAATGCATCAAATTTCACGTTCGTAACATATTTAGAAGAATAATCCTTTTAGTTAGTCGCTGTTGAAAGAGAAGAGATAAACGAGATTGCAAAAATTAGCCGCTGCAGTGCTAAAACTGTATGTATGAATGTGTCTGCAAGGAATGTATGTATACAAGAATTGTAAAAGGGGAACAATGCACATCGCAAATAAAGATAAACGCAAGCAAAAAGCATGCAAGAACTAAAACGGCAAATACCAGAAAAATATTGCAAAATGTCATTGAAAAAATAATATAACACAAAAGCAAACTCTATGTGCTGCTAAAACTACACAGTCTTGCGGCAACATTACAGTTTGAGCTCCTCGGTGTCGGGCAGCTTTCGGAAAAACCATTGCACATGCTCTTCGCTAACTTCGGCCAATGAGCTTGGTTGCCATTTGGGCTGCTGGTCCTTGTCTATGAGCAGAGCTCGAACTCCTTCCTTAAAATCGCTGCGCTCCAAGTGACGAACAGCCAGACGATATTCCATGATGAGACATTGCGGTAGCGACTGCTGTGAGCCCAGCTCCAGTTGACGATAAGTGATCTTCATCGACGTGGGTGACATTTTGCATAGTGTCTGCCAAACAAAATATAAATAGATTAGCACACGCCAGTCAGTGCAAGAGTAAATAGTTTAGCGGTAATAAGTCGCGAGTTACTTTTACAAATATTTACGAACTCTAAATTTCTTCTGTTGACTTTGTCCATCTGATTATGGCGTGATTTGCGTAAATCATGACGTGTGTCATGCTCTCGGTCTTTCTTATCGCTTATGGACTCACCTCCAATGTCTTTTTTGCCCAATCGCTGCCATCCGACTTCAAATTTTCAATTATGCCTTCAACAGAATCGGCTGTGAAGTTCTTATTGATCTGGTCTAGAAACGGCTGAAGTGAAAAGGGTTTCTCTGGAAGGCAATGGAACTTCTGGAGCAACTCGGGTACATCGTCAGCATCAGGGCAGTTTAGCAACGCAGTTTCCAAGTCGGGTATCTTACTACTGTCACAATAATGAGTAGCGATACCCGCATGATAGACATCTGAGCCACGCAAGCGATGACCGGTCAACCCAAGGAACAGACCCAGTTTTCCCTGCAAACGTGGCAAAAAATAGGAGCCGCCTACATCAGGAAATAATCCGATAGCCGTCTCGGGCATAGCAAAAAGCGTGCGATCAGTGGCTACGCGATATTTGCCATGCACGCTGAGGCCTACGCCGCCGCCCATCGTTATGCCATCGATTATCGCTATGTAGGGGATTTTGTAGTTCCCAATTAACGCGTTCGTAGTGTATTCTTCGCGGAAGAAGCTTTTTGATTCATCCGTAGGACCAGCCTCAACAAGTGCACGAACATCACCGCCAGCACAAAATGCTTTGTCCCCAGTGCCTTTAATGATCATTAAGGACTTGTTCTTCTCGCACTTTTTCAGATGCTTGTATATTTTTCGCACCATTTCCAAATTCAGAGCATTCAACGCCTTTGGACGGTTTATAATTATCATGCCTTTCGAGGAAGATTCAGTGGCCAGCACGGATGAAGAGGAGGACGAAGATGAGGAGTTGCGTATGGGATAAGCCATTTGCGCCGTAATTGTTGTTGCTGCTGTTGTTTTCGCATTGGCGGCAGCGCTAAGCAGCGGCAAGTGGTTGATGGTTCGATGACCGAAAGTGTAGACTAACCTTTGGATTGGGTGCTGCAGTTAGGCGTTTAGATCAAGTTTATTAGTTGCGTTAATTATGTGCTAATTGAATTTACTTAACACTGCTTACCATTTTGCTAGTGTGTGGTCTGTTCTGTCTGCGTGCTTGATGCCCAAGTTCAAGTTGCGCAATAGCAACAATAACGACAGCTGGTCACGACCAGAGCTGCCATAGTGTACGAATAATGCAGAAGAAAGTATTTATGTGCTGCTATAAATAAGTAAATAAATAAATTATGCAGATTTTTTCAATATTTCAACATAATTAATAATAGCGTCTATGTGGGCTGCAGCATTTACTTATGTATATTATTAAGCGCGACAGCTCTACAACGCTGCCAGATAGGTGGCATAATGCAACTATAATTCTTATCGACGATAAAAGCTAAGAAGTAAAGTAAAAGTTAACACAAGATACCTCGTTATCTGTAAACAAATAAACGGTGAGTAAACATACCTAATTAACACGCACGACAATGGAAATCCAATGCCATGATTCAGAACAGTCACGGCCAGTAGCTGGCACGAATGACAATATAATGAAGAGCTTTAAATGGCCAAAAATTCGAACAAAGCGTCGTCAACGTTCCTCATCAACAATATTAATTCCTTCGCCCAACAAACAGATGAACTATGATGGCCTGCTTTCACAGTTAACGGACGATAAATTGGTGCTTTTTGAAACCGGCCAAGGGAGCGTTGTCGAAGGAACTGCAGTCGATGGCGCCGTTGAGGAGGAACAGGCAGCGCCAATACAAACAATACCACGTAATACGGTAGCGCGTTCGCTATCGCCAATAAGAGACAAAAGTGCAACGCGATCAGTGGCCGCAACCAACAAGACAGCAGCAGCAATAACACATGTGCAAACAGCGAGCCCAAAAACTGAAAATTCAACTACACCACAGCGCAAAATATCGACGTCATCACGTTTTATAAATGCCTTTAGTCAGCTCTATGGGGGCAACAGCAATAGCTGTAGTCACCAAAGCGATCAAACGGAAGATTCCGATTTGGCAGCGAGTCGTACACCCACCAAGGGTATGGAAACCAAATTGATGGCCATGTGGCATAATGTTAAGTACGGTTGGGGCGGTAAAATGCGTCATACAAGTTTTTCGAAAGAGCAACCCGTCTGGTTGCTGGGACGTTGCTATCATCGCCGTTACACACCACCTGTTAGCATGGAAAACTCTACCACAGAGTTGCCCAGTGGTACAGACACAGTACCCGACAATGCGACATCGGCATATGACAGCATTCAGTCGGAGGCAGCAACTTCAACATCCCTGTATCCCGCATTGCATCCGCAAATGATCGATGAAATTGTGGTGCCACAGGAGCTGGGTATGGACGCAGCTGAGAATCAGGTGGCCGAAAATCCCTGGGAAGAGGGAATCGAGGGATTTCGACGTGATTTCTACAGCCGCGTCTGGATGACATACCGACGCGAGTTTCCTATCATGAATGGCTCCAATTATACATCAGATTGCGGCTGGGGCTGCATGCTCCGCAGCGGTCAGATGCTGCTGGCGCAGGGTCTAATATGCCATTTTTTGGGACGCAGTGAGTCAAAGATTAGTCACCACAAATTTTTAGTTCATTTTGTATGTTTTTAGGCTGGCGCTACGATGCAGAGTCGCAGTTGCACTCCACGTATGAGGATAATATGCATAAGAAAATTATAAAATGGTTCGGGGATAGCTCCTCAAAGAATAGTCCTTTCTCCATACACGCTCTAGTACGTTTGGGTGAGCAATTGGGCAAAAAACCTGGCGACTGGTATGGACCAGCTTCAGTATCATATTTGCTAAAGTAAGTGTATTTAACAGCGCGACGAAATATGATTAAAAATTATTCATTTCTGCAGACACGCCTTGGAGCATGCCGCTCAAGAAAACGCCGACTTTGACAATATTAGTGTTTACGTAGCCAAGGATTGCACCAGTAAGTCAAAAACATTTTTATAAAACCACCATCTAATTCTTCCTCACAGTTTACATACAAGACATTGAGGACCAGTGCGGCATTCCGGAGCCAGCGCCCAAGCCACATGTACCTTGGCAGACGTCGAAGCGCCCAAGCACTGAAACGCCAAAACATGAGCAAAACCATTGGAAATCTCTAATTGTGCTTATACCGCTACGACTTGGTACTGACAAGCTAAATTCCGTATATGCACATTGCCTGAAACTGCTGTTGAGTACGGAACACTGTCTGGGTATCATTGGTGGCAAGCCGAAGCATTCGCTCTATTTCGTCGGCTTTCAGGAGGACAAACTGATACATTTGGATCCACACTATTGTCAAGAAATGGTTGATATCAATCAGGAGAACTTTTCGTTACAAACGTTTCATTGCAAATCGCCGCGCAAAATCAAGTACAGCAAAATGGATCCAAGCTGCTGCATCGGCTTTTATTGCGCTACGCGAACTGACTTCGATAGCTTCATGGAGAGTGTGCAATTGGTGAGAGAAATTTTGTGTAGTATTTCGTTTATAAAATTAAATAATGATCACATATATTTTTGATTCATTCAGTTGAATCTTTTTATATGTATGTATCTCTAAATTGTATGTATGTATATCTAAATTGCAGTTTTAACTAACAAACCATAGGGTTTACTTACTTACGGAACAGCTAAAATACTATCATTCCTATTTTAATTTTGACGATAATTTACGATGTATAAATATGTTTTTTTATAAGTGGTATCTAATTTTATTTTCCTTTAGTATTTGCATCCCATGCGCTGCGCTTCTGGAGCAACCCTGGATAGACAACCCCAGTCACAACAGTTGCAGTCGGAGAGCATGGAAATGAATTATCCGCTTTTTTCATTTTCCCGCGGCCGGTGTCAGGACCATGCACGTGATGAGATGAGTGACTCGCTATATAAGCCGCTCATTAGGCAAGTGGCCCATCTTACCCAAGAGTTAAACGCACAACAACAAAGCAGCTACGACAATGACTTGGATGACAGTGATAGCGAGGAGTTTGTGCTGCTTTAAGCGCATGCGCATGCGTATATGGAAATTACTACCCATTTCATTATCGGTTTGGGTATTAGAAAATTTCATCACTTTCGCTCGTTCTTATCTGTGATATGCCTAACTAGCTCCGTCTTCGTATACTTTCAAAATGTAATATTTGACTAATGTTATTTAGAATTTGATCCTTGATCAGAGAAATATGTCACAGTTAGGGAGGGTAGTACACTTAGGTTGATATTCCTGACTTCTGTACGGCTAAGCTAGCTTCGACAAAGATCTGGGATAGTAAACATATAAACAAATGTAGGTTAGATTAAAAATTACCAACTAAAAATTGTTTAATAATTATTTTCGAGCTAAGCTGCAAAAACACTTCGGATAAAGTGAACAAAGTGATAAAAATTTCTAATACAGCTTCTATTTAGTGAAAATGGGAAATATAACACAATTTAGCTTTATTTTAGTGGTTACCCCACCCCCTCCATTCACAACCTTGTTCCATGTATACTGTGTTATTTCTGTTATTTTTGTGTTAACTAGTGATAATGCCATCGCTCGCTCGCTTGCTCGCCCAAAACAAAACAAAAAAAAAACAAGCAAAAAACTACCCGCATCTCAAAATCAAAGACTTGTATTTCAACATTTAAACACATACACAAGAATAATGTGCTAATTTTTGTGAATATTTACACCAGTAGTTATTCATATTGTTCAAATTGAATAGGCTTAACCGATAGGCATACATCTTTTGCTCTGTAAATCTGCCATTTTCGTGAGTTTTCTTTTTAATTTTTCTCTTTTTACCCATATTTTTGGGCTCAACATTTGTGTTATGTTATGTCTGTAATTCCTATTAGATTTATGTGGTATTATTAGTTTTTATGAAATATTGGAATTGTATTTAAATTTTCACGATCCATTTATTCAACCTGTCGCTGTTCTCGAAATTATTTTTATTAGTGTCTAGTTAGTATTAGTGTTAAATTATTTACATATGTATGTGAGTCTGGCTTGCAAACAGTTTATCATTATTTAGTTCTAAAGTAATTGTACATACCCATTGAATTAAATTTTAAATCATTATCTTAAATAAATATATTTAGTTTTGAGTATTAGAGAGATTCATTCGAGAATGTGGAGCGTTAAGTACAATTATTTCTTAATTCATCATTCGAAAGGTTTTATGAATCTGTTTAAGAACATAGAATGCCTTTACACGGCCTTAAATTTGGATCAGTCTTCGGTCTTGGATTCAGTTGGGGGTATGAAGAAATAAGTTGGACAATAAAAATGAGGAATTGCTGTTCCGTTAAAGATCAGTTGGGGGCTCTAAAAGCGATTATAAGAAACCCTAATTGAATGAATAACTTACAACATATCCTTATGATCTAAACAAGCTCAGCATTGCTTCCGGTTTCTACCTGTCAAGATATCGTCAGTTTCTACAGACCAAGTTATAGATCTTAGAGCAGATTCACAACCATAGTATATAGACTCATGCAGATTCCTGCGGCTTCTTTTTAGATATTCTTTTTTACGTTTAGTTTAGCGCCGTACAAAAGTATCGGACTTTAACCCGAGTAAGAGGAATAATGAAGTTCTTAACTCTAAGAAATCCGAATTAGTCTTTCAAAGTACATGCACAAAGAGCATACACTGACAAATACATACATATATATATATATATATACAAAGATAAGTACATTTAATCTATTACTTCTTCCTTGTTTGCACTTTCAAAGCTTCCCGCTCAAGTCGCTTTACCAGTTTGGCCAGATGATCTTTTGCCGTTGTGGCCCTTGTCGCATTTATTCCAATAGCTGCTTGATACGCTTCGATGGCCGCCTGTACCTTATCCCAACGATGATATAGGACACCCAGATTTGTGTGATAGAGTAAATTGTTCGGGTCCATTTCAATGACGCGCTTATAGAGTGCCTCCGCCTCCACATACTGTTTCAATTTTCCAAGCACATTTGCCCGAATGAACATGATGCTCGGATCGTTAGGCAAATGTTCTAGTGCCTGCACAGAAAGACGCAGTGCATCGTCGTGAAGAGCCCGATTGTCCAGCATGGTCAGGATGTTGGCCCAGGCCTTTGGTTGTCGTGGACTTAAAGAAACCGCATGCTGCCAATGATGCATTGCTTCCGCATAATGTTTTTGTTGTAGATACAAATTACCCAAGTTGTAGTAACATACGGCGTAGTCGGGCCTATATTTTATTGCGAGCTCATAGCTCGTCAAAGCCTCCGAATATTTCCCCTGAGCTGACTGCACTATGCCCAAATTCATCCATGCCACAGCAAAAGTGGGTAACACTCGTAACGACGATCTTATGTATTGCTCTGCTTTATCCAGCTGCCCATGCTCACGATAGAGATTCCCCAGGTTCATGAGCGCCGACTCATAGTTGGGATATAGCTCGATGGCTTTGTGGTAATGCTGAAAGGCGCGTGAGTCCTGGCTATTATCGGTGGCCAAGCGAGCAATGTTGTAGTGCACTTTCGCGTTATTGGGGCATACCTGTAGAGCGGAAGTAAACAGACGCTCCTCACTAAGCCACTCGCTGGCCCGTTCCCTGGTGCGTAAAATCATGACGGCGAATAGCAACATCAGGAAGAATTGTTGGAGCGCACGGAGTTGAGGCTTATTAACGTTAAATTCATAGCAATACATAAACCCATAAATTGACAGCAGACAAAATCCTATCGAAGGTACATAGAGTATGCGCTCTGCAATTACAAATCCGACGCGTATGAACCCTGCAGCTGGCAGAAATGGAATAATCATGAGAGCCAAGCTCAAAATAAGTCCAGCGAGTCGACGAAAATTTAGAAAGGAGACAAGTATAAAGGAGTAAAAGGCAATAACTGCCTGCAGACGCAAATCCCAAATAGTGGACACGAGACTTAGGCAACCGAGAGCCCAATCGAAGCAAAGCCACTGCGGACATATCATGAGCCAGAGGTTTACAATATAAAGATAATGCTGGGAGAGCACGCGTATCAGTGGATGTTCATGATGAGCGATTGGATTGTCTACCGGCTTAAATTCTGGTGTTTCGAAGTTCTGCCACCAAAGACGCAGCACCAGCAGCAACGTTGTGCCCGCGACATAGATTTTATAACGGTGTTGTGATTTTATTAATGGCCATTGAGCAACCAGTGGCTGTGCGTAGTAGACATTTTGAAAGTAGTCCACTAGCACGCAGGCGAGCGGAATGGTCACTGCCGTCTCCTTGAACAGCATACCAATGCCTGTCAGCAGCAGCACCATGCCAACACTGCTCCAGCGCTGCGTGCCATCGCTGCTGGCGACTGTCAATAGTAGGCACAGAAGATATATAAGTCCAAACATAAGCTCCGCTCTACCCACAATGCCTGACACGGCTTCTGTGTGCACAGGATGGACAGCAAAGAGTGCCGCCGATATTGTAGCCCAGCGTTCCGTATTGATTTCCTCCACGTAGAGGGAACGGACGAGTCGCCATACAAGCAACGTGTTCACACAGTGTAGTAACAGGTTGAGAAACTTCATGTGAGCGGCACCCAGACCCAACAGCGCGTGTTCGCAGTGAAACATTAAAATTGTTAGCGGTCGAAAAGATTTGTGGGAATCGGCGCTAATCAGCGGGGCTCCCCAAAAGTCGTGTGTGAAAATTGCTGTCCAGTTGGTTGGTAAAGTATTCACATCCTTATTCTTTACAATAGCCACAGTGTCATCAAACACAAATTGAGCGCCGCCTAAAGCTTGCAAATAACAAACCAGACAGAGTAAAACCAAAATAGCCTGGCATAACAGGCCGTGAAGACACGCATTGGGCACTACTCTTCCGAGGCTCTGCATTTTTTGTTGTTGTTGCTTATTTTATACACTTGAGTCTACTTAATTTATTTTTAAATGTTCTTTTTACTGACTGCCCCTAGGCTTAATATTTTTCTCGGCTTGTATACATTATTCGTGTAGGAGACAAATTGCAATGCAATTGTTTGCCATTCACAGATAACAGCTGTTTAGATTTAGGCATTTTAGTACAATTTTAGTTTAGCTATGCATTTAAATGATTTATGTATATTAAATGTACGTACATAATATTTTAAGGAAAATAATTACTGAGTCTTAACACTTAATTAAGAATATTTTTGGTTTTTATATTTATTGGATTTGTTCAAAGACTTTATTTTAACTCAAAATAACTCAAATAAATAAATAAAATGCTGCTCTGAAGAAATTGTATATATAAATGCATTTGCTAATTCAATTTAATTAGATTATTGTTAACGGACCACGTCCAGCTTGAAATAAAATGATCTAAAATTTAAATTAGGCCCGCGTGCATTTTACCATTCACTTGGAGGAGTCGCAATCAGCTGGTCTGCCCACAAAATTAGGAACAAAACAAACTGCCATAGAAAGAAAAGTGCCCGTCTAAATATGTCGGAAGAAATTGTTTTCGACTGCCTTCATGCAGAAATAGTAAATTACTGTCTGGGCAATAACAAGGTAAGGTTTGGCATTCATGTTATAGTCGATAATTTCAATAACCTTTGCAACAGGAGCACGACCTGGCTACCTTGGAATACATTGGATTTACAACAGGATATCGTCTAATAGAGCGACTCACACGCGATAGCTCCCGCTTCAAGGATGAGCTGGAGACAATGAAGTTTATTTGTACAGACTTTTGGACTCTTATTTATAAAAAGCAAGTCGATAACTTGCGTACCAACAACCACGGTATGTATGTTGTACAGGACAAGGCATTCCGTTTCCTCACACGGATCTCACCTGGCGCCAAGCAGTTGGAGCACGCGCCAAAGTTTGTGGCATTCACCTGTGGCTTGGTTCGGGGTGCACTAAGCAATCTGGGTATCAACAGTACTGTCACTGCAGATGTACAAAGCATTCCAGCGTGCAGATTTCACATAGAGGTCAATAGAAACTAGTTTGCATGCCAGTAATGTATATTGTTTACATAAATGTATATTAAATGTATAATTACTACTAGCTTAATCAATTTTTTCATAGAATGTGACAATGTTTAGTTCAGTCCAGTGGAGACAGTCGTGCAATACCCAATGCTCGTCCACAGGAAAGTTTGGATGCATGGCATCGGGATCTGTGTGTATGCCCTGCGAGGGCTTCGGTCCAATTATTATTAGCCACTTGCCTTTGTATACACATAAGTACTCGAGAAATGCTTGACGATTGTTGAAGTAGCAAAAGAGCAAGGCACTAGGTTGTGAGCCGCAGCAACTGTGACGTAGAAAATCAGAATCCAATTTGCCATCGGGGGCATCTTCCACAAAGTTCAATGGGATAAAGCTGCGTAATGCGTATTTGCTATTCCACCAATTCCGATCGATTTCCAAGCCGTAGAACGCAATCGGATTTTCATCCTCCGTTGCAGCAGCAGCTAACAACCATTCAAGCAATCCACTACCACACCCAACACTGAGAATGTTCTGTATATTATGGAGCCTCAGTAATTTGTTGAATGCCAGCAAATCGGCAGCTGTGGGCCAAACCCAAAGCAGCTTACGTTTAAGTTGCTGCTCTAAAGTGTCGCCCAATGCCAATAATTTTCGCCAGTTGCGGGTCTCCGGTGCACTTAAATAGTAAATCTCAACGAGCGTGTTTCGCTCTGTTTGCTCGCACAACATATTGAATACTACCAGTGAATATACATGCATGAACGGATCTTCATGATTTAGCATTAACCTTGTTGTTGACTCGCATGATGACGCGGTAGGCGGAAATATGGCTCACAGCCAACAAGACTAGCAGCTGTCACTTATCACTAATAAATCAACGTTAGAGACAAATCAGACAAAAAGGGCGGCAACATTAAAAGCTTCTGATCAGTTGATGTGCTCGTTTTCGTATGAGAATTTGAAATTTTTCCGCCAATGCATTTCACTGAAATTGGAGCTGCCATGACCTGAAATGCGCTGCTGCTGCGATTTATGCTGCGTGTTCAAAGACGGTGGGGCTGCTGCTTCATCCTCAAGATGCCCTTCTTGCATTGGTTCATTTGAATATTCTTCGTTGTCTAAATCTAAAATGATTTTGCGATATAGCTTTACGTTTTCTCTAGGTATTTCAACGGGTGCGGTAACAGCTAAAGCTATAGGTGGCGCAGGCATAGCTAGCTCCGTGTCCGGTTCGGGTAGAGGTAGCATCACAGGCTGAACATTACCCACACTTTTAATGACGCTGCTATAACGCACGCCTTGTGCAGGCAGATCAGTTGATAAGGAATCCTTATCCTTACTCTCTTCATAAGTGGCAATGATGATCTCAACGCCAGAATCGAATTGCATTTCCGGATGCATGGCGCGTATGTGGCGCAACATATTGTCGCGCCTATTAACGGTAATATCGCACTCAATGCAACGATATCTGTGGCTCGATGTGTGCTGTTTGACATGACGCGTCAAGGCGTCCATGTGGATGTAGCTCTTATGACAATGCGGACAACGGAAACATGGGCGCTTCTGATGGCGTTCAAGGTGAAGTCTGAGCGTGGACTGGCGCAGAAAAGACTTTTTACAAATGTGGCAGGTATAGCGAGGAGTATTCTGGTCATGCTTCATCTGGTGCTGCTTTAAATTTGCTTTGGTAAGGTAATGTTTGGAGCAAACCTCGCATTTATAGCGCAGCTCACGTCCACTATGGAATAAAAGGTGGCTCGCCAGCGCAGCTTGGGTTCGAAATATCTGTGGGCATTGAGAACAACGCTGTATTTCATTCTTATGTGCACGTATGTGACGTTGCAGGATAGATTTCTGTTTAAAAGATTTGTCGCACACGTTGCAGGTGAAGTTGGAACGTAAGCCATGATTGTTCAGATGGTAGTTGAGATGTGAGCGAGTGGCAAAGCGCTGAAATGGCATAAATAATAATACCTAAATCTATAAATATAATTCACTTGTATGAGTCTTACTCTGCTGCACTGCGGGCAATTATATTTCTTGAGCTGATCATTTCCACATCCACGATGATAATATTTTTGAGTGCGGCTTCGAAAGGATTTGTTGCAAACGGTACAATGGTATCCGTCATCATTTGTTGTTATGTGTTCGCTTAGCGTTGTCACTGTTATGGGTGTGGGTGGATATTCCACTTGAGCATGGGGAATGGCTTCATTCTTACACTCTAAACAATGTGTAACGTCTTGAATTAAGCAAATGCGGCATTTACTATGACCACAGCTGTCAGTAACCAGACGATTTTGCCCAGTAGTTTCACCTTTGCAACGTGGGCAACTATTCATTATATTAAAATAAAGCGAGTCGCCTTACCCAATTATAAAAACACATTTGCTTTATAAAAATGCAGCTTGCAACTGCTATATGCTTCTTCTTCTCACGTACAATAAACAGCTGTCACGCGTTGACATTCACAATGAGACGCGAAAATAATTTACTGCGAGACTATTTGTAAACAATTATATAGAAATTGTATTTTAAACGTTCTCTTTCAGTTGCTTTTAGGTTTCTGAGGAGACAACATCGCGGTCGGGTATCAGTGTTCAAGTTTTTTCGTTTTTCTGCTAACGGGCAGTTCGTGGAATTTGAATTTATCAGCAACTTTTTTCGGTTTTAATGTGCTACAGCACATTACTTATTGATTTGCAACTTTTAAACTAATTAAAGGATTCGATTTCAACAGAAACGCAGCATTCGTGCAGAAACGTGCACTTCGAGGCTTTATGGCAGGCAGGAGTAAAGCTGGTCGTCCGATAGGACAAGTATGCACCACCGGGGCTTTTGGGACCACCAGTCGCCGCGCCAACCCTAACGAGGTGCCCAAAAAGGAAGAAGCACCATCAGTTCGCAGAACTAAAGAGGGAAAGAACGACGCGCCAGCCAAATGCGGCCCAACCAAAAGCGCGCCAAATACAAGTGTTGGTAAACAGGCAACTGCGGTAAATGACGTAAAAGTTGACAAGGACGGACTTTCATGTAAGTCGAAAAATTCCAAGATTTCTACCACTTCTGATGAAATAAATGCGGGAAGCAAAAGTGTGGTCGACAAGGAAATTGTGGTTGCCATGCAGTATGACGGGGACCACAAGGGTCCTTTTATTGTTTATGTGGACAAGGCTAGCGAAATGGGAGTACGCAAAGCGATTAACCAATTCGAGTTAATCGAGCTGCTCTCTTCGCTAAAAATCAGTGGCATAGAAGAAGTAAGCAGGATAGGGCATGGCAGGTGTAAGGTCACTTGTGTGTCGGCGCAAAGCGCCAATGACCTGGCCTCATTGGAAGCTCTCGCTGTTCACGGCTTCGAGGCCAACATTTTTAAGCATTTCACTAGAAAGGCTGGGATTATTTTTAACATTCCCACGTATATGTCAACCGACCACATGATGGAACTCCTGTCGGCGGACATTCCCATAATGCAGGTGGAGAGAATTTTCAAAAAATCAAGGGACACAGGGGACTTGGTCCCTACCTCCAGAGTAAAGATCTGGTTTAAGGGACACCAGGTGCCAAAAGAAATAAAATTTCTATATACAAAGGTGGCGGTACAACCGTTTATACACTTCAAACAATGCTTCCGTTGCTTACGTTTTGGCCATATGGCCAAGCACTGCAAGGGGAGTGCACGGTGCTATAAGTGCGGAAAAGAACATGAGAGAAAGGACATTTGCACTGATATTGCTTGTGCCAATTGCAAAGAAGGCCATATGGCAACATCACCCCATTGTGCAGCCAGACAAAAGGAATTCGCTATTCAAAAGTGTATGGCCTTGGAGAATATGTCCCGAGCAGAAATTAAGAAGACTCATCCGTCTCTCTTTAAGAGGACGGTGCCTGATCTAAGAGATCAGTCAGAATTCCCTTTTTTAAGAAGGCTAAATAATAGCTCAGGAAAGCGCGAGTACAGCAGCCACGAAGTGGCGAAGGAGGTGCATCCCATTGCACCATATGCCAGGGTAGCTAGGCTTCCAGGCAGAGCTCTCGGGGAAACATCCAAGCCCAAGCCGTCCAGATACGGCAATACAACTAGTCATAACTTGGCAGATACCGCTCACAGAGCGGAGGTGCTTGAAGTTGGTACCACCAAAGTGTCTTTAGCCCAAGAAAAACTTAATATAGTGGAAAAGAAAATATCTAACTTCATAACGGACCCAAATAGCGGAGCGGGCCCATCTCTACAGTTCTGGGAGGAAATCAGGGATCTCATAAATGCTGCTAATGCGGAGCTAGATGCAAATCAAATTTGCATCGCCTCGGCCTTGACAAGCACAGCAACAATATGAGAATCCTCCAATTCAACATCCAAAGCCTGACTTTCAACAACAACAAACAAATTCTTCACATGTTCCTCCTAAACAACAACATAGACATCGCCATTCTGTCGGAAATATGGGTGAAAGACAATTCAGAGTGTGGAATTCCTGACTTTAACTTTTATGGAAAGCCAAGGGAAGACGGATACGGTGGAGTAGGGATGTACATAAGAAGGGGAATCAAATTCAAAATCCTAAAGATTAAAAACGACATGGAATGTATGGGCATTCAGACCCTAAATCTAAAGAGAAATTTGTGCCTTTACGGTATCTATGCGGCCCCCTCATTATCAGTGTCTATCCTGAAAAAGGGGGCAAAAGAAATTTTCGAGTATGCGGCATCATTGAGCATTGCTTCACTAATATGTGGGGATTTTAATGCCAAATCCACAACATGGGGCAGCTCCAGTAGCGACGGCAAAGGACATGGCTTGGAACGGGCGGCAGCTAACTCGGGCTTTGTATGTATGAACGACAGCTCCCCTACGTTTTCTCGTTGCCCAGGTCAAAGCTCGGTGCTGGATCTGACTTTCTGCAATACGAGTAGTATTCAATATAGATGGCAGGCTCAAAGCAGCAAACTAACAAACAGCAACCATTTTCCAGTCTTAATAGACTTGGTCCAATTCTGCGCGAATACAAGTCACAAAAAGGTACTTCATAATAGGATTGCGAGAGTTTTCGCTAATAGTGACTTTTCAAACCTGGATTCACTCAATGGCAATGTTCGCCTTATCACAAAAACCAATACAATTACGGTATCAAGCAAAAACAAATATGTACCCAAGAGATGGTGGAACGAGGAAGTTGACAAGCTGTTTCGCCTTAGAAATGCCTGCAGGAAAAAGTTCTATTTCACCAAAAAGCTGGAAGATGCGGAGCTACTCATGGTAGCAGAAGCAAAGCTGCAAAACCAAATAAAAAACTGTCGCAGAGCTAATTTTAGGCAGTATATTGACGAAATGACGACAGCTCCCACACTGTGGAATGGAACAAGACATTTAAAACTTTATAAAAGAATGAAAAGGACAGCTAACACCTGGTCAAAAGCAGAGGACGAGGAGTTCCTTATGATAGTAAAGAACACGCCAACCACAACATTCAGTTGTCCACGTATGGCGACATCATTGGTCCAGGAAGGGGTCCCCATTTTGTTTAACTTTGAGGATTTTATGTCAGTGTTGAATGCGAGAAATCCAGATTCGGCATGTGGGCTCGATGGCATCTCGTATAGGATGCTGCAGACATTACCGAACCCTAAGAAGAATCAACTTTTTAATATGATAAACGACATTTGGCGGGCTGGAGTCTTCCCAGAATCCTGGAGACAGATCAGGCTGGTGCCGGTACCAAAAAAGGGCTCAAACTCTGACCTCGTTTGTAACCACAGACCAATCTGCCTGCTTAGTGTTCTGTTAAAAACAGTAGAGGGTCTAATCAAAATGAAATTCGACGAACATATTGCCAGTCGCGACCTGCTACCGGAAAGATCATATGCTTTCAGGAAAGGAAGATCGACAGCTCTATGCATAAACGATCTAATTAACAAGATCCAATACCTTAAGACTGAGGGTTTCCAAGTTGTGGCAGCATGTCTAGATCTAAAAAAGGCTTTTGACTGTGTGGATATTGAAACCTTAGACCACCAGCTTCGTGCCGTGGAGTTTGATCCACACCAGGTAAGGTGGATAACTGATTTCCTCCGACGCAGATATCTGGTAAAGGGGTCGAGCAAAGCTGAAATAAATAGAGGAGTTTGCCAAGGTAGCTGCTTAAGTCCCACTCTTTTCAACATTTACACAGCCAAGTTACACACCATAAACAATTCGAACTGTCTGCTTTTTCAATATGCAGATGATTTCTTTCTGATCTGTTTTCACAAGAAGTTTGATTTAGCCGTTTTAACGCTAAGTGAAAGAATAGAAAAATTTGAAAGAGAATGCAGCAGGCTCAACTTATCTTTTAATCCAGCCAAATCCAAAGTCATTCACTTCAGCTCACGCAGAAGACAACTAAATTTGGTAAGCCAAGGTTTCCACATTAAGGAAGTTGCACAAATCAGCTATTTAGGCAGGAACATAACAGCAAATAACTCGGCATGCACCCATATTAGTCAGGCTATCTCAGAGGCCAATAAATCATGTGCGTTCATCAGGCTCTTTAGCGGCTGTCAATACGGTGTCAGTCCTAGGCAAGGAATCTTGTTGCACAAGGCTTTCGTCAGGAGCAGGCTGGAATACGCGTGCTCCTCTTTTAGCAGCCTATCCAAGACAGCCCTAGCTAAGGTCAAAAGCCATACCAATATGCACCTGAGAAAAGCGTTAGGACTAATAAAATGTACCCCCATTCAAATCATCTACCACATGGCAGCAGAGATGCCACCGGATTTCAGGATTTTATTCCTCACAGCCAAAGAATTGGCAAAAGCATTTGCTTTCAATTTACCAGTCTGCGATTTGCTGTCATCCACCAGCACGATAAACACTAGTTATGCGAGGGTTTACAGGAGGTTTGCTAACATACTAGACCACATTGAAGAGATTCCTCTAATACCTCTCAAATGCGCAAAAATGAAAGGAGACACGGATTTTTTGAAGGGCTCAGCAAGAAACAAGCAGTCCATGGATAATTCAACCATGCGCCTGATTTTTAATGAGAAAGCCTCCAGTCTGAGAAGCAGAGGCTTTAAGCTATATTTTACCGACGGATCGGTCACCTCCAGCCACTCAAGCTCTGCTTTTTTGCAGGAAGAATCAGGGTTTGTAGATAGTTTCTATACAAACAAAATCCTCTCGTCTCTCTCCTCAGAGCTTATTGCAATTGAAAAGGCAGTTGATCATGCAATCTGGTTGAGAATTTCCCATGTGGCAATTTTAACGGACAGCCGAGGCAGCGTGCAAACACTAATAAATCATTCGCTTAACAATTCCATAGCAAACAACATTAAAAGAAAAATTAATAACTGTTCCAGTGTTTTAGCTGTAGAGTTACATTTCATACCGGGACATGTGGGTATTCCCCAAAATTCCGCGGTGGACACGGCAGCCAAAAGAGCAACAACAGACGGCACCTTCATGGTGCTAAAATGGAGCTTAAAGGATGCAGTGCGTACCATGTACAGTCTAATCCATGACGAATGGGAACTAGAGTACGCCAGATTCGTGGCAGAGAAAAACAGAGCATACTGCGCACTTTTTCCGACCACGCTTGGAAAACCGTGGTTCCAAAATAAGAGCTGCAATTTTAACGCAAACAATACAAAACTAATTAATAGACTGCTTAGTGGATACACATTCGATAAAGTCACTCTTTCAAAAATGCATGTTATCGACGATAACAAATGTAACAGCTGCGGCGTTCCCGATAGCGCATCACACATCATATTTGAATGTCCAAAACATAATACAAATCGACAACGCGTCCCATCGCTAACCAAATATAACAATCTGCACTCTTTCTTTAAGCATGAGGCGGTTCAAGAATATAACGCAATAGTAAACTTCATAAATGACACAAAAGTCAAACTGTAATTTCAAGCAACATCCTACATTTATCTAGTGTGGCAATTTCCACTTCACCAATAAGTGGGCGGCCAAATAATTCCACAATACCCAAGGGCATCGTGGTAACTTAAACCCAAAAAAAAAAAAAAAAAAAAAAAAAAAAAAAAAAAAACGTTCTCTTTTCAAGTAACCTACAACTTAAAGCTATTTGTAGAAAATCTCTTATATACTAGTAAATTATGAGCTGTACACACTTTGCTTAAATCAACTACCCCAATTATCCAAATCCAGACTAGCCACATGACCAGGAAATAAATGCGCTTTGTGCATAGGAACTTGCACAAAGTACCTTTCGCAAAATTTAGGGTTTCGTTTAATAAGTACTTCGTTGAGTATATGGGTGTATGTAAACTTCTTGGTTATCAGTAGACGGCGACTCTCGCCAGCGCCATAGCTGGCTGAACGCAAACCATAATGCGACGCCATCCTAAAGAGATACATGTATATACATAAATATGTACTAATTTAATGGCTAAGTTAAAAAAATTATGTCTTACTCGTGAAACTTGGCACGTTCCTCTTTCGAGAATGTGGGCTCAAACTGCATATCGCGTATGTCATCCGAATTCGCATAGTTTTCGATGAGTGTTCGGAATTGTGCGTTTGTAGATTGCTGATTTGAAGCGCCCAAGCCAGAGCGATTGGTCTTGAAAAGATAGCTGAAAAAAAGATAAGTGAACGGTATTGAAGAGAACTGTATATAGGATTTACCCCACAGGCTCCTCGCGTCCTTGCTTCAGGCGACCCAAACCACCACCAGTCCAGCCCATCAAGCGCATCATTCGATAGCCCTTGTTGCTTGCATCAAGCTTAGTTTCAATTCCCAAACTGTCCGCCGACTCTTTTGTGACATTAATATTTATGCCATTGTTTGTTTTTTCCACTTTAATGGTGTCGCGAGCGGCATTTAGCTTTGAAAAGCGCCACCAATTCAATCTTAGTAGAATTAAATTTTGGTTATTTGCTTACACATTGCTTACCTTGATATTGTAGCAATGTGTCTGCAAGAGCAGCAGCGCTTGTCTATAAGCCGCAAGCTTAGCTTCCTTCTGACTTCCTTTGCTTTGTGCAATAACCTCGTCATTAATGAGTACCTCTGCGATGTTGCTGCCATCCTCAGGATCTTTTACCATCCGCTCTGCGTAAGAGATTTTGCATGCAAGGCAAGAGGAGCGTAGACATTGGCGTCCGTCGGTCAAGTAAAGCACTAGAGTACCAAAACGAAGGTCCTCAAACAAGTTAATTGATTTCCCGTCACCAAAGACGTGTCGAATAAAACCACTTGCGTTGTCTTCGCTGCGTCTGGAGGACAAAGGCGCCGTGTTTTCCTCTCGATTTGCATTTCTGCGCCCTACATAGTTGTTGTTGAAAATTGTTGGAAATTGTGGTATAGTTTCGATCGCTTTTTGCTCATATGTATAATTTACTAGATATAATTCAGTTTTCTTCGTTGAATACGGGGTTAATTGTTTCTTCTACCTTTGGCGCGCTGCTCCGCTGCGTTTGATGCAGAGACAAACGTACGCTTCAGGCGTTGAGCGCGTGTGGCCCGAAACTCCTCGGCAATATCTTTTGATAATTCGGCGACCAACAACATCGTTTCGTTGGGATACTTGCAGCCCAAGAGCTCCATGTTGACGAACGTTTGTGCCAGGCAGACCAAGCGGCTCTCCTCAAAGCGATGTTTGTGCGCCAACATAAAGCTGCGGCGCAGTTCCCAGTGCTCTTCACTTTCATATTCTGTTTTATATTCGTCCACGTCCCAGTTGGTGGGAAAATCGTCTGTTTCATTTGTTGACGCAATTTTGACCATCTTCGGTTTTTTCCGCTTGCCCTCCTTTAGAACTGGTTCTGCGTCATTGTCCAACTTAACTGGACTGGTTAATTTTGTTCGCTTTGCTTTTGTTGCCATTTTAAAGTGTTTTTTTTCTATAGGTCAAAAATTAAGCACGCTTTTCTTTGGATTTCCTTATTAATCGGCATTTGCTTGGTATTTGTCTATTCACACTTATTTATTATCGTTCACATGCGCCTATCGATGAATGCGCTCTTTGCTCACCACTGATTGGCTCTCTGGCTGCGTTTTCTTCGTGCCGTGTGTGTTTTTAATTTCTTGGGTTCAATTTATGATTTTTTGCCATTTTAATTTTACATTGGTGATTAACACGGTGCAAGAACTTGACTGAGTCCTCAGCTCGAAAGGTTTATCGCCGCGTGCAGTAGGATTAAACAGCAGCTACAACAACTGCCAAAGCCAGCAGAAAGCAACAACAACATGAACATACCTAACGAATATATCGCGAAAACAGAAGATGTGGCGGATCAGGTAATTTTATAGAATAAGTGCTATGTGGAAGTAGAAAAGTCAGATGCAATATATTTAATGAAAGCATGGGTTAAAAACGGCCTTGCGCCCACAATGCGGTCAAAATTTAGTAGTGATGCAGGCACTAAACTGAAACTGCCAACGTCATCCAAATGCGGCAAAGTTCGCTGGTTATTCAAGTGCAATGTAGTTCGCCCTGGGACGCGAAGGTCTACATGTTCCATGCCGTTATGTTCAGATCTTAGCCCGTAACTTAACAGTTCCAATTTAAATGCAACAGTCAGCTAAATAATATCCAATTGGTAATTGTTGCTTCTTCTAGGGCACTAGTGTGCGTGTCAAGGTGGCGTGTGTGAGTGAGCGTATGTGTGGATATGTAAGTGAAAGTGGTGAGAGTGTGTTAAATTTTGAGCGGCTGTCTGTGGCGTCGAGTTCCGTAATCAATTTCAGGCAAGGAAAATGGCCCAACATGTTAACAACTATTAGTAGATTTGGGTATGTGTGTATACGTGTAACATTGCTAGGTATTTATATTAATTCAAATCATGCTGCGAGTCAAAAAGCAAGCACATGTAAAAACCCGTTAGGCGGCACAGAGAGTACAGATAGTGTGCGGACGATGGAGAGAGAGAGTGAGTAGGGGAGACACGTCATTCCAAGTAAAGTGGAAGTGTCTTGCAAAATAAACTTTTGAAATGCGGAGACACTAAAGTTGCTGAGAAAACCCCATCTTCTTATCATTACGGCTGCTGCGTTATCTATCGATCTAGCTTCTTGCTCAACACAATCAATGAAACATTTTGTCTTATCTCTTATTTCCCACTCTTCTTTAACACATAGGTTATTAGACGCGGGAAAAATGTATTGCCCACCGTAGCGCGCCTGTGTCTCATTGCCACCTTTTTTGAGGATGGGTTGCGCATGTACTTACAATGGAACGAGCAACGTGAATACATGGACATGAGCTGGGGCTGTGGCAAGTTTCTGGCCACCGTCTTCGTGCTAATTAATTTGATTGGTCAGCTGGGTGGCTGTGGTATGGTAATGGCTAGATTTAAAGTTGACATTGCAGTTGGATTGCTCTTCTTCATAGTGGTTCTGCAGGTATGTTCTGAAGTTATTGGCTTTGGTTGAATCTTCTAATGCGGTTTGCGTCAATTTACAGACAATAGCCTACTCCATACTTTGGGACTTCCAGTTCTTGCTGCGAAACTTTGCCTTGATTGGTGCATTACTGCTTGTGCTCGCGGAGGCTAGAATCGAGGGACGTAGTTTATTTGCTGGTGTGCCGTCGTTGGGCGACAACAAGCCAAAGAACTTCATGCAGCTGGCCGGTCGGATATTGCTGGCCTTTATGTTCATCACTCTGATTCGTTTCGAGCTGAGCGTGTGGCAGGTCATACAGGACATTGTTGGCTCTATTCTGATGGTATTGGTTGTACTAGGCTACAAGACAAAATTGTCGGCACTTATTCTGGTGGCGCTTTTGTCGGTGCTGAATTTATATCACAATGCCTGGTGGGCTATACCATCTTATAAGCCATTAAGAGATTTCCTCAAATACGACTTTTTCCAGGTGAGACTAATTTAAAGTGAAATGTCCTGCGCTAAAAGCGGCTTACATATTAAATCTTTTTCTTTCTTACAGACATTGTCTGTGATTGGTGGATTACTTATGATTGTATCCTTGGGCCCCGGCGGCGTATCTATGGATGAGCATAAAAAGAAGTGGTAGAGTCCACACGCTATGGCGACAAACAAATGAATTGACTTTTCACACAAGCGTTTTACTCTTTCTGAGAAAAAGTTAGTTAGGTTTACCATAAAATGGAACAACAGCATGAGCAACGATTGAACATAGAAAACAACGTACATTAAAAGGGACTTCCGCAATATACCACGCCCCCTTCCTCCAACAGCTTACTCATAAACATTCGCGCACATTCAAATGAGAGAAACTCTTCATACATATATAAGAGAGACCTTTTTCTTTTTGTACATACTATGTGGGAATTTAACGACAGACGATAAAGAGAGACATAACTGATTTTTTATAATTTGTCCGCATAGAATTTTGCAATTGTGTATTTTTTTTTTTACTTATATTGTTTGTACGACGCCCCTTTTGCTAAGTTGTAATGATGGTGTTTGCGTTTGTTGTTTGATAGAATTTTGAAGATTATTATAACGATGTATAAAATATGATGATTGTACCAATTGACGACGATTTGTTTCTTTCGTTTATAAGCAAAAGTGTAATAGATTTAAATTGTAACGTTTTAATAAAGAAAAATACCAAGACGATGTCACATTAAATTAGCTTTTCATTAATATATGGTTTGAATAACTACAATCCATATAAGCAGCTAATCCACCAGCCAGTATATATATAAATCCATTGTTTTTTAATTTATTCAAAGTTTTTATAATTTACAATTCTTTGTTTACATTTGTCAACAAATGTTTGACCTTCTAGGCCACGGTGTATTTGAAGCTCTTGCCAAAAATAGTAATTCCTATGTGTAGTGCTCGAACGTCTCCATGATGACGTCGCGAAGTTATCTTACCACTGATAATCTCACCCCTTTGCACAAACTGCGGCTCATCTATGAAGAACACGGTTTGTTTCCAATGTGTGGGTAAGTCCGTGGGCGATGTACCAAATACCACACGTTCAGGCAACTCGAACAATGTATCGAAATATCCTACCAATGCAGAAAGTTTGCCTGTCTGTGTACATTTTAAATGAAATTCGTGTGTGAAATTGGAATAATTCATATCGACAGTCATCATATTAAAATTTGCTATTTCCTCCGGTTCCGTAAGCATGTATTCTGGTTCAACAATATCAATAAGGGGCTCTTCAATCGAACGCTTACGCAAATCCGTCATGTCCACGCCATAGACATCGGTCCAAAAATCAATTTGCTGCGCATAGAGTTGATCATTGCCGTAGCCCAAAATGTTCAGCGTACATCGATTAGGTAAAATAATACCCTCGGGTTTGAGATGCGTTTCACGTGCATAAATAATGCTATCCAGCATTCCTTCAAACAGCAAAAAATATCCCATCCATTCGGATATAATTATGTCATATTTAGGTTCGGGGAGCTCCGTGTCTTCTAGACGCCCTTTAAGCAACTCAATGTTTTGCACTTTATTCTTTCTACAATATTGAAGTGGTGTTTATTTGGCTTAAATCAAAAAGGTAGCAGGCTCACCTCACTATATCCATGGCAGTGTAAACGATTTCCGAGTTATCTATACCCACAACGCGCGCAGCACCAGCTTGTGATGCAAATATGGAGAGAATGCCGGTACCACAACCGACATCTAGAACTGTCTTTCCCTTTACAAAATCCCTATTTTGTTGCAAAGCATTGCGATAGCTGCTGGTCCGAATCTGGTCGCTGAGCATTTCGTGATGAATGCCAAAATGTGCATAGCTGTTAAAATATTCATTGTCCCATGTATCCTTGTTGCGAACAACACCATTGGCAATAGGTTTCGGTTGCTCTTGCACTGGCTTTGTTTTTGCCTTTGCACCCATATCGTTACTATGCACCTTTTCCAAGAGCGTCCTGTAATCCTCACGCATACGCTGCATGTCTTCATGGGCTTGTTGCAGCAGCTTTGCTTGCTCCTCCAATTGTTGCAATAGCTCTGGAACAGTCGGCGGTTGCTGCTGTTGGCCCTCAACATCAGTCTTGAGCGTCTCATAATCGAAGCACAGCCAAGGTTCGTACTCGAGCGGCTTCAAGTATTTCTCATCGCTCCATAGAATCCGCTCTGTTGCTAGCAATTCATCGACGTTTATCCTTTCACTGCGTATGTAATTAATAAGCTTGAGAAAGCTATACTGGTCCATTTGAAATTTCTGCTGCAGGCTCTGTAAATTTAGCTTGTGTTCCTGGTCCAAATGTTCAATAGCTTGCTCAATGGCGGGAAAAATTGTTGAGCAAAATAAACAGGTTGTTGGTTCCCCTTCGCTATCCCCCATGTCATCCTCATCCATGTCATCATTAGATTCTGAATCAGAACTTTGAATGACATCGATTTCGGCATCCGCATCGTTTGTTGCTATGAGATGAAAGTTATGATTTCAACATATACAAGTGCTAGATCTCACCAGCTTACCTTTTTGCTCTTTGTTTTCCATGCCCGACAAACTGTAGATTGCCTTCACCAATTTTATAAATAAATGGGCTTCGAATAAAGCAAAGACAAAAGTAAATAATTTAAAACGATATGCACGTGTAGAGGTAACAGGGCTGGACAATGTGTATTCAAAAGCATCGATAATGCGAATCTCTTTTTAAGCGTCGATAACTAGTAGGGCACACGAAAACTGCATTTTTTAATCGAAAGAAGAGAAACAAGAATAGGAAAAGGCGGTATTATCATCATGCAAGTGCAAATTCAAGCAAAGGTTGGCGAAAATGTAACCTTTCTTAAACTTTTTAAACAAATCATTTTTCTTATAAGGTAAAACCCATAGGTGTTCCCGTTTACGAGCTTCCTCAGTATTTGTGCGTTGAAACCAAAGTTCTTAACGACAGCGTAAATTCCCACACTCAGGACAATATTCCTATTATAGACAAGGGACGTGCCAAAATGTTGGGCCTAATCGACGATCAGGAGGAGAAGAATAGTCCGGTTGAGCTTATGTGTTCCTGCACCCAGACCCTAGATCCGTTGCCGCCACGACGTGATCGCTTTATGCAAAGTGATGTCAAAACTACAAAGGAAGTGGCAATACAATGCAACAGAGATGGAGATGAGGAAATTTCGGAAATCACCGACCCGGTAAGGAGTGATCCCGTGGAGCGCCTGGAGTCAGAAGCCGAATTTCTTTCATTTGTCAGCGAGCACACGAATATGTATCCGAACGGCATGTTGGAGTGCTTGTTCTGTGGAGATGTTTCAATTGCACTACAACCTCATCAGCACCACATGGCCATGCACTATGGCCCCAAGAGTCTGTGCGCCTCTTGTGGCAAGCAAGTTGATCAGGGTTTTTTGCGGCAGCATTTATACGAGTGTTCTGCTCAATTACCTAAAATAAGGTGGAAGTGCCCGTATTTTTCCTGCTCTTCGGTAGCTCAGTCTAAACGACAGCTGAACGCTCACATAAAACGACATGGCGGTCTCATTAACTATCGTTGTTTGAAATGTCGTCGTGGCTTCGCCACCATTCTGAGTTTTCTCATGCATCGTTACAGCTCAGATTTATGTCACAAAGCCAAACTCGGTCATCTTTGCAATGGACGTATACTATTCGGTAAGCGAACATTTAATTTACGGCAATGTAGCGTTTGTTATAAAAGATTCAGCAATGAGCGTGTTTGTGCGCGACATCGTGCCCACTGCCTGAGAAGGCATCAAGCTAATTTGCAACGGCGCCTATTTAAACCGCCCAAGACAAAGTAGATTATAATGATATTTTATAAGATTTATGTTATAATTTAATATATAACAATAATTATAACGAAAATGTTCTTAAGACGCGTGCATTCCATGTGCTTTTTTTAATCCATGATAAAGCTGTAGCTTCTCCAGATTGATCTCCTTCAGCGTTTGCACTGCCAGCTCCAACTGCACCTTCTTCAATGCATGCTCGCTGGCAATGTATGCTTCGATGAACTTCAGACTGATCTCATCGGCTGCAAAATCAGATTCCGCCTTGCCAATAGCTGTTTGAATTTCCTGTTGAATACCCTCATGCTCTTCTTTACTCTTGAGGGAGCTAAGGAGCTGGTTGAGCGCGCGCTTTTCAGGAGTAGGTTGCAGGGCATCTAGCTCGCTTATGGTTTTGCGGAATTCCACAGGCACGTTATGCAACTTGTAGCTCAGGGCAATGAGTTCGACGGCATTTTGCAGGTAATCACGTCGGATCATGTCATACAACAGATCGTCTATGCAATGATGCCAGGCGTAGAAGAAAGCCATGGGGCCAAAATGGCGCGTTGAACGTAGCTGATCGAATTCTTTGGATTCGTTGAGGTGTTGAAATACCTGGGCGCTAATTTGGTGGAAATCCAATTCGTAGGGTTCGTACTGAACGGTTAGACGATCGAGCACAAATTCATATTTGTGGTCGTCTAAGCATCGTTGCAAATACTCCTGTTCGGAGAACATGCGCGGCGTGTGAAACGTGCGCCCTTTTAAAGGAAAGTATAATTGGTTCATCCGCTTCTGGGTTTCGAGTGGGGCGTACGAAAGCGTACCATCCACATCTCGCACCACCACCTTGCGATCCGATTGTCGCAGTCCATAGGTTATATCGGTAAAGACGAATTTTGTGTTCTGAAAGTCCTTAAGCGCCGGGTCCTTTGAAATTATGCGTTCGGTGTCCTGTTTAACTTTTACAACCGGAGGCATTTGCAGTTGGTGCTTCGCTTTCTCAATCATTTTAACAAATTCATTTTCTAGCTGTTCTGTGGTCATGAATTTTATCTCATTGTCGTTGTCGGGTACGGTACGTTTGCGAAATACCTTGTCCAGCTGCATTTGTGTCATGGACTGCAGAAGTCGCTGGGTTTCCGTATCCGTGAACTGTGGCTGTGGATCTTTTTCATATTGTAGTATGGCGCTCTTTGTTCCTGCATTTGAAAACTGACGTTCCAATCGTGTTGGGAGCTGAAGTTGTGTATTTATTTTACGCAAGTAACGTAGAAAAGACATGTTTCATTCAAACTGAAAACCAAACAACGTAAAACTTGTGCCGTAACCACAATCCTGTGCGGTCGCAGCTAGAGATGACACTTTTGTGACAGTCAAATTGTTCATCTAGTAACAGTGTACGGTGACAACAGCTGTTTGCGTCGGGTTTTGACTGTCAAAGTGGAAAAAGAAGTCGGTGTAATATTTAACATACCTGACTGCGCTGCATTTAGTGAAAAAAATTTTGATATCGCAGAACGGGTATAGGCTATCAAATAGCTTTGCGAACAATGGAAAATGCCGATGTGGGCGGTGCCATTATTGGCACTATAAAGCGGCGAATTTCGCGTGCGGAGGAGAGCCCCGCGGGTGAAGATGCGGCTTTGGTAATGCAGATGAAGCAACGAAAAATTGAACAAGCGGAATCGCCGCTGCAGCACCACGGCTGTAATCTGCTTACTTTTTGCGATGAGCTGCTCTACGAGATATTCAAATATCTGGATTCCTGGTCCATATTGGCGGTGATGAAGTAAAACCATTGCTTGAAAAATTATATCCTAGAACTGGTATATAGCTATAATTTTGTTTGCAGTTGCTCACCACGATTTGAGAGTCTTCTTTTGGATCATCGTTTCTGGCATAACATTGACCTTAGCAACAGTCCTTTGCCATTGGGAATTCTGGAGGACATACTTGGCCGCGCAACGGAGAAGACGCACACAATAAAAATTTGCGGTCCACCCTCGGCACAGCACGTAGCAGGCGAATTCAAACAGTTTACCTGCACGCTAACCAGCGTCTTTCCAAAGGTGGCCACACAGCTACAGGTACTGGAGCTACAAGGCGTTAGTTTAGACTTTGAATATGTAAGTAGATGTGCAATTGCTTTGCCTAAATAAAATTTTGTGTATGTCGGTCCCATTAGATTCATATTGCGGAGTTTCCGTCCTCGCTGACACGTTTGGTGCTAAAGGATTGCAGCGTTAAAGTTGGCGATCATACCCAGAGCATTTTCAATATGATAGAAAGACAATTGTTGGTCTTGGAGGTAAAAAAAATGTATGCCATAGCGATTCAATCAATTAAGTTTTTATATTCTAACAGGATCTCAGCATTGAGGACAACAATTGGTTTGAGCCTTACTACATAATGGCCCTTTCGAAGTTGCCTTCCCTCCGTCGCTTGAGCCTCAAGGGTTGCCAAATGATGTGTAAATTTGTTCCTTATGGTAGCATGGCAGCTCGTTTTGGCTTTCAAAAGTTGGAGGTGCGTTATTGTTGCTTATCTGCCAAATTTTCTAATTTATATTACACTCAATCAATCAATAGGTTCTGGACTTGCGTTTAACGCCAATCAACAATTCGGATCTGCAATGTTTTAGCGCTGTTGAAAGTTTGTGCGAACTGTTGCTAGAGTCGCCACCCAATTTGAAAATAGAAGTAGCTCAGGTTGAGAAAACTAGTAATGGCAGCTTAGTTGAGGACAAGAAACTGACAACACCGCAACCTAAACCCCCACAATTAAATGATGATGAGCCTTCCACATCACGTGCAGCTATGGAGCATTTACGTGCCTGTGCACATGCCAAAAGTAATGATGTGTCTACCAGCGACCCATCTACAGATGCTAAAATTATAGAAACCAATACATTTAATTCTGACAATTGCAATGAAAGAAAGAGAGCATGTGATCGGGATGCGCGTCCTAATTTCCCATTGGCGGCAAAGCGCAGCAAAAGTTGCCCATCAGATGATGACTATGATGATATGGATGATGATGACTCTACCGATGAGTCTGATACTCAATCAGCAAATAGCCATAATGAACACAATGGCGCACCCGCCGTTCCCGATGCTAATGCTGATCCCAATGCACCTGCTCCATCTTCACCTCTGGTAGTCATAGCACTGCCGACAGTTTCAGACGATCGTGCGCTCCGTCCGGAATTTCCGCCAGGTCCTGGAGCCGTTCCAAGAGGGGTAGCAGCCAATGAAGCTCCTGCCAATCCAAATCGCACGCCTCGAGCATATATCTATGTGCCCGAGGGTGGCGAAGAACCAGGGGAGGGCGCACGACCAGAACCCAACATGGTGTCTCTACTGGAGCAAATGGCTCTTCACATGCGGACTGCCGTACAACACTGGCGCGGAAATAACCCTTCCCGTAGTCGTTTTTTACAACGTCAGGATCAAGTTATATACATGAATCCACAGGCCATAAGAGAGCCATTGCTTGTCATGCACTCACGGCGCCATAATCGGGCTCCACCTCGCGGCAACCTCGACCAGGTGGTGCAGCATCCAATGTTCTGGAATATGCTTGATCCGTTAGATCGTGAGTATACGCGTCGTATGCGGAGCAGCCCTTTGTCCAATCGTGTCTCACAGTACTGCGTGTCGGATCGCGCCATTTATAGCTTTGGTCGGGCAACAAACCCAGTTCAGCCCGATGTTATTTGGATACGAAATATAAACCGTTCACCTAACAATCGTCTGCAGCGCATTTTGTTGCGGAACTATCAGCACATCACAAACCATTCGCTCGAGCATTTAGTGCAGTGCTCTCCATATTTAAGTTACATCGACGTAAGCGGTACGAGCGTCACAATGACGGGTGTTCGAAACTTTAAAAAACTCAAGCCTGAATGCGTAGTGGTGGCGGAGCATTTAAGTTTAAGCGAGGAGCAAGAGGAGGAAGAAAATATTACTATTAACCATGAACCCACCGGCCCGACGCTTAACGATGGGGCTGCGAACGGTGCGCAAGCCTCCCCATCACCGCCGCCGATACAACCTCAATTGGAGCAACCATAGACCACTTTTGATATGTATTCCCAATTTCTGTTGAAAGCCTCGAATTTGTTACTATTGACGCAAACAAAAAATCGTTCTTTCACTCATACCATTCAAAGGCATAAGTTTATATACATTTTGTAATTTTTAATAGTTAATGCAATTGACTACTACTTACTTAAAGTTAAAATTTTTTAATTAGTACAACATTTAAGCTTCATTTAAATGTAAAATGTGTGTGCTTGCTGTTCCTTCTCAAATTAAATGCAGTCCCGCAATTTATTGAGTATTATTTGGCCATTCTGTCTTTTAGTATAGTATTACATCATTCTAAATTTGTACAATATTATGAGTGTACGATTTGTATAAAAAATAATCTAGTTAAGTATTATAATAAAACATCTGTGGAATTGAAAAATATTATTCATGCATTATAATGAAATGTTTATTTGGTAGCCGGTATAGTAAGTTGAATAGTTCAGTTGCGTTTTTTCTTCAAAAAGGGCGTGTCTAAAAATGTAATATTTGCAATTATTAATATAAAACTATTTGTCATTCTCAGTATCATTAGTGGAGGATTCTTCCTCCTCTTCGGCATCAGATTCTTCATCGCTCTCTTCGGTTTCAGATTCAGACTCCTCGGAGCTCTGACAGTCGGCAATCTCGCCGGTAAAGAATATTACAGCCTTCGGTATGACGCGCTCCTTGAGATAAAAGCCAAGTTCAAAATCATTTTGCAATATGGCCTGTATAGAATCCAAAATTATTTTTATTAAAGTATCAGATTACGAAATAAAACTATCCTTACATTAATATCACAATAATTCGGATCATCAGTGTCCTCTGGCAAGGTGGGTGGCGAAAAGAAATCGAAGAACGAAGTAGTATCTAAAAAATTTGGTTAAGTATGGAAAGAAATATACGTTTTTTGTTTGTTAATTTTACAACATTTCCAATCTATTGAGATTAAAGAATAAGAATATTTAAGAGTTTACCTTTCTTCTCGCGGTCCTTGGCCTGCTTCCACTCAATGCGACAGCCCTCGCATTTGTAGATCTCTGCGCCATCATACGAAAGTGGATCGTCGGGATCGGGCAGACAATTCAAAAAGTATGTCTTAGTTAAAACACGATTCGCAATGTACTCATTTGGCTCAAAGTGAAACTCAATGATGAATTTGACAGTAGGCTCATTAAATAGCTTGGCGCGTATATCGCAAAGATTCTAATATAAGGGGCGGGAAACACCGGTAAATTGTCAAACTCCTCTGAGGAGTACTCTCCACTTACCGAAAGTATCTTTTCGTCTTTCTTGCTAATAAACTCAGTATATGAAGCCTTCAATACCTTTAACCAAAAGTTGGTCACGTTTTCATTAGGACTCGCATCACCGTGGTTTTGCTTCTTAAACTCTCTGCAAGATCTGGGTGTCATAAGTATATAAGTTATATAATGCCCTCATTCTTACTCCAAAATCTTCTTGCGTTTATCAAATATCTCGTTATGTTTAACTTCATAGGATTTCTCCATATTGTAAATGTCACGCTGCAAGTCAACGTCCAACTTGATGGTTTCCAAATACAACTGCTTCAGCTCAGCAATAGTCTTTTTTTCATCTTCCGTGAACATTACATCCTGTTAATAAAAACGTTTTCATAGTTGATCCAACCTTAGTGTGATGCAACTTACATCTTTTTCGTTCTTCACAGTTTGTTGCGGAATTGTGCACTTTATCTTAGCAGCGTTTCGGGTGCGCATGGAATCCATGTTGGGATCTTAGTTACGCGATTAGACTTCAGCTATTTGAAAATTTTTAAAATAAAATTCTTATTTTTATCACTTAAAACTATTGTGTAGCTTTGACTGCCGTAGAACAAATGATTTTTTTGTAATAAGGATTCTAGTACACAAATATCACAGCCTACCATTTTTGGGAAACTTTGCCGAATAGTTGTACACACAATAGACTTTAAGAGCTGTGTATGGGCATCTGTCAAGCCATTTGTCGATAAAACAGCATTTATATTTTTAGAAGAAATATTAAAGTAACGGTTCTTTGAGGCTATTATTCTGGGACTTTTTTGTACATACATACATATGTATCTATTTAATCATAATAAGTTCCTATTCGGCACTAACGTTTTTACTTTTTACTTCAAAACTTACAGGATCTTGAACTACTTATTACAATTAATAAAATAATACATTATGTTATAGGATATGCAGTTTTGAAATACATAAGTTGAGAGGTAACTGTTTAAACCATATTTGCTACTACTTTTATTGCTTCGTGCATAGCTATAATTTCTATTTAAAATACTGTGGAGTATTGTGGAAAAAGTCCATGTTAAAATGTGTCAGGTTAAGCTGTAACATTGTACCCAATAGAATCTTTCGTTTCGCCAATAATATTGCGACCATAATTTGAATACTTGTAAGCAAAATAGGTGAATTAAAACAGGCATCTGAAGTTCACATGCTCCGCTTTCGTCACAAAAAAACATAAAGTCAGAAATTTGTAGATACCAATGTGCATATACGAGAACTTTTAATTATTTTTCTAAATCTCTCAGTCAATAACATTGCGATGTTGATAAAGAATGTCGTCCCTCCGCAACCGCTGTAATATTAGCTCAAGCGTTTCAATGAATGTATGAATGAAGGTAGTTATATTGTATGTCCAGATTAAGTGCGAACTGAAAACAGTAAATGAATTCTAAGTCATTTCAGCTTTTTACACATACATATGTATGTATGTAACTAAAAATTAAATAGAAACACATGTAACTAAAAATTAAATTTTCCTAATTTTTTCAGAAAGAATTGCCAATTTTCAGAGCTTTGAGGCGCAATGTGCTTGGTTGTAGGCGGAAGGATGTATTGTACATATATGCAAATGTGTTTTACAAAATATAGTATGTAATTTTATATACATATCTGTCAGTAATTTTAAATTATTGTTATTTTCCCATCGCGTAGCTCGACAACTTACTTATTGGACGGTCGTAGACAATGCCGGTCCGCTGGCCTTAGAATGGCGCAGTTGGGCTCAAAACATCCCAAATGAGCTCTATAAGCTCTAACTGTAACGAATGACAACTCGCAGCAGGTCACATTTGACTAAGATGATTGTCATGTTATTAAAAAATAAAATAATATAAAAAATGAGTTTATGGTTTGCATCGCCGTTATTTTTTTGTCATGGATGTGCAAGGTAAAATATTTAACGACCGGGTGGCAACGTTCGTGCGTTTTGGCCGATAATTTGTGTGCAAAGTCACACCACTAGATAAACTTAATAGCAAATTAATGAAAAAAAGCTGAGCAGAGCAGCAAAAGCAGGAGATAACAAAATTCTGCGGTGTGAACAGCCAAAATTCATGCGACAGCGGTAGAACCTGTGCCAATAAACGACATCAAGTGATGGCGGCTCACGCCGAACTCAAGGAGTTGAACATCTTTGAGCTGCGTCCACTTGTTAAAAATCTCAGCTGTAAGCTCTCTGCTGTGACATCCTACGATGCGCAAAGGCAAATGCTCTGTTTGGTCAGCGAGGAGGATGAAATTGTGCTGCGTTACATCAGCGCCAGTGGCCAGGAGGTGCTCAAGATGGTCTCCTGGTTCAAGCGCACTAGTCGCGTTATCCATGATATCTGTTTCGATCCCGCTGGCGTTTGGCTCTTGGTGCTCTGTAAGTGTAACGGAAGTAGATTTTCGCGTATGTGTGTGCGTGTTTTTTGGGCTGGGGGTTGTTAAAACCTAAAATTACTTGCAGTCGGTGTGCGTGTGTGTGTGTGTGTGTGCGAAATGTGCGTGCCAGCACATTCCCCGCAATTTATGTATATTATTGATTTTCTTTTGGCAATTTTTGTTTTGATATGATGTTTCAGCTGTTGCCAATTGAATTGGCTACTCTGCTATATATATGTATGTATGTAGTTGAACCTTTATCTGTTCGTGCATCAACAGGTTTTGACAATACTCTGCACATTGTGCCGGCATTGGCCATGGTGGATGAAACACACGATCTGGCGGCATGTGCTCTATACAGCAGTACACAGGTGACTTCTTACATTATACCGTTTGTTGGTCCACACGAGTGTCCCAACTCGCAAAAGTGTCCTAATCACTCGATGCCATTGGAAGAGCAGCTGGAGCAGAAGAGAGCGGAAGAGTTTGCGGCCACAGATAATTTGGCCAATGAGTTTCAGCGCTTAAACCTGGACGTGCCAGCTCCAAATGCAGAAAATGATGCCGAGCCATTGATTCATGAATTGCCTGCACATATGCTGGTTGCCAACCTTCAAGTGCAGCAGCAGCCACAGCAGCCTTCATCCAGCACCATCCAACATCAAGCTCCGCCGTTCGATGCCACTGGCAATAGTCAAGTGGTAGCTAACTCATTTATGGTCTCGAAAACCTGCCCCTATCCACTCTCTGTGGTCTGGTGGAAGACCTACTATGGTCTGAATCGCGCCATTATTGGCTATTCTGATGGCTCCATTTGCTTTGTGGGCTTAAGTCCGAACTGTCCGATGATAGCAAGCACTTCCATTGAGGATGGCTCAGTTGTGCGTCTGCTGATCTGCAAGGACAACACATTCGATGGCGTCATGTTGCTGGTAAGTCTTGGATGCAGTACTACATAGATGAATTCATTGATAGCCTTGCCTTTTGACAGATCACATCCTCGCTGAAGCAACAGTACAAGCTGTTACTGGAGCAAAAGGCGATCATGTATGTCTATCCAGGCGATAACTCACCAACATCTGTGGTGAATGGGCGAGACGGTGCATGGCAGATTGTGATGTCGTTGCATGGCAAGCAACAACAAAATATTGAGGGCATTGCCGGTGCACGCCAAAGTAATAGCTCCGATCCAGCTTCTGATAGCAGTCAGTTAGAGGAGGATGTCTTTGCACCGCCCAATGAGGCACCCAGTACGCATACAGTTGCTGCAGCAACGACAGCGTCGGCTGACCCCAGCGAGGACGTTAGCGATGTAAACTCGTCCACCCCATCACCACCCGCACCACCGCCTTACAGTGCAGCCATTTCTCGACCATCGAGCGAATGCGGCGCGCCTGGAGTAAACACTGGAATTCGCTTTCAGCAACAGCAATTGCCGCCCAATAGCTTCGATGGAATTCTGCCAGCCACCCGCGCACGTCTTGCCTCGCTCAAGAGTCTCGGATCGAAAAAACTGCAGGCCATCAAGATCCGTCTATCGGACCATAGGCAAAAGTTCGATGAATGTGCGTATGACCTTAGAACCATTTCTCTCCTCTCCCATCAATATTTTTCAATACTTTTCAAGAAATCTTTTATACTGCTCTCGCTTTATTTGCTTTTTTTGTTCTTTTGTTTCTGTTGTGGATTGTGTGGTTTTCACACAGTGCTCAAAGCAGTGTTCATTTATTTGAAGCGTCGTTTGCGTGCGAGGCGTGGTGAGTTCGAAACGTTGACTCTGCGCACCAGTCACCAAATACAAACACACAACAGTCCAGAGTTATATCGCCCTTAAATTTAATGAAGGAATACTGTTAGAAAATGTTCTCGTTTGAAGATTTAATTTTAAACAGATGGAGGAGAAGTGATAGAAGCAGACACGAGCAGGCGGACGGAAGAGAAAAATATACCGTATTAATGTTGTGCCGCTTACTATTTATTTACTTTTAATATTAATAGCAAATTTTAAACATTTCTCCTTTCTGTGTGTTATAGAGTAAAGATAACAGAAACCCGCAAAATTTTGAACCATATTTTGCATTTTATTTAATTAGATTAGTATATGGCCCTTAAAATATATTGATATTGGTTTAGCTGACAAATTGCAGCGTAATTTATTGTTGTAATCCCTTGGAAAATTTCTAGAATATGAGTGGTGTGCAGTGTAGATTTATTGCGTTATGACTCTGTTTGTTATGGGCTTCACCACAGACATTTCAAAACATAGATAACCATTATTAGTTCAAACACGTTCTAAAAGTTTTCTTTATCCCGCTCTTTGCAGATATGCCCGATGCCAAATCGGGTTCCTTTGCAATCATGGATTCACCGTCAGTAACACCGGAACGCTTGGGCAGTGCTAGTGGCTCTTTTTACACCATACAAAACTTGCGGAGCACGTATTTGCTGAGTGCACTGCATAGTAATTCCTATAGCCTGACCGTACACAGCATAGATATCCATCTGAAGCCGCTTTTTCTATACAAAATACCGAAACATTGTCTGGACATACTCATCAGCTCCAATATACTCTATGCTATACAATATGTGGAGCTGAATAGCAGCGATTCCGCCATCTCTTCGCTAGAGGAGCCCCTAGTAAACACGGAGAAGGAAAGTCGCGATGCGGATACTGAAAAGCTGGAGCAACTGGAGACGGATGCACCGCCAGTAAGTGCTAGCAAAAGCGATACAACCAGCGCCACAACCACAACAACAACAACAACTTCGAGTATGGATCAAAGTGAGCTTCCCACTAATGCTATAAATGCTGTTAGTGTTATTAGCAGTGCAATGGCCTCCCTGCATACCGGCGATAATGATGTAAGTGTATTATATACTTAGAAACTACATATTATCAATTTGTATTTGTATTTTTTTATTTGTCGTTTCGCAGCGTTTTAATAATGTGGCACAACTGGCACTCTTTCGCTTCGAGCATGAAACTGTGTTAAATCTCTATCAGATGGCGCAGTATCGCAACGGCAATGGTAATGGCAGCACTACCAGCACGGGCCAACCTGAAACGCTCACCAAAGAAGAAAAGGCCAAAGCTTTTGAGATTAAAGACATCCACACGCCGATGGATTACGTATTATTCTATGGGACGGCCAATGTGTCCAGCGAGTATACTTTGCGTCAACTGGAGATTATGCAATCAGAGTTCCCCAAGATCAACTATGATCCATGCTATGTGATTACCAACAAAAATGTATACTTTATACAACTGAAGTAAGTTAATTAAACACACAAATCATAGTTCTATTAATATTTTATATTTCTGTTATTATTTAAGAAAAGAGCCGTTTGAGTTATTTTTGGATGCTGCACTGGCAGGCGAATGGACCCAATGTCGAGATTTTTGCAACACATTCGACTTATCGTTCGAGCTGTGCATTGAGTTTGCAGGAGATTATTTGCTGCGTCGCAAAAAGATTACACAGGCACTGCTCACTTACAATGTAGCCAGAGTGAAGCCTATAAGGACCGCACTCAAGCTGGCCATGTATGGACACACGTATGCGCTAATGCAGTTGTCGGCCATGGCTCTAAAATCCACGTACGTGCTACGCTCACGCCACTTGTGTCATCCACTGCTTAAAGGCATGCTGTCAGACATCACGTATCGGCATTCAGAAGATGTACGCTCTATTTTGCCTCATAATGTGATCCAAGATCATGTGAATACTGGGCTTTCGTGTAGTGATTATTGTTATGGTGTAGATGAGTCCATCAGTGCCCTGCAAATGTCGCCATCGTCACAGTTTCATTTGGCCAATCTTCTGCTCATCACACTGGCCGAAAAAGCTGTCAACGATAAAAACTATTTACCTTTGTGGTGAGTTGTGAGCCAATTTCTTTTTTTCTAGTTCTTGCATAAAATGCGTGTATTGCAGGAACTTTCTGGTAACGAATAGCAAATATCATACCAATATGACGAGCATTGTGCTTTGTCAGAGTGGTCTCTTTTCCGCTGCCCTGATCTTGGCAAAAGTGCGCGGGGTCTGTTTGGATACTTTTAATGCTTTGATTAGCGTTGTGGCGCAGGAGTTTGGATGGTATAATGAGCTGAACGTCTGCCTTTACAATCTCAGTGAGGACATTTTCGTCGAAGCTATCACGTACTTGCCACATGTGTCTATGGATTACTTTGCCTTCATACAGGAGAAGCTGGAAAATGTTCGGCCGTGTGTCCTGCAGGTAACCAATCGCAATAATAGCTGTTAAATGGGTAAAACGGATATAATCCAATTACTGCCGCTTTAGCGTCTCTCGGAGCAACTAAACCCCTTCAGGGCCGCACTGCGTCCCATTATCTCGCATACCTCAAATAGCGGCCTACAACGATCTTCTGATGGCGGCAACTCAAACGACAATAACACCTATCTATTTGAATTCTGTAAAAGCCTTATTGAAACGTATTTGGCCGTGCTTATACACATGGAATCTCAGCGTGTCAAGCACGACTCTATTGTGAATGCTCTATCAAATTTTCGCATCAGCTATGAAGACAATCAGGTGAGTTACCACTAAGGTTCCTATAAAATTAGGCGTCTGGATAACTTCGGCATCTAATTATGTTAGGCTTGTGACAAAAAAGTTATTTATTTTTTATTTTAATAATATTCTTTAATGAATACATACTTATTTTATAAAGTAATAATGTGTCATAATAAAAATACAACTAATTTTAGTAATTAAATATTAGTTTTGAGATTAATCCAGTTTCTCATATCAATTTTCTTTGTAGTTTGCTATCGAATCATCCCGCTTTAAACCGATCTCTGCTGGCTGCGCCTATTGCGCCTGCGTTGTGGATGGCGTAGCCTATTTTTGGGGCTCCAATGGTGTCCCATTCTGTTTCAGTGCTCAGAAGGCGTGTGGTAATTAAATACAAATGTGCTGTTTATACAATATTAAATGAGGCCTTTCTATCCTAGAGCCCCCTGAACCGGCGCATGCTGTCAAGGCTTTGGAACTATTGTCCCAGCTCAATTTAGAGGTTCATGCTGTAAAGTGCGGCCGTCAGCATATCCTTATATTAACCAACAATGGCGTAAGCTTTACTGCATCAAAACTTTCACTTCGATAAAGTTCAACTTTTTCTTGCATCTTTCTTTTTAAAGCTTTATGCTATGGGCAACAATAACCTCTGTCAATTGGGAATTGGACGTCATATGCAAATGGCTTTGCAGCCAATGCTGGTGCAGGGCTTGGACGGCATGAATATAACCTTGCTTGAAGCGGGGCAATATCATAATGCAGCAGTGGCTGATGGCAAGCTCTACATGTGGGGGTGTGTAAACATATACACATTTTAAGATACCACCTTATACTAACAATATTTCTGAATTCCAGTTGGGGCATTTATGGCCAATTAGGAAATGCCAGCTGTGAAAATATCGTAACACCGACACTAGTCAGTTTTTTCAAGTTTAAGGTGAGAAACAATTTAATTACATCTAACGTTCATAAGCTTTAGAAGCTCTGTTAAATTGGATCCTCCATTAAATTAGTCTTTCAAGTGCAAGCAGACGTCTCTTTCAATACATGAACGTTTTAATGAGTATTTAGAATGTTCAATGGAGTAACCCCATTTCCATTGCAGAAAATCTTACAAGTTTCTCTTGGTCACGCGCACAGCTTGGTGCTGTGTGAGGCGTCCAGCAACTACATAGAGGCTAACGCTAACAACGAGCTGTATGTCTTTGGCTCCAATCATTTTGGGCAGCTAGGCATTGGGAATGGCGAAGTCGCGGAAAAGGATGCTAATCAAATTAAATCAAACCTCCCAATACGTCTGGATGTGAGCAGCTACAGTTTAAGACTGATACACACCAAATTTTTTACTAATGTAAGTAATCAATTCCTGTATTCAACCAATGCTGATGCTGTCCTGTGCTCTTGCAGTTAGTGGTAGATGAAAACGAGCGCATGTACACGTGGGGCAGCTCACCGCAGGCGTTGCGTCTGGCCAATCAAATCAAGCGGCGCGCCAATGCCAAACAAAAAATGGAGGAACATCAACAACGAGAGATGCTAAGCAAGCGTTTGGACGCCACGTTGACGACGCCGAGTAATTTGTTGGTGGAACCAACCACGTCATACGCAGCTGTAGTGGCTGGTGCAACGCCTAAACCCAGTACTACAAGTGATGAGGCAAACCCTAAACAAAAACTTGGCGAAGATAAAAAGACCGCCAGGAATGTGGCAGCTGTTGGAGCTGCCGAGGCTTTGCCTAGCGATGGCACCGAGGACATTAATATGGCATGCAGGCGAGACTCAGAGCTGCTGACAACAAAAACAACAGGAACGAATGAAGGGTCGACTGAAAATCCAGCATCACAAAATGCCCAGCCACCCACCGGGGAAGCTGATCCAACTGAGCATCTGACACCGCATTTAGTGGACACCACCGAAGTAGCAGGAAATATTTTACAGGTAAGCCGTCCTGCGTGAAGCACTGAGTGAGAATTTATACTGTTTAAAGTGGCTTCGGTTAAGTGCTTCATGTGGGAAGCGCGAATACCTCTTACAAAAAAGAAAAAAAAAACCTTAAGTAAGGTTATTTGCTTAAGATTTTATTTTAAACTAGTGTTACAAATATATTTATCTCATTTCATGTGCACACAGATTACTAGTGGCCTCTTCCACTTTGCGCTTATCTCGTCCAGCTCCACGTTGTACACTTGGGGAAAAAATCTTGAGCATCAACTGGGTACAGAAGATAAAGACAGACGTGGTGTACTTAGACCGTCGCCCATTGACAGCATCGAGCAGCCCATGTACGTGGATTGTGGTGCCGATTTTACAATTGTGATGACTACCGACTATGTGGTGAAGGCATTCGGTGGCAATTCCAATGGGCAATGTGGACGAGATCTGGGACCGTCTTTGGATCGCATGAAGCAGCGTGTGGTGTGTTTACCAACCACCAAACGTCTAATGCGCTTCGAAAGTCAGTGTGTGGATGTCCCGGTAGAGATTAATTTGCCCCGGCCACGTATTCGTCTGGACTCGGAACCAGTGCGTTATCTAAAGGTGATGCCGCCCTATCAACCCCACTTTTTGCAGCCGGCAAACATTAATTTTGAGCAGGGTGGCTTTAATCGCGGCTCACTGGCTACACCCAATTACAAGTCTAGCACAGAGAATGCAGTGACGGGTCAGGATTCGGACGATATGATCAGCAGCTTGGAGAATTTGAGCCAAAATGATGCCTCCTCGCTAAATTATTCATATAATGCGCCGCCAGTAGGCGATGCTTTCAGCTCGATGGACTATACACCCGAAGAGCAAAGCTATGCGCCATTGCCAGATCAACAGGCGGCTAATTTGGTTGCCCAGCGAGCAATTATGATTGAAGGCGACGAGGATGCGGATGGCAGCACTTTTACGCCCAGTTCAGTGGCTGGAGATGATGCGGCGCTAGAGCCACTGCGTCATTATATACACTACTGCCTGTACGCCTTTCACGGCCTCTACAATCCCGAAAAAATTTCGGAATATTCGCGACCTACGCGTCAGGAGTTTCGCATACGCACGTTAATGCTGAACTTCAAATTTGTGGAGGCGTTTCGGCTGTGTCTACAGGACTGCGATAGCGCACAACGCACGCTCAAATTGTTCGAGTACTTCAGCAAGGACACGGGCTATGTGCCGTTGCGACGACCCGATCTCAAGTATCTCATTTATCACATGTGTTTGCACTTTTTGGCACGCAAATTCGACATGCTTGACTGTGAACGCTATTTCATGGGCGATCTAGACTACTATATGATGGAACTGGCCTATGTTTTCTACTTCAACAACAACAACTCAGCGTTGGAGCAGAATCTTAATCAGAAATTTAAGATGATGATAGCGCAGGAACAGCAACAGACAGTGGGTCTGGCAGATAGCAATCAGTCAACTACTCCTTCAACGTCCAATGTCGTGCTGCAGGATACGGACACTATATTCGATAGCTTTAGTGTAAAGTTTAAAACGATTTTGTGTCAGCGTTTGCTCAGCTATTGCGATGCCAGCAATTAGCATTGGCTTGACCAACCGTGCAAACGGTTTTGGGTTTTGCTTTGAAATCTGTTTTGTTTTTAATTTTGGTTTGCTTTAGAGAAGATGGGCGGGCCCGCAGAGATTCCGCTCTAAGTTAAAAGTTGAGTTTTTTGTGTTATATTTTTAAAAGTTAGTTTTCTAAGTTGATTGTTGTGCGTTCGCGCCAGTTATAAGCTTCTTCAACAAACAAAAAAAGAACTCCCAGTCAGCCTCTCGGCCACCCACACATCTACATATACATACACATATTATCCACATGTTTACTTTTAATTATTATAATTGTTGTTTGCAGCTGATGTGCATAATTATAAAGCTTTTTATAGCGCTGTTATTACAAAAAAAAAGAAACATAAATATTTACGAAGACAAACAAATTGTATTGGTAATCTAATTTTTATATCGCTTTTTGTTTGCAATTGCTTTACACGCTCTTTTGTTTCATTAATAAACAACACACATTTTTTGTGAGAAAAAGGCACTTATTTTTGTTAATGTATGGTATATACAATTTGTATGTATTTTTTAACAGCTTGTGATTCGCAATTATTTAAATTATACATACCCATATATATATACATAATATATACATATACAAACATTTCATAAAATAATTAAATAAATTTATATGTACATCAATTGTAAAGTAACACGTGCGGGCGGCTACAATTTCAACTTGATGTTGTCGGTAGTCCAGCGCTTCGTCTGCAGCCCCTTGATTGCATTTTCACAATAGAATTGGTCATCGCTACGTTCAGCCAGCGTGTCCTTTAGAATTTGTAGTTCCTGGACTTGCTTCAGTCCCACCATGGCATCGATGATTGCCTTCGTGCATTTAACACGCTGAGCCAGCCGAAGCTTATCGCTATTGTTGTTCATCTTAGAGAGAAACATTTGCAGCACTGTAGGTGGTGCCTTTAGCTCGTATAAACGCTGTACTGCCAGCGCCAGATCGAAGCTGATGTGGAACTGCTTGGACTTAATAGGGTTCCAGGTGGGTACGCGCTCGAAAATCGCCTCCAAATCCGCATAGGCCTGGGCGCGAGCACGTTCATTCAGCGCTGTCCATTCGTATTGCGCTGCCGAGATCTGTTGATCAGCACTAAAGCGTTGCGGCGATATTAGCTTCAACATGTCCTGCTCCTTCCAGTTATTATTTATCTGGCAGCAGGCATACAACACCTCTACAGGCGTGGCGTGGTCACTAAGTTGCTTTCCCAAGCCGGATCCGCGTTCCCTTTCGACAAGCAGCTGCAGCTTGAGGGCTGCATGAAAAATTTGCTCATGTAGTGGTATAATGCCCACTCCTGCATTGGCATAGGCATCTACTAAACGCTGTAGTTGCTGTTTTCGGATGACCAATTCGTTGCATGACATGGCCGCCTGAAACTGCAGTAGTGCTGCCTCCTGGGAGCGCCCAAAACGCTGCAATAGGTCCAGGCAACTATTTAACTCACCTGCCTGTCGCAGGTAGCTGAGATAGTGCTCCAATGCCTTAGGTCGCCTCTGCAGTATACTATGGAACTGATTAGCGTTCAGTGTTCGCTTCAGAAACAGTAACACGCCAATTACGGCGTCTCCCCCTCCGTTTTGTAGTAGCGTATCCAGCAACTGTTGCTTCTCATGCAGCGACTTGAACACCTCTAGGGACACTGTTTTTCCTTGTAACAGTTTGACCGCAGTTGCTTCCGGCGAGGGACTGTATAAGGTATTTTGAATTTGCCGTCGCAGTAACCTCAGCTCTTCCTCCGGCGTGACACCCTTGCAAACAACGCAATCGTCAAGTGTTTGTTCCTGTAGTACGAGTTTTAATGCCTCATCGGTGATGATGGACTTAATGGATAAATTTAACGAGCCGACGCTGTTGTCAAAGCTAGCCTCGGATATTGTATCATCGTTAAAAATTGCATTGTTGTCCCACTTTGTAAAGTCGCTGGCACCGACAGCGTCAATGTCGTCGTCATCGTCGAAGCTAAAGGCGGCGCGTGAGGAGCGGTTCCAAAAGTTGTCGGTTTCCAATTGGCTCTCCATTTTCAAGATATCAAAAAGTAAACAATAACATAAAGGAGTGTGCTAGATTTTGAGCAGCTGTGCTAGTGGTGGTACACAACAGCTGTTATTTAACACAACCGCCACTAATCGATAAATTACAACTTGGTACTTAACTATCAAGACACCAAAAAATATTTGAAAAGCTTCGATAAAAAATGAACTTTTGCTTATAGTATTTGATTATGTTGCTTATTTGTTTAAAGAAACCAGAAAAATACCTATGTGTGTTTCGGAGACAAACAAATATAATTTTTATCAATTGCGAGATCTGTGGATAGGACTTTAATTTGACATAATTTAGCTATGTCCAACTCCCGTAAATCTTCAATTAAATTTAGCAATTACCTTCGATGTGCTCCTATGTTTCCGTCTATCAAGTTTCATCGTAATAGGCCAATTTAAAGGAAGTTATAGTCATAAAGGTAATCTCAGCCCAAGCTCTACCAGCAGCTGTTGTTGTTGCTGCTGCTTTGGATAAATTGGATCATTGGATAAATGCTCAGAAGAAGCAATCCCGATCGAAATGTGCAGTCATATCCCCTTTCGGATCCCAAAAAATACGTAATTGATCAAAATAATTTTTTTTTTTCAATTTTGTTAATTATTTTAGAGAAAGGTACAAAGTATTTCAAAGGGAATCCGACTTTAGATTTTTCACTTGGCTTAAAAGGCGTTTGCTGTCTCAAGTATATACGGTAAACGATAAAAAAAATTTAATAAAAATCATCTAGACCGTTTGCTTGCTTATATTATTAAATTTATTCAATCACGTTCTACTTATTTTTTAGTAATTAAATACACAATTGTATAATTAGTTACATACGTTAAATATACATAGGACCTTCCTCACTCAAGCTCGTCTAAACATAATGAGCATTCTTTAAACATTGTGTCATTCTGTTTTGTGCTACTTATGTCTTTTGCAAATTAAGTCATTTTTAAACTTTAAGCTAAATGAATATAAATTAAATGTAAGTTGAATACATTTACAACAAAATCATCATTAATACTAAGCGCTTCAACTGCCTCCGGTAGCGTCTTCGGACTTTGTTGTTGAATTAGAGATTGGCTCGCCACCAGCGAGCAGATCAGCGCTTGAAGCTACGGGTGGCACCGTGACCCCAGCTTGAGGTACACTGGCAGCGGCCACCACTGGAACAACTGGTACCATCGGCACAGCCGCTGCAGGGTCCACCCCCGGCGCAGTGCTAATAGTTCTTGCCAGATTCTTCTGCTGGCGCTCGAGCTTCTCCTTCTCCCGGGCCGCTCTTAGTTTCTCAAAGTCATCATTATCATCTATTTCTGCCGCTGTGCTGGCCAGTACATCTGAGCAAGACTTTGTGTCCATATTCTCGACTGCAAATGGATTCAATTTAGTATCAACAAGTAAAGTGATCTTAAACGTTATTAAGTAATACGTGCAATGTCTAGTTAGGATTCGGCGCAAAGTCTTAATATAAATGTTGGATTATGGTACCTATTTGCTATATATACTGTTACCTACTTAAAAATCAAGAATGAGGTCTATTAAATAAATGTAATAAATAAAAACGATAATAGGCGTTGGTTAGTTATACAAATTTGGGCAGCATTTTCAAAACAAAACATGCCAATTAAATCATGCAACAAATATACAAATTTCATTCCGATGTAATCCTCCGGGCTTTTTACATAATTTTAAATTATTTTAATTATTAAATAACTTTCACTACAATAATGTAGCTGATTAAAGTTATCATTGGCGAAGTTATCTGCATGATATAGGTAACCATAATTTGTCCCTTACTTCTACATTTATCGGGATACAATTTGGTACCGATTTTTCTTTTACATATTGTAAGCTCATAGTATGATGACAACTTGATAAAGATCATTTAGGAACGGTTGATTTTATATCATTTTTATATTAAGTGTGAGGAAGTCTACCAGAATAAGAAACATACCGATTAGCTACATATGTATGTATAACAAAAATATGACCTTTTCCTTTTAAAATAATATATAATAATCAATTGTTTGACCAAAAAATCGCGTCAACAAAATATTACAAACATACGAGTATGTATACAAATAAATAAAAAAAGCAACAGAAGGGTCACAAACAATTACGCAGAGCAAGCTAAGTAATAATAACTTATTATGCCAATGGGTCAACATTACCGGGCGTAAGGCGCCACCTGAAAACCTGTGGTGCATCGGGTCTCTCAATCGCTATAAATTTTTGTCGCGTTTACCGAGTGAAGATATTTGTTAAATGTGAGTATAAGAAGCAGGGAGGCATACCAAAAACCAACCCCACAAAGTGGTATAGGGTTGACCACTTACCCGTCTCGCGACTGGCCGCTAATTGACTGCTACGCTCGTAAAGCGACTTGTTGCTGTCACCTACAGGTGAACTGGGGGCCGTGATATCGGCAATCAGTGATGGACTGCCTCCGGGCGCCGAGGTGCTGAGCAAAGCGTCCACGCCTCCAGGCGGAAATAGAGTGGTGTGCGTAGGCTCGTACTGGGACTGGGCTCGTGTATATTGAGATGGGTGACTTGGTATATTCACGGGCTCTGAGCGCTGGGTTGACGCTGGCACTGCAGCTGGCTGTGTCTGCCCAGTGGCTTCGCCATTGGGCGGTTGGAATATATCACGAACATTTGGTCTCGGATCGATGGCGCGCATTGACGTAATGGTGGCCTGCTCGTCCACCTCTTCGATGACCTGGTCTGTTATGCGTAGACTGCCAGCCGCCTTGCCAGCTGATGTAGCTACTCCCGGCAAACTGGCTGCACTTGCACTTGTTGGAAAGCGATATTTGTTAGGGTCTTCACTGGGCGTAGCGGAACCTGGTCGGCTATCATCACGACTTAGCAGGCGCTTTAAAGCGGAAGCTACTGTGTTCACTCGCGACAATGTTCCCGAAACGCTGACCAGACTGGGCGAGGATCCCAGGCGCATTTTGCCATTACCAGCTGAGAAGTGTATGCCACTAGCATCATCGGCCTGATTGTATCCAAATGAATGGGGAAAGAGAAAAAGGGAGTATCTAGGTTAGTTTTTTCTTTTTTGCCAAAACAGCATACAGATTCTATTACACCAAACCATTGCCAAAGGTGCAGTTGTGGGTGCATTTTGAACTGAAAGTTTTATGAAAAAGTCGTGCAGTGCATTTTGTGGTAGTGCCACGGAAAGCTGTTGGTGAAGATCATTGTTAGAATCAAAAGTTAGTATGCATGTGAGAAACACAATCACCGACTAGAACTAAAGCTTGCTTTAGAACTTATTAGCTTATTAGCGACAGTCATTAATATTGTAAGAACCAAAGATAGCTTTTGAGATAACTTTTAGAGAATATCAAAAAAAGAAAACGAATTTTAGAACTGTGTCCAAATGTTTCATCGTAATTAAGTCAGATTAAGTTTAAAAACTACGTTTAAAATTAAATGTTCAAATTAAATCATTCTTATTTGGTAACATCCATGAAACAATGAACACATAAAACTACAGAATTTATAGCTACCAAGCACCATTTTCAACTTCAAATGCCAATGTCTTCCCATAATAATATCCATTTAGGTGTCAAGAAGAAGGTTAGAAAATTTAGTCGTAGTACTTAGTTAAGAACACATATTAAAGCCAATTAGTTGGGATCGGTTCCAATGCATTGTAACGCTAATAGATAATGCAGCCAACGTTCTGATTCTAACCTCCTCGTCTTGAGCACCTTTCGCAAACTCATAAGTAACCGTTTGCGTGGGTGCGCTGCCCTGCTGCGTTTCGGATGCATTTGGCTTGGTTGGACCAGCTGCCGTCGCATTATTACCAACCATTTCATCAATGCGCACAGCCGACAACGTCGAAGGCATAGCCGCATTTTTGGACACCTCGATCTTGGCTGTTGAGGGCTCTGGATGATTCTCACGGAAACGTTCGGCGGCAATGGTGTATGGCAGCTCATTGGGAAACACCTCATCCCAGTACTGATCCTTCAAGAGTTCGGGATGGTCATGATGCATTTCATCCACAATTAAATAGGAAACTTGTAAGTTGCGATCAACCATCCAGTTCACCTATAAAGTGGTCTTCATTAGTAGTTCATATTCGTGAAATATGGGATTTTCCAAGACAAGTTGAAACAGTAAATTTTTAAAAATGTTGAAATAAAACTAAAGAAATATCTGCTGTTCCTTATTACCTGAAGACAATTACCAGCGAGACGCACTTTAGACTTAAAACTCAACCACACTTGCAATAGTACATCTAAATACCATACATTACACATACATTACACATAAATGCAACAATTTCAAAAATTATAAAATTATAATAATATATAATAAGAAATAATAAAAAAAAGTTGTATTATAATAAGAATAATAATTAAAGCTAAATAAAATAGTAAAAAATTCTTAATTATAATATTGATCGTTAAATAAATCTAATTTAAATTAATAATTAACTGAATTAAATTGAAATGATTAGTTTTGGCTAGCGTACTAACTTAAAAGTAATCTTGCAGTTGTAACGCTAGGATTAGTTAATAAATAAATATATAAGTTTAAAAAATAAAAATGGTTCTTAAAAATGGTTCTAAACAAACAATGTACCTCGAAGTCATCATCATCTTCACCAAAGGGATTAATTAGGGACTCCGCCACCTTCAGCCAACCCATATAGAAGAAGAATTGGAGCGTTGTGAATACTGGAAAGTAGAGGTCCACTTTGTTTAGATAGGTGCTGTTGCCAACAACTTTGCCGTCTGTCCACTGAGAAAGAACAAATAAATAATATTTTATAATTTTACTATGTGTAGGCGATTTAGTTGAACAACATACCTGCTGGCCCATCACGCAGCACAGGAAGTATGAATATACGGCAAGGGTAACCACCTGCGTGTATACGAGGGGCACACTGATGGTGTCGTATGATATAAGCAAGCCGCACTGCCCACGAAACTTGTTTAGCTCATCGATAATAGTCTTCACGGCAAAGTCATCACGAATGCGACCCTCCTTTCGGGCACGTGTAATAATACTGGCCGCCCATACAATGGGCAGCCAATGCTTTGAAGGTCTTGGGAAAGCCTTGTTCATGGACTCGATGATCGTCTTTTCGTTCTCGTTGAGCAAGCCCGCTTCCACCAGATTGTTGAGACCGGGGAAACGCTTCTTGACACGTGGCGACACATTGGCCAGCACCATAGTAAGACATAGACATACATATCGCATGATAGTGCGGCGCATGACACGACCGCGCTCATCCTGTCCATGAACGTTGGAGCTGACAAAGACCGCTATGGGATCGGGCCAAGGTATAGAGGTATACTGATTCCACCAACGTGTCATCACAATTGAGACGTAGAAACCCAGCACAAAGGAGAGTGGTATGAGATCACTATACTTGTTGCAATACTCCACAATTGCTTCGAAAGTCCTGTAGAAAGCGGTAGGTAGTGAGAAAAACTGTCTAAATTTACAATGACTTCGACTTACTCCTTCTGCCCAGCATTGAGCGCAAAGCGATACACCAAATTGAGCACGTAGTAGAGAAAAAGAAATGCCAACAGATCCAGCCAGACCAATTTGTAGATACTGCCACGCCATCTGTAACAAGTCAAAGATCAACACATTTAGGGATAATGTTAGATTAATGGCTTCTATTTAAAACTATGTACTATAAATTGAACTAAACCACTTTACCACTAAACCAAACATTAAATTCCAAAGATTATTAAAACAATTCTAAGACAATGCAGTTATCATGATAATTATAGCCTGTACCCAAAGGGTGAAAGGCTATACTAGTTTTGTGCGCATGTATGTAACACACAGAAGGAGGCGTGGCAGACCCCACAAAGTATATATATTCTTGATCAGGATGAGAAGCCGAGTGGATATAGCCTTGTCCGTCCGTCGGTCTGTCCGTCTGACCGTCTGTCCGTATGAACGCAAGGACCTCAGAAAGTATAAGAGCTAGAATAACCAAACTTGGTTTTATTCTCCTCAGACCGAGAAAGTACGAGTTTGAGTTTTTTTTCGATGCACCCCCCACTCCCCTAACTTCCGTAATTTTTTTTAATTTTTCTTTTTTGTGGAGAGTACAGGCTATTTTTCTGTCGGGCTTGCTCGACTGTAGCGTTCTATCTTGTTTTCAATATAGATTTATATTGCGTTACGTTTTAAAGCTAACATTTTAAAGTTAGGAAACACAAAGAAAAAATTGGTAATAGGGCAGTGTCAGGGAAGGACGATGCGGTTTACACGAAAATAAAGAAATATCTGCAGATTAAGATAAGTAACGCATATAGGCAGTTCTAAGAAATTTAAAAATTAACAGCCCAATAAAACTCTTCTTTGTGTAATAAATCAGAAAAACCCCGATGAAGTCATAACAACCGTGATATATTTGAACATGTGGGAAAGCTAAGGTCAGGTGACCCGACTTTGAAATATTCTATACAAAATAAATATATAAGTTTTTATAAAATAAATTATGATGGTTCCTTTAGGATTCCAACTAACGTATATGAATCCATATTTACATCGGTATTGCGTCTCTGTGTGTTTGTAATGTGTGCAGTACAAAGTTGAACTACAGCTGCTGGCAGAGCTTGGCCAGAGATTACATTATACATATGGCTATAACTTTTTTAATAATCGATGTATCACGAACACATAAACTACCAAATTTGAGTAATAAAATTCGAAAAATTATAGGAATTATGCACCATATCAGATAGCTGTTATAGAAATTAACGAACAACTTATATGATTTCAAAGACTTTTAAGCGAATGATTGGCTGTAGAGCAAGCTTGGGTACAGGGTATTCAAGCGTCGGGCTGGCACGGCTTTTTAACGCTCTACTCTTTTTGCGCTTTGGCCTATTTATTTTAATTTAAACCGCATATTAATTTATTGATAGTGTCACTTTTTATAGCCTAATGATTAAGAAAAGCTGAACTAAGCGAACTAATGGGCTACGATTACAAGTAGCTGTGTTTTTCATTCAATTACCATGCATGCTCTGACACATCACCCCATATTAGAATATAGCTCATTCAATCTTATCAAAAATCATCGGCGATTAAAAAACGACCACTGCCATTGACCATGAGATAGCAGTGGCCGCGTTTTTCTATTGCCGCGCGGCATATTGTCTGACATGTGTTTGCTATAATTCCCTGATTGGCTACGTCATCGCAGCATTTGTTATTATGGGCTGCGACCACTTGTTGACTGAGAAAACGTCATAAAAATGTGCTGGGTTTTCACTAGTGTAAACAAAAATAGACCCGATGCCTAAGTATAAGTAATGGCAAAAAAGTGTGACTTTTACCTAAGGTTCTGATTGCTCTTATCATTCATATTGTGCGTGTTAAATATAATAGCAATAGCAACAATAGGTAGTAAATAAAATTTCCATCTTATCAACTGTTTTGGTGTCGTGGATTCCAAGGGTAACATTTCGTCTGTAGTTCAAAATTCTTCGAAATTCTTCTTATGTAAATTTATGGTCTCTGAGTATGCCAACCACAAACATATACTAAGTACATTCGTGAGCTTGTTTTAAAGAAAATATACAAACATACATAATATAAATGAGTCATGATGCTCAAGTATATTAGAGCTTCGCAGTCATCCAAGTATCGCTTATTTAGTTCACGTCTGAAATCTTTCGATTAATTAAGAACCGCATACTGGAGAGCTGCGTCTACCTGGCATCTTCAGTAATGCTGTGGTTATGGATCATTGTGTTTATGTCCCTTTTGGATTAAAAAATGTGGACGAACAGGAAAACAAAATAACCCCGAATGGAATGAGTGGGCTCAACTCTTAAACCCCCCGTACCCAAACCTACAAAAAAGTATTTTTAAATGGCTACATGGACTCGTCTTGTCATACGGATCAGGATTATATATACTTTTGAGTGCAACATTCATTCGCACTAAAGTAGTATACATTTTTACCCTTTGGGTACAGGGTATAAATACTACACCGTTTACCCTTCTATTTTAAAAATAAGTGCTCTTATCAAGCCAATTAAAAACAAGTCTATTTTCTTGGAGAATTTGTAGCGCCGATATAAGCATTGACGTGCATTCTAAGTTAGTGTCGATGATTAAGTGTGAGTCGAAGGTCTGCGAATCTCTTTGTTCAACAGCAGCTCCAAACCGGCCACACGCAAGTCACATGTCTCTCTTTTAATTAGCCAACAAGTGTCAAATGGTTGAAAATTGGTTATTTTGTTATTCCCTTGAGCCTGTTATTTACTTGTATCATTTATTTTATTCATTTATAATGATTGCACAAAGATTTGCAGTTGACAGAACCTTAATTAGATGATCACAACTTCCACTTCCATCAGTCCATTGATTAGTCGCTACTCGCACCATATCAGCCGTCGAATTGGCGTTATCAAGCGTGCCGGGAGGAACAAACCACTAAACATAAAGTACATACATGCAGTAGATACAACTACACAAAGCCCACATATGAGCAATTGCTTCCATTATTAAATTATAATCCAAATTACAAGCGTGACAGATGTCAAATATATGGCAAGCGTTGTAGATTGCATGCAAACAGTTGATATAAGGGTCGGCGAAGGGGGAGATGTTATGGAAACGCAGTTATCAGTTAAATTGCAAGCACTTGTGGATGAACGATCCCACATGGGTTAATACCCACATTAATATGTCTACTAGGTTAACATAGGTTTGTGGAAAATATAACGACATACTATAGAACGAAAGTATAGCGGCATATTCTTGGACATTATGCCAAGTCTGGTCAGCTCTAGAGATATTTAGCTTGTATGTTACTTAATGAAGAAAACAGAAGAAGAATCAATATAGAAAGATGATACTATCAATATAGATTAACTAGATTGGAACACTTTGGAAGCGTTATGGACGTTGGGGCAAAGAATTTAATTATACGGTACAGTTCACTGGGTGTAGAAAAGACTTGGCTGTGATTCAGGTCATAGTAGCCGAATGGCAAATAAAGTCTCCCCATCGAGTCTGAGGAGCCTATTACAAATTATTCTACTTTGATTGGATTTTTCCCACTTTTATATTACTTTACTTATTGTCAGCATAAAATAAAATAAAAGAAATAAATAAAAAAATATAAAGTATAATTATTTAACTATAACTGATATATCCTGCCGGAATCCAATAATTATTGAAGGTCCTCACTTTTTAAGAGTTTTAAATTGCGAAGTGAAGCAAATGCACTACATTTTTTGATAAATGGTTCTAAAATAAAAACAAAATACTGAGACATTTTGTTTAAAGTTGGGGGCGTACAAAAGTTGGGGTGTTTTAGCGGTTTTCAAGGCCAAGTCAACTGCTTCGAGCTTGTATCTCATGAAGAGGTTACTTAGGGGGACAGTCTGAGACGACCCCTTTCAATTTACATTGAAAGCCAACTGTGTCAGTCTCTTAATTAACATTTCGACTAATATTTTCGCACACTTGACAGGTGTCAGGTAAAAAATATAAGAACAAATAACATACTTATGTATGTGCTAAACATTTAAACATCTAAACGAATTCAACTCACCTGAGCAGTAATTTTAGAAAACAGCCAAAGCCGCGGCAAGTGGCTACTTCGCCGGTGTAGGTTATTGTCATTTTTGTTAACTTGTCTTTTGTTTGGTTACGCGGTGAATTGTTGTTGTTTGATTTTTTGTTTTGTTTTTGTTGCTTTTAATTGAGATTACTTTAGTTGTTGGTATTTATATGTTTGTTGGTGTGCACGGCACGGTTTTATCATGCCTCGCGTATTTTATATAAGTACATGATATTGCTGTTTGTTTTTAGGTACTGCCTGTATATGTTGAGCCGCTAAGAAATAAACAAGATAATTATGTGTAAATATATACCTTATAACAACATAGACTAAGTAGTTGGAGTTGTATGTATTTGTGAAATTTGTAATCCAAAATGCTCCGCTTCATTTTTTCATTTCCATATATGTAATATGTATGTATCTAAAAATTTAGTAAATTTAAGCAAGATATATGTTATGTGTTGAGCCAGTCCGACAGGGAAAGATAACAAAATAAACTCGTGTTGTCTAGGGACTAGAAGAGTCTACATACCAAGTATTGTCAACGTGGGTTCATTAATTTTAACAATAATAATTCCAATTCAAATGTTGCACATAAAATTAAGGTTTTCAGTATATACTTGTACATTTATATGCGTTAGTAAGATATGTTTTCTTCATTTTTAAAGTAATGTTTCCTTTTCCACTTAAGCTTATAATTTAGTTTAAGTGCTTAATCTTCGAACGAAAGGTGATAGATAATGAATGATTGATTTTCCAAAAGGTACATTTTGTCTGCTAAACGAACTATTAGTATGAGGCTTATTTCAAAATATGACAAACACACAAATCCACATTTATTCATCATTATACCCTACTGTTCCATACTATCTTACCTCTTTTTAGAAAGCTCTTATCTTGTGATATTTTTAAAAAGTTGTTTATTTTTAAACTTAAATGTTAAAATCGTATATCCTAGTGCTACAGATGCATAACCCAAATCTACCATCTTTAGTTTACAATTTCTGATAAAATTATGAGGGTTTTTATCGCTAAAGCTCTTATAAATAGAATAAAAATGCTCGCAGAGGTGAGTGCTAAAATTTAAAAAAGTGTTGAGCCCCCATTAAAAAAGTCAGTCAATGTCAAGCCACAAGCTGCGTGTTTAATGGCCATCTAACCACATGTAAATACAACGACAGCTGCTAAAATGTATTAAAAATTCAAAAAATCAATATTTTACAATGCAATTATTAACGCGCACAAACACACCGACTATTAGGTTATATGTAATAATAGTTTGCCTGGAAAAAACGTCAAATACACGGAACACAATTGAAAAGCATTACATTTTACTTAACATTTAGAAATGCAACAGTGGCGGGCTGATTAAATTAATTGCCGCAATTTGTGAAATTGTACAGACAATGCACAGTTGGCATACAGAACAGCCTTCCAGCGGATATAGATACCAGTATTATGAGCGTGTCAAGCACATGATGTGAGTTAAAACGCTCGTAGCTTGCGTGTGGGCGAACGTCAACGTCAGCGCTAACGCTGAGCGATGCTGTGGGCTAGTTGGGAAGGTGCCATTGAGGGTCACCAGCAATGACTCCGAACGATTAGACATCAATTAAACAAACCGACATAAAGTTCAATTTTTGTTGGTATGTATAGTGGAATGTTGGAATGGCAATGTGGTTTGCTCTTTAGTCTGCGGGCCATCGACTGAAAACATATCATTGTTGACTCCAGCAAGCCCGACAGTGTAATACCCTGTACCCAGGTAAATTTCCGTCACTGAGTTATATGCGCCGATAGCAGCAGTAAAAAAAGGAAGAAGAAGAGCGAACTTTTTGCTGCAGTTTGGGGGGGGGGGGGGGGGGGGGGGGTTGTACTGGCTAGAATTTGTTTTGCTACTTGTAATAACTTTTCTTAGAATTGACCGAATTGAATAAAATTTTGAACAACAGTCGACAATTATATGTAAATTATGTGTGCAAAGTTTGGTAGGTAGCATTTGGTGGAAGGGGGGGTGGGGGGGGGGGGGGGGGGAATTAAAAAAAAAAACTCGTCCTTTCTCGGAACTAGGAGAATCTGGATGCCAACTTTGGTTATTCTAGCTTTTATAGTTTCTGAGATCCTTGCGTTCATCCAGACGGACAGACGGACGGACGGACATGTCTAGATCGATTTCTCCCGTCATGCTGATTCAGAATATATATACTTTATGGGGTCGGAGGTGCTTCCTTCTGCATGTTACATACTTTGCACAAACCTAATATACCCTTTTTACCCTATGGGTACAGGGTATAAAAATTCGTATATATATGTGTATATAGGTATAGTACAGATGTGTGCCAAGATGAGCTCACTTTGTTTGTATTTTGAGTGGAAATGATGAGTACACATGTGAAATGCTGATCCAAGCGTGCGTTCGAGCGTCCAAAAACTGCGCTGATTTATTTGACTGCGGAAAAAAAACAAAATACAAACGCAACCGAAAACGCGGTACAATGGTATGGTAACTATAAGACTACGGTATACTCTGTACTTCGAATTATTGCTCGATTACGAACTTGTATAATATCATTTCATATCAAGGGGCATAATATTATTACAAGTCTGAACCATCTTTCTTATGATAACTATGTACATCGACTCCATTTACAAAGGGAAAATTTTGATAGAAATCATTTCTCTGCCAGCTGATGAATTATAGAACAATTTTGCATCAGCAAATATCGATTCGTTGCATTTAACTGTGTATATAATAAAATGATCAGTTTTAAAAGCACAAAAGTAAAGAAATATATATTTGTAAGTATAACACTTAAACAAAAATCACACAGAGCTCAAATAATATAGTTTTATCTATAACATTTCCTTTTTATAATACTGGTAAAGCATTTTTAATATAATAAATATTATGTTAATATAAATATATTGAAAATATCCAATATAAACCATCAATCAAGGGAATAACAATTCGATAAAAACAACTCTGATCTCTACAAGTATTGTATTAGTTTATTGTGGCATACACCCGGCTATATTTGAAATACCCTTTGTAAGGGTGTAAAACACAGAACCATAGAACTAATGAACAATCGAACCCGACAACTCAAATCATGAATGTGTTGGTATAAATGTGTGTGTGTGTGTGTGGGCTTTGCAGTGTGTTTAGTGCGAATCGAAAATTGTCTGCGTATTTGTTATGTGAGCCCGGCTTGGAGCCAGCAGAATGACATCATTTCGGGTTACCTTACAGCGTGAACATGGTCCGATTGTGAGGTACATATATAAAGTATATATTTATTCCGTCTATCCGACTTTTAATTGTTTTGATGTTGTTTTTATTTGTTAACACTTTTTGCAGGCAAATAATGGTAAATCACAATGAAAATTAGTGTCGGCAAGGCCTGATTATACACAAGAGCTTGTCTGATTACTTACTCTATATATGAGATTTTTAATGTATTGTTTGATTAAGGACCTAGATTGTGTATACATGTCTGTGCACAGAAATTTGATAAGCATAGTTTCTTAAGGCCAAGTCGGAAATTGATAGAAATTAGTTGTTTGTCAAATGTCTAGAAAGTTGAATTTAATTAGCGTTTTGCGTAAAACGACATTCGTATAAAGCCATTAAAGCATCAACGCAGACCGATAAGAAGCGAACGGAATGAAAAGCAAGAGAAAATAATTATCATTATTTACTCTTTACTAATGATTCATGAGTGATACTCATTCATTTTGAAATATCATGTGTTTCAATAGATCAACAATAGCAGCTCATTATTTTCTCGTCTAGGATCAGCATATGAACATAATAGACAATATCTAGAACTGATTATGAATGTCACTCAATTACTTTTAAGTTGGCGACACATTTTTATTTAGGATAATACCATTCACCTATTATGCACGCTTCGCACGTCTCAAGTTTTTATTTGCATTACGGCTGTTGCTTCGTAACATTACGATGTTTTCGAAGCTGTGAACCTAGATTTGTACTTAATAGGTATCTAGTTTATTTTCCTAACACAGGCACTGTGTTCCCATTTATTTTTGCCAAGGGCACGTTAGACGCTAGGTTTCTATGCCGAATATGATCATGACATGGTTGAGTGATAAGATTTCTCTGAATTTTTACGTAATTGGGTGGAGTGCGCTTAGAGTTTCTACTCCGTAAAAACATTAAATATTTAATTAGCACTGGGCGATTTTTGGATTCGATTACAATACGGGAAGCGGCGTTTGTGTGAGCCACAGAATTTTAAAGTCGTACGTTTATTGTTTGCACATTCGTGTTCATGGTTATAAAAAAAAAAAAAATAGAAAAAGAAAAAATTCACATAAACAATAATAATAAAGTTGTGTCAGCATACTTTTTGCATCAACAATTTAAGTGTATTTTTCTTTTCCCCTATATGGTGCGTACAAATCACTCGAGGGACGGTTGTTTATTCAACAAACACTTTCATACGATATGGAGACTCTCAGCCCTGCTGATAAAAAAGCGCAGTCAGCACACCCGTTTAATTCAATATAACTGTAACTGACCTCCTCTTAACAGCATGAGGGTGAGTGCGTCTGTGTGTAAGTGGGTGATTTGTTTGAAGATTGAGTTCTTCTCACTTTAGTTTATGGAACAGTGCGCAATTAAATTGTGGCGCAACTCGGTCAAGTGTTTGCAAATTGCAAACTTCAATGACCCATTTAAAAAGGGAGAGTATTAATAAACAACGATAAGATGAAAAAAAAAGACACCGAAGCCTATTCAGTTGACATTAGCATAAAAATAATGTTGCATACTAAATGAAACACTCAACCATTCGAATTAATTGCATTTTCAGAATCGAGAGTCTCGTCGAGGTTAATGACATTATGTTGAATGAAAATATGTGAGTTGTGCAACTTGTCGAACAGCTTAAACGACGCGTGTCTTGATGCCATAAATAAATTAGAATTTGCATTGCACAGAAAATTTGAATGTCGGCAAGGTATTTGAATGAAATTGAGTACCTAATGACAATTTCCATATAGCAATTGGCGACGTGCAGGGCATAGCAAATTTTTAGCATTTTATTTATTTATAATGTCGGCGCACTTTCAAATGCCGCATTGGGCAAAGTTTCAGGGAAGAGAGGACAGTGTTTAAAAATAAACATGGACGCGTTCACTTTTGCAGCTGTATGTATGTATGTACATGTGTGTATGTCGGAATATGCTGTGTGTACTGTCTGTAGTAATATTAGTTTGTTGTTGTGCTGAAATTGCACATTTTGACCACAAAACGATGAGGTGACTCATTGAGCGTTAAAGGGATATGAGATGTATCTGCAGAGCCAACAGAAATGAAATTAGCTGCTTTGTGTTATTCATATTAATAATAATTTGTATTCGTTGGCATTTTCAGTTTTAATTTATTTGTTTCTTTTACTCGTACAAACTTTGCCTTCTATCAATCGATTGTAGTTTCAAGGCATCATCAACTTTGAAGTCACGAGGTTTTCGGCATGACTTTTGTTATTGTTGTTTTTCGACTACACATTGTTATTAGGCCGCGCGAGTGGAACTTACGTTTGGTAACTAAAATTAGTACGTAGGTAACTACGAATCACAAAACATACGAAATAATAGCAAACAAAAACACATCACAACACAGAAACTCCGGTAACTTCGCTTTAGGTAAACGAGGCAGCAGCGTCAACACTTCTATTCCGCCAACAACAAACACGCGCTCTGCCTGCTTCTTTGTTGTTTTTCTTGGTTTATTTTGCTTGGCTTTTTATGCTTCACTATTTTTACGCCGTCATTCTCACAGTCATTGAAGTGGACGCCATGCCTGTCAGCCATTCAAACAGTTCGTATGTTCCGACTCGGTTTTCGCCCACTTCCGTGCTCAACGACCGACGACTTTCAACTGATTCGCAAATTCCCTATGAGAGCATGCAAAACTAAGTGCCGCAGTGGTTCACAGATAGCCACAAATCGGCAGCTGCCGGACGAGAATGAAAGAGAGAGAGAGAGAGCGAGCAAAACAGAGCGAATCAAGCAAGAACAAAAACTGGTTGTGAGCGCAGCACAGCGATAAGCTCCGGCCAGGGGTGTAATTGGCTAACGTAGTGTTGGGCCCAAAAGTATACAGTTTTATATAAATTAAATGGATATCTTTTAATCGGAACAGTGTAGGTGGAAATAAGTTTTATCAGTAGTTATTATCTTTTTTAATCAAACCTCACTTTCAATGCATGAGTCAGCCCTTTAAAAATAAAATCTTACTCGTACCCATACATATGTAGCATACTTTTAGGCATTAACATTTTCTGCAATCTGACTGATACTGTTAATACGGGGTTGTAAGATGTGCTTAGCATCAAAATATTCGGCGTATGCCCTAAGGTAGGCAAGTGTTTTAACAATTTACAGGCAATTGAAAAAAAAAGTAAATGATATGTACAACTTTTCTCAGATATAAATGTATTTCAATTTAAAATATCAACATGTTAACAGTATCTCTAATAAATATTTCTGTCAAGCAGGAAGTATTAGATACTGGCATTTCATTAAGTTTCGTTTTGAATCTGTATGTAATTTAAGCTTGAATGAAGAGACTTCGATTTTATGGTTTTAATTACATTTATTTCTTATTTATAAATTAATTCACGATATACACACATCAAATGTTTGCTTAATGTTTTTTTCACGAATTCGTTTTAAACTTTAACTCGCTCGCCTTTTTACAAGCACTTGAAACATTTCGCTAACAGACATTCTTTCGCACTTATGGTAGACTAATGACTTATGTTTAGTTAACTTTTAAAATTAATTACATTTTTTAAAAAATGTTGTAAAAAGAACTTTAAATTAGTGTAATGTTTTGTTGTTTTAGTATTTTACATTGGCGACATATTTTATCTTAATTTTGTAGAGCAATTTGGAAAAGCAAAAGGCGGTTGTGCGCATTTAATTAATTATGTACATTTGAGACTTAAGTGCAAGGGGAAAAATAAGTATGTACTAAGAATTTGCTTAGGTTAGAGACATAGGTAGGACGATAGGTATAAACATTAATATCAATTTTGTAGTCGCTAACTCCATTAATATCTATTATATATTACTGGGCGGTCCGCGATGGGCGCGCTGTCCATGTAAACCGGAATGTCTAGAGCCGGGTCGCGAATGTACAATTGCATAATCGTTATCAATTGGTATAGACCTTCAAAGTATGTACGTTGAATGAGTGGTTTGGTTGGAATACATACAAGTATAAAGATATGCGATAATTTATGCGAAATTTCTATTTTTAAGGCAAGTCAATTGTAAGTATAATTGATTGTTAAAAGATCTTTGAGGTTGATGGTTAGCTTTTTGGGGGCGGGGCTGCGGAAATGGTTCGAGATTTAAGTTTAGTTTTAAAGTTAGTTATAATCATAAACAAATGCAAATTAATAACGGTTAATTACAGTTGCATTACTAGGCACGAAATATATTCTTTTTGTTGCTTTTCATTCTTTCTTTCTTTTTTAGATTGGTTTTGTGAACACAAATTGTGTTGTCTTCTTGTCGTTTGTAAAATTGGTCCAGCAGAAGGCGGGCACATCAGTTGGGTTAAAAAAAGATACAACCAATACGATACAGAGGTACAATACAAAGTTTTTGTAGGCATGCTTTTTGTGTGTGTGTCGCTCCACAGCTACCGGAAAATTTGTGATAGGAGAGCAGAGCAGAGCAGAGCAGCGTACTGCTTGTATTTGTAGATGCAGTTTGGTTTTTGTGTATGTAGAACAGTAGAGCGAGCTTGTGTGTGTGTGTGTGTTGAAGAGCAGCTTAATATCTATCAGACCTATTTGAGTGTATCGTTGAGCCACCGCTGGTGTAGCCCTTATGCGCATCTCGGCCGTGCAGCGAGTACCGCGAACCATACTGACTTCCATGCCAGCTGCGATATGGATCGTATTCCTCAATAATGGAGGGCTCCTTCTCGATGATCTGCGTAATTCAAGTGCGAAAGTAATCATTTATTTGTGCATCTAACAGATATATTTGCAAACTCACCTCTGTGTTGGCACAACTGCAGCTCATGGCCGTGCAAAGGAAAATGTTCATGAGCAACATGATGAGGAACAAGACGCCCAGAGTGATGGCCAGCCAAAGTAGCCAGGTGGGTCTGATGCCCTCGTCACAGTTCGACGAAATCACTGAAGAACATATTAAGTATATAATTCAAATTCAATTCATCCTTTGCGTCCTTTTAGACTTACAGCGCGCCTCGGCTGGATCTAATACAAATACAGTGGTGCCTGCTATGCTGGAACCTTCTTCATTGGGACCTAGCTTACGCTGTCCATTGCTACCCTTGGTAAAGCCGGCCAGAGCTATATCGGCGCTGCATTCATCGAACTCTACACAACGGCCATAACATTGTATGACATCGCACTGTAAGTGCACTTCGGAGCCTGTAATTGATAATAGGTACAGTCGAATGAGTCAACTAATTCACAATATTTGTTAGTTACACATTTAGGTTTATTCGGACAATATACGAACAGCTAAATTCAATTCAATTAATTTGTAGAGTGGTGTATATATTTTGTAATTATTTTGATTAAATTATACCTATATTACACTATAATTGGTATTTCTAAGATATTTTCCTCCGGGTATGATGCGAAGATTATTTAATATACATTTTTTTCTATTTTATTTTCATTTTTTATTCAGAATATTAACAATAATTCTGTCGTGCAATTCACTGTCCATTTTCGATGATTCTTATTATGTAAATCGAAGCAATAAACAATTCTGTTTCACGAAAGTTCAATATTCGGTAGATTGAGATTATTACTAGACTAGTTTCATCTTAATATTGTTACATTTATATTAATATTTTTCCAAGAATTCTCAGAGAGTGTTATGAGGAAATGTTGCCATAGGCTGTCTTTTGTCACTTGAAAGAACTAGAGTTACAAAAAAGTGGTCCTTTCCTCACATCCGTAAATATTAGTAATGCGTATTTGGATATAGAAACATACATTTTCGATTGGCAATGCTCTTACCTTCAGGAAACTTGAACATAGAGGTCAAAGTTGCCTCAGCAGCACGTCCATCAGCAGTGGGCACGAAACGGCTGATAAGCTGAGAATCGTAGGGACAGCTGTAAACATAAATACATTATAATTAGCTTCATTCCAGAATGTAATGCACACACACATACCCGCGTTCATCTGTCAGCTTGAGTGTGATGTTCTTCTTGTCGAAGGCAAAACAATTGCCCACACGCAGGCCATATGTATCTGTAAGTAATATATGGAGATGCTTAGAATGATGTCTAATGAGTGTCCGGGGAATACCCACCATTGGGCTTAGAGAACTCGGCGCGTATCTTATACTGATGTCCATAGACCGTCTCACGCACGCGGTGATCATTTTCAAGAAACTTGAGCACAACATGGGCGTTGTCATCGCTGCAGGGTGGGTAAGCATGAAGTGGGTATTAGCTAACGGAACTCAAGCTGCGCTACAATTAAGTTTTCGCATGCACTCGCTAATTAAATGCGCAACCAATAGACCAAAAAGTGCAGGCGGTTTCAGTTCGCTTGCATTTCGATCAGACCGAACAGAGTATTATGCAACTGCCGGTCATTACGTTATAGACAGTTGCGTTTTATGGCATCAAAACATAAATTTTTTCTATTATTTTTTTTGTATTTCGCACTAACACGTTTAACGTTTTGGCTTAGATTTTCATTTGCGGATTTTTTTACAATTTCTTTCTTGTTATTTTCTGAGTTTTACTTCGTATGGTTAACAGAGCGCAGCTTTTTGAAAAAGCATTTGTAACTAGGTATTATTTGTGCTGCAGATAAACATTGTGCATACACGTCTATTATTACATTGGGTGCAGAAAAAAATTTAACACACGCATCCTCTAAGCCAGTTCATAAAGATAGTAAGATCGGTAGCTTATCAATCATCTTAGCTTTTTTAATTATTTAAGTATTTGTCACTCTTTTCTAAATACATTTTAGTTTATTTTATTTTATTTGTCAAGTGCAATATTATTCACTTTCCATTTGAATGAGAAAATTCGACAATTCGGCAGCTTGTGGGTCACTGCTTGGGCAAGGCAATATTCTGCATTATGATTAAAGTTTTAGCTCACTCTTTTAACTGTTTCTGTAAAGCGATTTTAAATTGTAATCCCTTTCCACATTCCACTTCCTTGTTATCTTTGTTAATCTCATATCTTCTATTTAATTATGTTGTTCGTCTATGTAATTATGTTGACAATTAAAATGATTTTTGTTGATTAAAAGACGAATTGAAAGTTAAATAATATAATAAACTTTATAATACTTGTAATGGTAAGCATTAAACTTTTCTTCTACAACCTTTTTTTGAATTAAAAATGCACATTTTTTCCAAAGCTCGTAATTACATACATATATGGCTGCCACTTAATTTTGAGTATGTGGCGAATTTGAATAAAGAGCCTCAGCTGCTCGTCTACTAAACAAAAGACTTAGGCAACGAACTTGCGTAACTGCTAGTTTAAATGGCAGTGAACCATAGTCAATGGCTTTCTACTTGTAGTCGTATGTGTGTATGTATGTATGTATGTACGTATGTATGTACGTATGTATGTAAATTTCAGCGGGCCCAAATAGAATTGTTCGTGCAATTAAAGATTTAAATCTACAACGCTCACACGCAGCGTGCTTATAAATAATTTACCGTTAATTGAACTGCAAATAACAAAAGTAGAAACACAAACTTGGCGCTTTTCGTGTGCTCCAAAGAAATTCGAAGTGATTGAGAATGGGCTAAGAAGCTGAAAAAAAGGCCATAGACAAACGGACTGAGAGACAGACAGGCAGACAAACAAACAATTGAGGTAAGCGGGCTTAATGGCCTTGAGTTCTACTTAGCGTTAGGTTCTAGGAAAACCAAGTAACAATAAAGGCGCTGGCCAACACCTACATACCACTACATACGTATGTTACATACATATGTGCAAAAGATAAACATACATACGTACATGTGTACGTACGTTCAACATAATTTGCTCTTTGAATTCATTTGTTGTGTGCCGCCTAAACGAGTTTTGTAGTTCATTTATTTCTCTACTTTTTTTTTTTGAACAAAATTCGCAACGCACACACAAATAGAGACATACGAGTACATATGTGCCTATATAGAGATACATAGCGCCCAGTTTGTAGCACTTGAGCGTCAATCGCATCGCTTGGATGCTCTGACGGAAGTGCCACCAAATTACATGCTTCATCGTTTTAACAAAATAACTTTAAAATTTTAGGTGCAATTGAGCGATGCTACCATAGACTTACCGTGTAAAGCCCGATTTGCCACAGGTAATCACATAAAATTTATCATCGGCCAACTCCAGAGTCTTGTGCACACGCACTGCCAACTGGATGGAACGCTCCTCGGTACGCTGTGTGAATGAGGCCAAGAGGAGTGAATGAGTATTAGTATTTAAGTCGTTTGCAAGCCGGGGTTGGGTATTAAAATTTTACAACTTTATGCGCATGACGTTTATGTTGATTAAATTTTAAAGCCGCATTAATTAACTAACTACAGGCGTTAAGCAAAATGCCCTTTTATTTATGCTCTAGGGGTTTCTTTTGCAAAAGTGCCACTTGGTTTTTATATGCGTACAAGTTTTTATTGACATGAATACCTAAGCAAGTCAAAGCTGATCACACTTGATGTGATGGGATACGCTCTACTTTACCGACTCCAACTGATTTATTATCAAGATCTGTTTCCTTGTAACTTGGTATTATACATGGAGTTTTTAGAGTTTTTAGAAACTAGTGTTTTAAAATATTAGAATTAGGCGATTAATCATTTCTCGTATGTGATTATTTTAACAAAGTTTGCTTCTGCTTTTTCGTCTGTATAGCAGTTAATAGTGTGGATTAAAAAATATGCCTAGATATGAACATTTAAAATTTGGTTTCAAACAGAAACAAAACAGAGAAGTTTTTCCATGGCAAGTATTTGATTTTGATGTTATCATGAAATAAATCTCTACATTTTTGCTTTTAATATACACGCGTCGACCTTTATGAAATGCGTACCACACCTCCAAGGAAAAGAGGACATTTGTGTAGGTCAATAAAATTTCGTGCATATTCAAAATAAATCGGGGAGAAAGAAGTTCAAAAGATTTCTTAAAAATCATTTGGTATTTTTTTTTAAATTTATAAATAAGAGATTGAAACGTGGTACATATTTTCATATGTGTACTGATATCTATCTAGAAACAACTGTAATAGAATTTAATTTAAAGGAGAGACGTAATGCGCCGTTTTTTGTCTTAAGCGAGAAGATGATGAAGCTCACTGTTAGGCTGTGCTTGCGAAGCGTATAGGAAGTCGCCAGGACCCTGCAGGTTCTCTTTAATTGCCTTCTATATATGTAAGAGTTTATTTCTTCTTTTATGCGGCTTTATCTGATAGTCAATCGCTTAAATTTTAATTAAAACATAAGCTTGAATGATTGAGCTATCATTTGTCAAAAAAAAAACCAAACCTAAAATAAATGTAGCTTGGCATTGTACTCTTTCTCCTATACATAATTAATGAATAAATACATTTTCCCTTTGGCTCTAATTTTACATAAAACTTTTGGACAATGCTTCCTTCGTTTATGGTAAATTTAAGAAAAACGTGGAATAAATGGGTAGATGCTTAAGTGGAAGATTTTCCGATGTCGTGTGCAGACAAACATGCCTTTATCGACTTGGCATTTAAAGTTATTCAATGCAATGCCTTTCCTTCCATAAGTCTAATATACTCTTTGTCCCTTTGGGTGTAGTGTATACAATATAGGCGGTACCGCTGTTGCAGCCGCACATTGCAATCTGCAAGTTGCACTTGTGGCACGTTAATTGTCACATGATGTAATCGTGCTGCCTTTGCCAGCTCTCTTCGACAAACGCCGGACCGCCAACAAGGAAATGGCAAATGCCGCCAAGTGTGACGTTGCTGGCATACTACAGTATACATATCTATCTATATATATATATATATATATATATATATATATATATATATATATATATATATGTGTGTGTAGATACTTGTAAGTGCAAGGCAGTCCACACTAAACATATTTTCCAGCTGTTTATTTTCTTTCTAACAATTTCCTTTCTGTTGTTTGTTTTTTGTTAGCGCATTTGTTGTTGTATGTTTTATTTGTTGGGGGAAATTACAACTGAACTTCATTGAAGCTTATGCTATGCATCAACTTAATAGCTGCAATGCCGCCCCAGACGCAACCGACGCCACAATTTAATGAGTTGGTTTCATTACCTGTAGCAGTTTTGGTTGCTTTTTTGTTGTTGTTTTTTGTTGCTATTGTTGTGGCCGCGTGGTGTCTAGTGTGTGGTAGGTAGATGGTAAGTATTATGCTTTTCCGTACATTTCGGTAATTATATGTTTTCATTTCATTTTTTCTTTTCCAGCTACAAGTGTATATGCCAACGTTTTAATTGTGCAACGACATGTAACTGTCTGGTAGGACCACAAGCCCATACCACACTCGACGGCCAATGGCAGTGGAAGCCACCTGAGGCTGACTGGCTAGAAATTCTGCGCATGGTTTAATATGCACTCGCTCTTAAATACATAACTTAAAGGCATTTCAATTGCCTAACCTTAGATTGCATAATACCGAGAAACGGTTTACGAGTATGCCGATAATGGAGGTTTAATAACTCAATTTAAAAAACTGAATTGGATGCGCTTCAGCTGTTCACAGGCTTACGTATGAGCGGAATTTTAAAATGTCTGCCATCATCTATATTTGAAAGAAATTGAAAAATGTTATGGAATTACATTTTTCAAGTGTTGGGAGTGGCGAAATCTTCTTTAAGTTAAGAGAAAATATATATAATATAAAATGTTCATTATATTATGTTTATGAAAAATAAATAACCAGATTTGTTAGACCGTTTCTTGTAATTTAAATTTATATAAATATCATTTTTATCAAGCAATCGGCGTTTAATTACATATCTAACAGCCTAAGCCAAAGTATTTATATATTTAAATGATGCTTAGGAATTTGGTCAGTATCTATAACTTAACTAAGTATTTTAAAAGAGCTGGGAGAAATTCCTGACGAGAGCTGATATTAAAATATCTGTTTAGGTATACTGCTACTATTTTATTTTCCACATTCTACATCCACAAACAAGTATTACATACATAAATTTACCTCTTTTTTGCTAACTTTCAAAAAAATTCTTTTTAAAAATGGGTAAATATGTCATATTTATAAATGTATATACACTATGATACTAACTAAAATAAAATAAAATACTCTCAAGTTCTTCATTGAAATAACAAGCCCAGTTTGAAGTCAATTGAATGAAAAATGCAAATATGTTTAAACCCGTTTTTCCCACTCGGATTTTACAAAATCGCTTCTAAGTGGTCATTTATATAGTGTTAGGAAATTTGTGTCTAAATTGATGATCAACAATGTTTATGTTTTACTTGCAAATTAAACCAGTCCTTACATCCATTCGTCCTTGCCCTTTTTTTTTTGGCTTTTTCACCGAAAAGTCGAAGATTAAAGTAATTAGCTGCCTATTGGTTGGGTATTAAACTCAATTTGAAAATATTCTTCGAAATAATAATAAAATAAATAAAATATATATAAAATAATTGTTTATAGCTATAAATAAATACTCATTTCTGAAAAAAATACTTCCACGCCATAAACATTTTTGCGCAGCTTCCTTAATGAATATGACTACAATATTTACATGGCTGTTGTTGTGCATTATAATGAGAGTTCTGGCCTTGACCCGCAATCATCAGCTTTGGGCGTCATGTAATGTTAATTTCTGTCATAAAAAAGGCCATGTAGTTGACCGGCTGTGACTGCTTTACATAGTAGGTACGTAGTCATATACATTTATAGCCAACGATTATAACACTGCACTTTGTGGCTTACTTCATTCCATATTTAATTTTAATTTCAATTGTTTTGTTTTGCTTTAAATGTTTTCTTCTATTTATATTTGCTGCCCCCATAAACCACACTATAAATGCTGACAGCAGCGGCAAACAGCTTGACAAACCGGTTTACTTACAAACATTTTATTTATTTTAGCATTTTTATTTAGTTTATAAAAACCCACGCATGTCACAGCAAAGAAAAAAAAACTTGTATTATGCAGTAAATGGTTTTTGTGCTGTTATGAATGAACAACTTATGGTTACAGGCGTTTAACTTCTTGAGCCGATCGATGTATTACTTGTATTATTTGCTGGCTTCAAGCGTTTTTAGTCATGACTCAGCACCATTAGTTTTTAAACGGTTAGCAACTCTACAAGTACACCACATAAGTGCCCAGGAGTACTTCATATATGTATATACGAGCATACATGTATAGGTGTATATATAAATACCTCATACAGCTGCAAAACACAAAGTTGGCAACAATATTTATCAACATAAAGAAGAAGCGGCCGAGGTAGATAGAAGAAATTATAGGAAAAAAATGTGGCGGCAACATGGCAAATTATGTCACAATTTGTTGGCCAGCTCATACATCGTTGAGCGAGCGAGCGACTTAATAACAGCGACAACGTCTGCCAACTGGCAGATAAAATGACGAGCTGACGTTAAAATGAAGCTGCAGACACACGCAGCAATTGCAGCAGCGGATGAGCTCATTATCAAGTTATTATCAAACAAACAAACAGACAAACAGACAAACAGACGAGCAACAAGTTGAGAAAATGGCAAAGTTGATTTTCCATATGAGATGTGTGTGGCTGTTGAAGTTTGTTGTTGTTGTTTTTGTTTTTTTTTTTTTTTTGCTGGCTGAGTGCGCAGCTGTGTCTTGGCAAGTGTTGAAATTGTTTAATGGCAAATTGACGTACTCGTACTAAATTTTTTTGTGCAATTTCAATTAACATTTAAATGTCTATAATGACGCTAGACAAAGAACCATATCAGCTACAAACACACATACTTGTGCACGCAAGTGCTTACTCGCATAATAAACATAATAATTAAATAATGACAAATAATTTGCGAGTGCACAGCATTGAGCCAAATGTAATAAGACAATGTTTGTTTGTTATAACAAATAAGTTCAAGTACACAAAAGTCAGCCAACAATGAGACCGCAAATAGTCGTAACAATGGCTTGAACTCTATGCAAAATTGTTACTATTGCTGCTGCTGTTGTTGTTGTTGTTGCTGTTGTTGTTAGGCTTGTTGGCGGCTTGGGCGTATTACCATTGTCGATGTGCAATTTCATGCTTTGCCAGTTGCTGCTCAGACTGGCGTTACAGCTTTGCCATATGAACAATATCAGATACTTATATACATACTTGTACTTAGAAGCAAGGCAGAGTTTTGCAGTCAGCTGCCCACAACTACAAAAACAAAAAACAATAACAACAACTTTAGACTTCAAGGTCAGCCGCTGGGAATTATTTGTGTAGCAAACGATTAAAAAATGCCGAACGAAAATATTTTTGCGAAGCGCTTTGCAATGTTAAGTCGAAAAGATTGCCATAGGCCGCCAACTTAAGAAACAAATTCTTTTGACACAAATACCAAGCACACGCACACGCACAACAACAACAACAACAACAACTACACCAAGTAACATCAGCAAGTAACAAGAAAAGGGAATGCTGTCAAAGTCAAAAGCGTGGAAAGCCTTGTGTGTGTGTGTGTGTGTGTGTGTGTCTGGGCATGTGAACTGTCTGCCCTGCTCGTCCAGACGCCGGCGCGTTGACTGCCGGCCTGGCTTGGCCCTGCCCGGCCCGGCCCGGCATGGCTGGCTGCTGCCTTCCCCGACTGACGACACTCCCAGACGAAAATAAACCCAGCTTCAGTTGCGATAAGCGTGATTTAATTTTATGGGGGACCTCCCTTTTGGCCAGACCCAAGAGCATACTCGTAAGAAGCCCAGTGGGAAGACGAAGCAGGCGAGCAGAAGGTGGGCCAAACGCTGAAATAAGTCTGCTAAGCCTATGTACAGACATTAATGGCTACATAGTAAATACTGTTATATATAAACAGTGAATATCATTTAAAATTACTAATGAAAAGTAAATGTAAACTTTTTCATTCAATACAGAAAGATGTAACAGTTATTTAAAAAAGGAATTTGCATAAAAAATGTGTATAAATATTATTATTATCTATCTATTTTCTATAAATCTATAAAGCCATTCAAAATAGCTAAGTATTTCAATCTTCTTGCACGTAAAATGTCTCCGAATTGATGTTTTTTGTAGGCGTTCTCTACTTTAGTTATGGGTTGGTAAGCCTGTGGCCGCAGTTATTTATAAATTTTGGATACAGGGTGCGGTCTGCAGGCCCCGATTTGACATTGCAATTAATAATGTTGTACAACATGACGGCTGTGCGTTGCGCTGATAATTTGCATTTTAACACGTTGCCTTATGAAAGCCCCCGAAGTGTGCTGCCCAACTATGCCACATGGACACACACACACACGTACATATGTGCGAGTACACGTAACGGCAGCAACTGCAGCTAATGCGATTGGCCCGACCACGACTTGAAGTGGAACTGCAACTATTGCTATAACTACAAATGGGATTGAGACTGCGATTGCAGCTGCCATTGTTTGCAGGTTACCCACACGTAAGACCGCCGCCTGTCAACGCCTGTGATGCATGTAGGATTAAACTTGATTTTTATTACCATAGTTACTATATAGACCTGACGTCGCCACTTCCCTGATTTGCGTTGATTTGGGGCCAAGACTCAAGTACACGAGAGATACGCGCGCGCACATAATTTATGCGCATGCGTGCCCTTTAAGCAGCGCAGCAGCACGACGTCAACGTCAACGCCGGCGTCGACAGATCGAGGTGCAGACATTGTGGCAAGGTCTTAGCAATTTTCAACGCGACTCGCGACTAACAACTGTCAGTCGAGTGTTGCGGCGTTGCTGTAAAATAGTTTTGCTTGTGTTTCCCACCGCTAGCGCTTAAATTGTTTTTCGCAAATGTTTTCAGACTTTTCCAGTCGCAAATTGTTTGTGTCCAAGTCGCATTGCATAAGCTGCACAATTTTCGGCAACAGGCAGCCTTAATTTGCGCTAATTTGTAAATTGCACACAATGGTGATGGCGCGGCAAAACTTCAAAATTAATTTGCGGCTTGTAATGCTTATATAACGAAAGACTTAGGAAACAAACTTGCTTATGCATAATACAATATTAAAAGTTTTGACTGCACAAATTAAGCTATAATGCGAATTTCAAATTAAAGTATATATGACATATATTTTAGTAACTGTACATTTTAAATTTGAGAAAAAATATATAAAATATGAAGAAATTGGGACTTTTTCTTTAGTTTCAAATGAAACCTGTTAAATTTTAATGTTGGATTGTTCTGCATCTTTCCAAAACTCCCTTAATCTCTTAAATACAGAATTATGTACATATTTATAAGAGGAACAATTTGAATTTCCACATCGGACCGGCATTAGCATTTTACTCATTATTAGGAAAATTCAATATTTACGCCGCTAATTCTTTTCGGACTTTGGAAAAAGTCACGTAATATACTTGTAGATTATCGGTTGAGAACCAGTAAATATCTTCTACTCTCGATTTGAAAGCATTACTAATAATAAAAGTAATAAACACACGAATTTATACTCTTTTCAATCCACAACTTATGGCGAAAATGGCAATTTTCTGAACACACCGATAGAGGGATATCGCTCCTGAAAACGAATCTTGCAATGATTTGAAACTAGCCGAAGAACGATTATACATAGAACCTTATACACTATACTTCAAATTAAATAAAGGAAAGGTTGGCACTATATAAAAGTATGTAACTAACGATTTACTAATACTATATCGTTCGCTGACTCTCTTCTGCAGTAAGTAGGTTGTAGTTAATGTTTAGTATTGTTAAATGAACCAAAACAGTTATGCTTACATTGTGTCCACTCACGTTGCTGACCAATATGCCACAGTAGTCGGGTGCGCCTTGCTTGGCCCATAGATTGAGGCTGAAGGCCACGGCATCGCTGCCATCGCCCATTGTCATGCAGGCCTCTGTCCGGTGATCCCGAGCATGTACAGCACCCGTGTAGCCGCTGCTGAACTTCACTTTGATGTTCATTGTGCCCGCCTTGCACGTGGCCGTAACGTGCGGTGCGAATTCATTGGACGCCGCTGGTTCCTGTGTGGCCACCTGTCCAAGAGAGATAGAGTGAGAGAGAGAGAGCAGAAAGTGCGATTAGTTTGTGTACAGGTAGCCGAAATGGTCAGCTATTGTTGGTAATATCTTTGACCCACTTCAGGCCATGGGAATATTTGTTTAGTGCTGACCAAGAAGTGGGGGAAAGGGGAGTGGGGGAAGTATGCTGCAATAAATCATTGCGCAGCTAAAAACAAAATTAAAGCAACTCATCGTCCATTTGAAGCTCCAAGAGAATTCAAATGAATTTTAATGGCGAGCCAACATCGAAGTCAACTAGTCGCAATTAATTTCGAAAGCTGTCAGGGAACAGCGAACAAAACGCTTAGAACTTTGGGCCGCGTTGTTGCACGTTTTGGGTCAGCTTCAGTGCCACCTTCAGCTCCAGCTCCAGCTCCAGCTTCAGCTCAAGCTGCAGCTCCACTTAAGGTTTCAGGCAACGCGCAATGCGGACTGTCAAAAGAATTTGGCTTTAAGATAATTTATTGGCATGCTCGTCGGCTTGAAATGCCGTCGTCTCCATCATCGTGATAATTGAATTTGTGAGCCCGGCTTGCGACCAGCCTAGGCGAGAGGCCCAGTTAGCTGCTCCAGGCGACGTAGGCGCTAGATAAGCAGCACAAAAGTTAAGTAAGTCATGTCATGACAATCGCAGTGACTGTTTGTTTGGCTAGCTCACCAGGCCCTTGGGCTGGGGCATTCAGTTCAGTTCAATTCAGTACAGCACAGCACAGCACAGCGCAGCTTAGATCAGCTCAACTCAGCTCAGCTCAGCTCGATTCAGAGCTTGGTAATCAGAGCCTGCCCAGCGAAAGGCGCAACAATTCGTGTGCTTGACGGCAAATTGATTTATATGTGTTTACCTTTTAACCGTAACGGCGCAGGCGAAAGGCAGAACAGCCCACAGATGTGCTCAGCCGATAGTCGCTGGCCGTAAAAATATGAATTTGTGGACTCGGAATATCTGGTATTTTGCATTTTCATTTTTCTGGCAAATCATTAAACCAATTAATTTTGCAGCTGGACTATCACCGGCTACTGTGCATCAAGTGAAATGCAACGGAGGCCAACTCGGTGACCCAGTTTTCCGCAAAAGAAAAAGAACGTTGCCAAAAACATGTTGTTGTTGCTGTTGTTGGCCAGTCTGCTGCAAAGAAAGTGGCACAGCAGCCACTTGGAGCCTTCGAACGTGCAACGCATGCTGAGCGCCAACCAGTTGACTTTAATAGTCGGCTAACTAGAACACTGCTATAAAGACGGGGCATCTACTGGCAATTTGCATAAAAAGTAAAAAGTCTGCATAAAATGTAAATCAAATATGTAAGGTATTTAACTAAGGAACATAAAATTCAGCAAGTTATTGAACATCGTTTGTCCATAAAAAATGCACAAGTCCCTCCCTCAGCCACTTATGGACACACAAAAGCAGACAAAGCGAAGGTGGAGCTGCCTGCTGACTGCTGCCTGCTGGCGGCAAGGCTGTTGTTATAGCCTTTGTCCAGCTCCAGCAATTACAGCCGTAAAGTCACAGCACATCTTAAGGCAGCGATAAAGGCGGCATAAAGTGCCTCCATGGCTCCTTGGCCGAATGCGCATAAACCAAACCGCAAAACTGCCGACGAGTTCAATGCGCGCTGCCAACCAATTGAGGGTCAAATGCGGCCGTGGTCGGCACGCTCGGCACGGCACGGCACGGCTCTGCTTGGTAGAAGCAGCAGCAGCAGCAGCTGCAAATCCCATGACAATTTGTCGCAATTGTTTGTATAAATTTCATGTTGGATTTTTGCATTTTGCATTTTACATTTTGCGATTTTTGCGCCAGTCAATTAAAATAGTTTTTTTTTCTACCCTCCCTCCTCCGGTCTTCTTTAGTTTTTTGTTTGTTTCATGCATTGTGCCATGAATCGTTTCACTATCGTTGGGCTCGTTAAAATGGCAACTGAAATAGTTGTTATTTGATTGTTTGTTTGTTTTATTTTATTTTTATTATTATGCAACACGCTCTGATTGTTAGCATTCGCTTTTGCCGGCAACTTTCCATAAAAAAACACTCGGGATATGTATTGCGAATAACAACAAGATCGGCGCATGTTTTAGCACTCTGTACAATTAGCCACAAGCGCTGTCAGTCACGCCATCGGTCGATCGATGAAGAGAAGGAGAGGAAGAGAGAGAGTGAGAGGGGGGGGGGGGCAGCCAATGAAGCGAATGAGGCTCGAATAAAGGCCGATTTGACTTGATGGATTTGTGCGGCCTGCAGTGCCATGTGGCATATGTGCCGAACCATTAGCCAGCCGCAGGATACTTGACTGAGCTAATCTATGGGCAGGCATGGGCGAGTGATTTTTCAAAGTGCCTTTTAAAACAAAAGACTTAAGACACAAACTAGCGCGATGCTCGCTGCATGTAAATCAGCTCATAAGTATCAAACATCGAATGCGCCACAAGCTGAGCGGCCACGCACAGCTGGAGTTGCTTCGACTGCAACGGTTCAAAGTGGCTGCCAGTGGTTGCCAGTGGTTACCAGTGGTTACCAGTGGTTTCCATTGGTCGGTTGTGGCTGCAGCCACCATTAAGCCACGTCTGATTTATTTAGCTGCAAGGGGTCAAATGCTGTGACCATAAACAAAAAGGAGCACCAGCCGCCTAGACAAAGAAGAATGCTATTAAGGCTATTAAGAATGCGCCATGTGCAATTAGTTGAAAGTGCTAGGCAATTAGTTGGCGCGCTCTTTAAACATGACAAATACCCAGACAGGTCTAATGAGTTCAGTTAATCTTTAAGTGAGTGAATATTTTGCACACCGTTCCACACAATTCTCAATGGTCCATCAGCTTAATGTTATATATTAAGGAAATTAAAAAATATTAAATTGAAATATGCTGCTTCTCTTCAGCAGTATATCCGTTTTGCTTCCTTAAACAATTGCCAACAACAGTTAAATGATAAATAAAGAAGCCTATAATACAGCCTAATTTGTGTGACAATATCAAGTATACGTAATGTGTGAGATATTACAATTGTCAACTATTGTGTCCACCTTGGAATCATAAGCGGCAAGTCTGTCTATGAAGCTATATATTCTGCGTTCAAAGCGCCCTTGAAAGCTTGTTTCATATATTAATTAATAGTTCTAGAATTGTTATATTGCAACACAAATTGAAGATGAAAAGCATGAATATTTTTTGCTTAAGTCAACTTAAAGTCTTTGAGATACGAATATAATAACAGTTTAAGTAAATAATGTATATGCCAAGGAGTTCGCATTGTAAGCCAAAAGTTATGGGCTAGATATCAACATTATTTCAGTCACATTTTTAAGCAGGTACCTATATTACCACAAATAACTGATTGTTCTGCTGATAAAAGTGCAATCTGTGGCTTAATAAGTCACATGCATTGCACGGGGTGTGTGTTGGCCTGTTGGCCATAGAGGACTTAAATATTGCGCAAATACAAAAATGCTATTTGCGATACAATCACCGCAGCCAGTTCAGAATTGTGTGCAGCTGCGCATATTTTCGACAGATTTCCAACATATAGCCAAACATGTGCTGCCGTAAACTGTTGTCTTTGGCCAACAGCAGCAGCAGCAGCAGCAGCAGGAACAACAGCAACAACAACAGTCAGAGCAATCGCATTAAAAAAAAAAAAAAAAAAATAGAAAACAAAGCTTGTGCATAACAAAAGCAAAGCATATCATAAGGCAAAGTAAATGGCTGGCCGGTATCTATATACTTGTACATACCATACTATATATACACTTTCGGGGTACACAGAAAGATACAATGTAGTGCATGCTTTTAACATATTTCGCGTCTATTTGAATTTCCGCTATTTTTCGTTGGCGCTCCGAGTAATAAAGCTTGAAATGTGCGCGCCAACTAAATTATAACATAAAGGCCGACGACGATGCAAAGTTGGCGACGTCGCATAGCTAACTTGGCTAACACAGGCTCTGCCTCTGCTGGTGTCTCTGCTCTCCGCTGCTGATTGCAAATTGTCACGGTATTTTCGCTGCAAGCGCATAAATTGCCGTTTAAGCGGCTCGAGTTACAGTCGGGCCATGCGCCCGACTCGCATATTGTTGGCCATATTTATGTTTAGTGCCAAGTTTTGGGCCGTTACCAGGCTTGGCAACGTGCCAGTGCCAGTACCAGTACCATTGCTAGTACTAGTGCCTGTGCCTGTTGCTGGCGCGAGCGGGAAGTTGGCAGTTGGCTGGTCAGAGAGCTTAATGAAGCCAAAGTTGAAGCTTAAACTTGTTTAGCATGTCGCTTATATAATGCGAACTTTTGCAAAGGAAATAATAAAAATGTATGCTTGCGATCATTTTCAACATTTTCACACAGTCTTCAAAACTATTCACAGAAATACTTTCATTGTGTTGAGCTAAAAATCAAAACAACTGCAATTAATGCTGCTTTCAATTAAATATCAATTGTCGGCGCATTCTCCATTGATGTTCTGACGCGCTAATTCCAAGGCACGTCTGCTGTCTAGTGGCAACTTCTGTGTCTGCACGTTCTCAGGGCCTGGGCCTGGGCCCGGGCCCAGACCCTCTTTTCAACACCATGCTGGGGTCAATTGTGTGGCTTTTACGAGCGCATAATGAAACGCTGTCGTACAACTAATATAATAATAAGCGGTTGCCGTCGCCCCTCTCTCACTTCTTTAGCACTCGCTTTGTCCGTCCGTGGGCCTGGCTTTTTGTTTGGTTTCTTAACTTATTGCTGCTTCTAGGCAATCAATAGAAAAAGCGTGTACCTTTTTTTCTTCTACCCATACCACAAAATTCCATCTCGCATCGCTCTTGTCATGTGGCGCAAGCCGTTGCGGGTTTTTATGATACATAAATACGTACATGTATATTTATAAGTATGGCTGCTTCTTCATATTCCATTAATAAATACCTTTATTAATTGGTATTTTTGTTAGCCCACGAAATTTGTGTGTTCTTTGACCTAACAGTAGCCCAGAGGAGACAGTATGA